GCTCCGCTCAAAATCCTCTGTTTTGGGCCATGTCTCTTTCATTAAATGAGCTGCACCTAAGCCACGTTCACTTTACACCCATCTCTCTGGAAGGGGCTGTGGCTGTGCTCCGATAGCCATGTGCTAATGTTTACACTGGCTCGGTCATGGCTGCAAGAAGATCGCTCGTACAATCCTACCAGTTTGAGCCAGAGTCTGACCCAGAGGGAGAGGCTCCGGAAGAAACTCTTATGAAGCCACGTTCAGACCAAACGCGACTTGAAGCGACCTAGTTGACACATCCTATGTATTATTCAAAGCCGCCAGGAGGGTCACGTTTAAGGAGGAAGATATGAATGTAGAAAAAATTACAACCAGAGCCAGGGCTCTCAAGTCTCACGCATTCAGCGTGTGACACACGCATTCCCACCCGTTCACACGCCACACATTGTATTTCTCACGCATTTAAATGAACATGGTGATGTCCACCAAGTTGCACCTCTGTAACAATGGAACGTAGGAATCAACTGAGTTCCTCCGAGAGTTCAGAAGCTGCGTGCCACGCGCAAGCCAATCAAATAAAGTATATCTACTGAACAGCCAACAAAAAGCAGCATTGCTGTATCCGGGTAAATTTTGATATGTTGCGGTTTTACCACAGAAGAAGACAGACGCTCGCCGAAATAGAGCAGGTTTTTATAAGGACGAGATAGACCCGATGATTACAGTACGTCAGTAACCTTCACATGCAGATACCTCAACACCTCATGGCATATAAACTCATATGATAAACTAAAGCCCTATGCTATTGCTATTAACAGCTGTATTGACGGATTTAGCCTCTGTGCAGCCATTTCCAGCCATTTTCCCCTCCAAAAAAGCAGCAGTTCTCATATATCTCAAATATAAGTTCTGATACTCATGACAGTGTAACGCTCATGTACCAAAGGACTGAGTATCTCCATATTTGTGAAACCTATACTAAAGTACAATTCATCTAAATGCTACACAGTGCTGATTTTTAACAACTCTCCTTCACAACAGGTAACTTTACGACTTTATTCTTATATATTAATGACTTTATTTTTTACACCGGCGCGGATCCGGTGTGTTTATCAAAGCGTGGTGGCCGTGCTGAGGCACCGGGGGGAATTTAGGCTAAACAGTAAGTCAAAATAAAACATTCACACTTACAGATGCCACGTTTGTAGTAGGATCACGGATAGTTGATACGGATCCATTCTTTATCTTCAGACATCTAGCAAATCCAGCGTTGAACTGTCCCTCGTTGATAAAACAGTCCGAAGTGAAATGGTGCGCACATACGTACAGATATTTTGGAAGTGCCGCGGGTACATTCCCATTATAAATAAAATCCACCCATTGAGTCCTCAAATCCTCCGACGAGGGAGTTTTCAAAAGAGTTTTGTGCTCGTTTGTGCAGCCAACAACAGAGCAAACGCTGCCTCTTTTTCAGATCGTACTTCCGCCATGGTTCTAACCGGAGCTACGTGAGCGAGCGGCCGGGAGTAATGGCGGTGTTTTGATAATTTTTTGGGCAGGGCAGTGGGCGGCTCCATGGGCAGTACCATCGACGCGCCAACACTGACATGACGTCATGTCAGTGGAGTTTTCAGAACGGCTCTGAGCACACAGTTCCTAAATACGGAGATAAGTAAAAAACGACTGGATGGAATTTTTTAGAACTTGGGGGGGATTGTTGCGGTTTTCTATTCCTGATATGCACCCCCCTCCTGTTAACAAAGTCGGTTTTTCATGCCATGGCCCCTTTAAATAAACCCTCCTTGCCTTTTTTTGTGTTGTGTGTGATATTAAATGAGACATTAGTGAATCAACACTGTGGTATTGTAATAAAACTAGAGACAACATAAGAGCACATGAAAAAGCTTTATTGTCACACCAAGCTTTAACATAAACAAACTTTGAGTTTCGGACTTCAAGCTTTGAATGTGTAAACTATTCAGCAATGCCACGAGGGAGAACAAGTAGTGAACTCACTGTTATATAACTTACATAATTTATTAAATATCTTTGTTTGGCAGGACTTTACAAGGAAAGCAGGAAATACAGAAGTTAGTGGAGGTGAGGTACATTTCTCTCTTTTTTCATTTTCTTCGATTTTCCCATGAGAGGCAGAAAGTAACACTGGGAACGACAGGAGCAAAACAGGTTTACAGTCTCTGCTTCTACATGGAGTTTTTTTCTTTTGGAGGTGCACATTCAGCTTTCACAAACACAACAATATAGCGCTAGAGGTTACTCAGGAAGCACAGGAATGTAAAGTAGATAAAGAAAGAGAAACAGAAGAGGGGGAAAACATGGGGAAAAAATCCCACTGAAACGGCGAAACATTCACACCTGGAGAGGTTTTGTACAATGTGACTCGCTCTCTGAAAGTCCGTGACTCTGAATACATTCCTTTCATGAAAACCAAGATATGTGCGCTCTGACACTTCTCAGGTTAATACTCTTCTCGACTAGAACTTTAACTAGTAGGTCTAACTGTTGTTTTTTTTTTTCTTAAAATAATGGATTTTCTGATATACGTTTTCATTTTTGTGTGTAAACAAATCATACAGGACAACACCTTTAATATAAGATGAGAGTTTGGCAGCCTACAGAAGAAGCAGTAACAGACGAGGCATCTGCAGACGCCCATAGCATACTGTGAGGCAGTGTGGATACAGACAGGTCACTGCAGGTTAACTGACCCTTCATTAAGCCCCGCCCCATTCTACTTTGTCACTGTCTGTCAAGCTTTTACTTCTTACACTGCAAATAAGGCAGTTTAGAAATGACGATATGCAGGTTTAACAAATGTCTTGATCGAGAAACAGGCACAAAACTGGAGTCTTTGCTTGCAATGTAGTCACGAACAGAATCTGTTCGCTTTAACATGGCTGTACTACAAATCTAGGTTCTGCAAGCTCTATAAAATTGAAAATCAATGCAGAGTGGATTCATTTTTGATGTTTTTAGCTTAAGGATTCATGCAAGAGGCGCTAACAAGAAGTGAGCCAATGCCTACGTTAAAAGAACTGCAGTTCCTTGTTTGTTTGTTTTTGGTTTCAGAAAGGTTAAGGACACAAGTTTAAATTATATAATCCTTTGATTGTCCATCATAAGCTTAAAGAAACACTTCTTCATGGGCTTGAGAGACTGTCTGTGCCTAACAATGATTGCAGACATCATGATTGGACAAAGACAATGAGGGGGCGGAGTTTGATGAAGGGTCCGTTAGTGTAGGCCAATACATTTAAGAAGAAGAAGAATGTTGAGCTTTAATCAAGATAAAGCCATGCAGGTGAACACCACCACCAACACTTTATATAGTTTTATAAGAAGAGATGTGAGGCTGTGGTATTTTACAGTGTTCTGAACTGAAGCAGGAAAAGTCCTGACAGGAATCGGAGGAGCTTGCAGCATCACGGCAACCTTAAGGTCCCTCATTTAACAAGAGATAAATAAACAGAAACACCAAAATATCTCCCAATGACCTATCTTCAAGAAGGAGTGTGTGTATGTATGTGTGTGTGTGTGTGTGTGGAGTTAATGTGCATGTACATTAACAGACTGCAGATTTGAATGTGCACGCTCGGAGGAAATTCACAGCTGGAAATGCCCAGCAAGGAGATGGTAGTGCTGTGTGCATGGACATACACATGGAAAAATGTGTGTGTGTTTGTGTGTGTGTTGTGGTATTGTGGAGCTCTTCATTCCACAAGGTGACTGAGGAGTGTGGGTGTCAGACAAAATGTGTGAGTCCAGGGTTGAGCAATGCACACGCTGTTTGGTTTGTGGTTCTGGAGGTGCAGACCGGAGTGGTGTCTTTAATTACTACAAGATCCACCATCTGCGTCACTGGATCTTCCCCAAAACTGGACCACTGACGAAGATGACCGGAGGGCAGCGGAGTCATCCTCTGAGCTACATTTGGCAACGTCGAACCAATTTCATGGCTTTTCTTTTTCGTAGCTTTGAGCAGCATTTCATGTTTGATTAAACTCTACCTTCAAAAAATAGACTTTTTCTCTTCTTTTTAACACCGAGCACCCTAATAAACATAATCCACTCTTGATATTTTACTAAGTTTGACAACTGAGAAGATTGAGGCTAGGCGAGCAGAATATAGTGTTAGATAAAACAGGAATACCAACGCGGCAAGAGGCAACTTCATCGAGCGCTATTTATCATTCTAATGCCAAAATAATGGCTTTTCTGATCATCAATGCAAAGTGGCAGCAATATACTCAAGAAATCTACTTAATAACTTCAACAGTGTCATCTCAATCTGTACGTATGGCAGCATGTTAACTCAGGGCTCCTAGGAATCTTCACCGGAGCCAAATATGAATGAAACTCAGTCATTCTGAGCGGGTTAATACGATTATAGAATACTATGGGAGGGTAACATTGTGTAACAGTGCGTCTCGAATCCCCTCTGATAATATAAGGGTGTTGTCTGCTAATGCGTGTGATCTAAACATGTGGAATCGACACCACAGAGGTGAGCCGTGGGTGTTTCATGACATCACCCACCCAGCATTTGGATGGGGATTCCCTAACAGAAAACACATTCTCTGTTTCTGCACTCACTGCGTTTCTGTCTGTCTGGAAACGACGGGGTGTGGGTCTCTCTCTCTCTTTCTCGCTCTCTCTGTATCAGCTCTGCTTCTCTCCCTGTAGCTCGAGCACGACGGCAGCAAGGTGTGAGGGCTTCAATCAGAGGTGCAGGTGGGCGGGAGTGACAGCTCACTAAATCAACACGTGTGATATCATCCTGATTAATAATAGAAACTGCAACAACAAAACAGAAGGTGGAAAGAAAAATAAAACACAAACAGAAGAACTCTTGGTCTCAGCATGCAATGCAGAACACGCCGCCCACATTCATCAGAGCAAGCTGGATCAGCTGATTTGTATGGCGCCCTCTAGGGGCTGTGGAGTTTGCAAAGCCCTGTTGGAAACTGAGCAGAGGAGAAGAGAGAGGAGGAGTGGTCCTAGGCGTGCTCCAGGAGCCACTGGAAGAGGGGGGCGCGGTGAGGTTCTCTGCCCGCCTGCGGTGCCTCCTCTCTGGACTGACTGTGCATCTGGTTGTCTTCACAGTAGCGAAGCAGTGTGTGCAGCAACTCCCCGACTCTCCATTTGCGCTCCCGAAGCCTTTGGACCACCGCTGGGAGCTGAAAAGACACACATAAGGAGTCACAAAAATTAAAGGGATATTCCGGCGTAAAATTAAGTTAGGGTCAAACACACTGTAACGCCGAGTTACACACCCTGTCGAGAGATGAATGTTGCCGACTGCTTGCTTCTCAAGTTATACCAACTTTAGTAACGACCGCATGATAGCAATACATAGCGGTCTGAGGAGCCATAAACAAACCTCAACCAAACGCCACTCTATAGCCTCAATAATGCTCAGAACAGCACCTAACTTCATCAACAGAACATATCGGGTCCCAGCCACAGCACTAGCCACCAAACATCTTTTTAGCTTTGCCTAATTTCTTTAGCAAAGAGACTAAACACAACTCACGGTCTCTCTTCCAGCAGCTGTTTGTTTGTAGCAAGACCTCAGGCCAGTCCATTACGGACTACGGCGGGGTGACGCAGCTCAAGGAAGAACATTTATGATCATTACGTCATGGAAATGCAATCAAACCGAGACGCTAAGGCAGAAGAACTACCGTGTCTGCAGTGCAAAATGATTAATATGATGATTATTACTTCAAGGAAATGATAAAGAAATGATCATAAATGTTCTTCCTTGAGCTGCGTCCCCCCGCTGTAGTCCGTACTGGACTGGTTGAGGTCACGCTACAAACAAGTGGCTGCTGGAAGAGAGTAGGTGAGTTGTGTTTAGAAGAAGTTAGGCCTCAAGTTCAAAACATGTCACCCAGAGGGGATGCTCAAGTTATTTCTCAAATAACTCTTTCATTTAGAAATACACAAGGTTGGCATATGGGTTTCACTTTCACACCTGCGCTTGTGGCTGAAAGTGCAAGAGACTTAACTGAATAACTGGAGCTGTGGCTTAATTCAAGTCAATGGGAAAGCTGTAGACATACTTTGCTTCTAGTAATTTATAAACGATCATAATGGTTAGCCTTAGGAAGAAGGAAAGTAGTTGAATTAATCAATAACTCTATGGTGATAGTATAAACACAAACTTGACCAAATCAATCTCCTCAAAGAAGCCAGATTCTCTGGTGGTACGAACTGTTATACAACTGAACATGATAAAATCTCTGAAATAAAGATGTGACAAAGAGGTATGTTACAAGATAAGTCAAGAACCACAACACTGTAAAATATGCTGGAAACTCTTTTAACTTCTTTGTTGCATAAGCTAATCATTTTGTCTCCACAGCAAAGCTATCTGTAGTGGAAACCAGGACACCGCTACACAAGATCACTATCCTTTAAAACCAACATCAACAACCGCAGAAAGAATGGCTCCTTTCATTGTGGAGATCTGAGTCGGTTATGAAATGAGTTTATGTTTTATCATAAACACCTCAGTGGGAATCTGTCACAGATAATGAGGGTATTCAAAGAGGACGGCAGACATTCACCTGCTGCAGCTCTCTGTCGGGACTCAGCTGGATCAGGGGGATATCGGCCATGGAGGCTGCCACCCACTGCAGCATGCTCCTGAGCTGGGGGTCAGGGGTCATGTGCTGAGGGCTGAGGAAATCCGAGTTCACTATGACCAGTGCAGTCCTGGGGGCCTGCAGCTGAGTCCGGTCCACACACAGAGTCCCTGCAGCACAGACATGTGAATCATTTGAGATGAATCATCTGCACAATGCTGTTTTCATGAGTCACTTTTCTGAACAGTTTTTACTTCACAGAAAACTGGACAATTACAAAAAAACTCAAACCTTACCTCATTTCTACTCAACAGTTTTCTTGGTTTCATATAAAGTACACACTACACTGCAGGCCCTACTCAACCCACTGACTATTCCCTGTGCGAAGGTTAGAATGAACTCATTAGAAATCATTGGCAAAAAGATGGCACCATGATTTCCACACACCGTCAGCAACATCTCAGCTAGCAGCCCCCTCATTGGACTCCAGGTGTTTAGGAAAAACACTGGAAAATCCCTCACTTTTAACCTACTACTACTCTACTTGGTGTTTCCACTCTTAAGTCACAAAGAATTCGGTCCTGGTTCAACTAATGTTGGAGCAGCTCAGCTCACAGCCTCTGGTGAAATGCTGTGTATTTAAAATATATGATAGTAAAAGATATTTTTTGTTGAAACGTTTCCTGATTTTAATCATCTTGTCTGAAAACCTCAAAGAGGAATAACCCTTTGTGGATACTTCAATAGCAGCTCAGCTCACAGCCCCCCATGCGGAATTTTTGGAATCTAAAGAATAGAAGTATATTTCTTGTCATGTATCCTTTAACTTTTTCAATTAGCTTATTTGTTAATGTAGATGGTTAATAATCCTCTTTGGCTTCTTGGATAATCCACCTTTAGTAGCTCAGCTCACAGTCCCTCGTGAGGACCTGTATCTGTTAAAATTCTATCAGACAAACAGATTTTTGTTCTGACTGTCTTCTAGCGTTTTCACTGGTTTTTAGCACCCAGTATGTTCATCTTAAACAGAAATAGCCCTCTGCAGGTTATTCACCCTCGGCAGCTCAGCTCACAGCCTTTTTTGTCATGAAACTCTAATTTAGTGTTTTTTTACTAGTTTTCATCACCTGGTGTCTCCTCTGTGGATCATTTACTTTTGGGAGCTCACCTCACAGTCCCCCCATGAGGTGCTATGTCTGTTAGAGTTCAATTAAAGTCAATGATAGACTCACATTTAAAGTATTTGCCCATTTTGAACACCATTTTAATAATTTTCTGTTGAAATTAAGATCTTCCTTAAAAAATACTATATCCATCATTGCTCAATCGTATGTATAGAACTATTTCCTTCAGTTTAAATAACTAAAACATTGAATTTTTCACGCTTCTTGTCACATGCCCCTATATGTGCAGCATCACAAGTCATATATCCTAAAGTAATCTGATGCTGTCCAATAATGAAATGTTATGTAATCATATTTTTCCATATCAGCCAGCACTCACTGTACTCTTACTCTGTTTGACAGTGCATCTTCCATGCTCTAAGTATATCTAACAATCCCTATACAGTATACAGTCAGCGGTTCCCACGCTCCCGGTTCTGGTGTGGACCCCATGGCCCCTCCCTCCGATGGGGTAACTTTAATTTGACACACTCATGCAGCAGAATGAGTGACTGTGGAGGGAGTGTATGAATGAGCATTAGTGTGGGTGAATATGGGGGTGGTAAAATCCCCAGATACACTCAGACAGACGTACACAGACATCTGGAATCAAGCCAACTCTTCTGAACTGTAGCGAACGGAAAGAGCGAGACCTCAAATTAGGGGAGGGACTTGACTTTTTTTTTTTCCTAACCTCTCTGCTGTCTGAACTGTGATATGTTAAACTGTGAACTTGGGTTTAATTTTGTTAGCCAAAATCTACATTTTCAGGAAAAGTCTTATACAGGAACGATTTTATTGGATTAGAGAACCTAGAATTACTGCCGACTGCAGCTCACCTAAAAGTGTAGTAGCAGGCAGTAAAATATCCTTACCGCTAGATTCCTCTTTGACCTCAGCCTCCTTGTCTTCTGTGTTGTCACTGTTGGATAAGAAATATAACACAGGTTAGTGAGGGGGAATGGTAAAGCCAATGATACAAGAATAAAAACATCAGAGGACTGCAGGCTAAGCAACTTCATGCAAACAGAAAAACTGAAAATCTAATTCATGCATTTAAGTCAAATCAAGTTCATTGCTGTAATACTCTTTGAAACAGTACAATTACTAAATAAACTACAATTGGATCTAAGTTTCCATGCTCTTGACTAGAACAAGACAGAGGAAGCACATCAGGCTGGTCTAAGTCGAACTGCAGAAGCTTCCAGTGATTTCTAGAACGGGTTTTGGGCCTTTTACCTTTTCACTTGGTCTAAAATGGTTTGGGAGTGGCCTACGTGACTAATTCTTTTTTTGTTTTATAATCCCTCAATGCTTTTTAAATCCTCCGCTGACAGTTTTGTACATATTACCTGTAACACAAAAAAGGGGGATTAGAAGTTTAGCCTTTTAAACTCTGCGTTAAACCCACTGAGCCCGCTATATAAGGATGAGAGACTTTTTGATCATTTTTAAATGATCAATGTGAGATTGTTTATCCAAAACTGCCCTTTAACTCTCTGGTAGTGTTCATCTCCTTTTTTAACAAGTTAATGAATATTATATTGTTCTCATTTAACCTTACATACTTCTATCTTTTACATAGTTTACTGTTTGTGGCATATTTCTCGCTATTTGCTGCAGGATCTCTGTGACTGTTTACTTTTATAGCGCAAATGTTTTAGTTCTACTTTTGTTCTATTCCATTTTTTCTGCACTCACTTTGAGATATCAATACAATTAGATCACCATTTTCTTAATTATATTTCTAACTCTGATCAAAAGGTTTGAAAAAGGTAAGGAAACTACCCTGTAGATTTCCAGTCAGTGTTTTTTTTTATTGCTGTCTTCCAGTAAATTGACTTTTCTTCTTCAGGCTCTATTGTCTCTTAAGACACTGTGACTTAGAGTAAATGAGTGTGAAAGTTGACTTTTCCTTTCTGAGAATCTAGTCCATATCCATTCTGACAATAGTTCAAATATTTGCTCTGTGCTGTGCTTACAGATAAACAGTCATTTCACCTCTTTATAACATTGTTAATCACAGACTTGTTGACACAGCCTGCAGCTTCAGACGCTCCAAACTCTGCTGTTAAATATCATAGAAAGATATTGTTTTCTTTACGAGAGTAGGAGGACACTCCGCGCATTTTTAGGAATAAAAACCAAATGTAAAGTGAAGAAGCAGAGGCGAGGATGAAAACAGACATGGCAGGAGCAGCCTCAAAGTCCTGCATCACAGGAAACAGCTGCTTTAATTGTCCTTTTATCATCTATGACCTCTTGATGTGATATTTTAAGGGCATAACCCTTCTGATTGACTTCTACTGTAGTCTTGACTTGCAAAACTCATCCTAAATAAAAGGACAATTTTACAACAGAAGAATAAATAAACTACAAACTGTGAGTAACCTGCCCCCTAATGGCTTCCAGTGAAATGATCATTTGCTGTAAGTTGATGCTCAGAGCCAAAACACACGCAAGTGAGGTTTAAAAACTGATGACGTGCAAAAATAAAGTTTTTAATATTTTTGCACAACTGAAAACAACTTTGATGTGTTGCATTAGTAGGAAAAATAAAGCAGATAGTTGACTTATCGAGTTATTTAGGTGGTAAAGTTGCAGGACAGCGTCAATCTGACATTATTTTCCCCTTTTGTTTCAAAGAGTAAAAAAATTCCTTGTAGGTTTTTAATCATGGGAATTTGAAGTTTTCTTTCCTTCTAAATAACCGCTCACTGGAAAACTTGAGTTTGAGGAAAAGACGTATCAGGATTGGCTGTGGGAACACTGATTGATTTACCATTTCATGATGTCACATAAAGCAAACGACTCTTTCGTTAAACAAAAACACAACTGACAGCTTCATCATGGGTCAATGTCATCCTCGATTTACGCTCTTGGAGAAGAGAGAAAAATAACAAAGGCCAATTTATGCAGAAAGGCACCACTTCTGTTAGTCCACTCAAAAAAACCACTGATGTGGATTTAGTTGTAGATTTTTCTATATTGTTGGCAATGACATCACGTTTCGCCCTTTTCAGGTCGAGTTATGTGTCAAATTTTTTGCTGCATTCTCAGAAACCACTGGTCAGAGTTAATATTGGGCGGGTAGTTACTCTGAAACTCAAAAAATAAATCTTTTGTTTTTCCAGTGGGAATATTTTGTCAACTCAATCTTTTTGTCAGTAGTGATCATGCAGCCGTGAGGCGCTGATTAAAGTGTTGGTGCGTTCAGATGTCTGTGGTGAGCTCTGACATCTGAGGACTGTTTGTCAGCTGCCAAACACAACCGAACTCATGTTAATGGAAAATAAAACTTAGAAAACATGGATTTTTAAGATAATGATAACCTAAATGTGGCAGATACTTGGAGGGGAAGTTTGCAGTCAAGTGGGCGACCTCCAATGATGGGGTTGTGGGTTTTAACATGTTGATTCATTCTGCCTTGCTAAGAGCTGAAACCATTAGTTGCATGAGTTGAAGCACATTTACCAGCAAGATTTATTAAGGCTGCAAAAACTGGTTTAATTCATGTAGTTTTCTAAAGGATAAGCACACATATAGACGTAATATCTTAATCTAGAACAGTTGGGTTTCATTCTAGGCACCAGGAGAGTAAAACAACTGCACAATGATCCCATAAAGCAACAGAAAGACATGCAAGTAAAGCAGAAACAGAAAACATCACATGTTGACAGGAACATCAACAAGCTTAAGCCATGTCAAGCCTTTTCATGTTTACAGCTTTACTGTGGTCATGCAACAAGGGGCTGGTGGTTCCTAGTATGAGACAAAAGTATAACTCAAAGTGCCACTGTGCAATCCTGTAAATCATTCTCATATGATAAAACTATCCTCCGGCTCCAGCTCTGTGCCGAGATTTTTCCTCTCATGGATCTTTGGCACGCTTTGTTTCTTTCATGCTGGAGTAGAGTCAGAAACTACAGAGTGACTTTGTCCCATTCTAGGTGAACCACCGCGTCTTATGAGAGACTAGCTGTGTCACTCAGCTGCTGACCGACCTGTCAGAGGGAGAGAATGACATACGCTCCTCGCACGCCTCCCCCTCCAGGCCCAGACTGCTCCAGCTACTGCTGTTCCCATTGCTGCTGGAGAGAGAAGAAGGTAACACACCGCTATAACACTGACAGGAGCCGTCTGCTTAGAGAAACACCACCACATCACACAGCACACGCAGTCACATCTGTGTAACAGGCGATGTCTCAAATGAACACAGCTGACAAGATATTTCTAATCAGACGCAGATTTATCTTTGATTGAATTCATCTCTGTCGCCAAAACGGTTCTTATAAAGTCTTACATAGAGGTTTGTTTTTACTTTTTAATACGACATACTTAACTGTACAAAAGTGCTGTTCAAAACCTACAAACCTTATTTGCTTTTACATCTTTATTCAAATTAAGAACAGAAATACAATTCAATCTTGCATCAAAGCACCAAAATCATCTATTCCTCTATGCTCGCAGAACAGATATAGTTACACTTCGTATATCTAAGGATCGCAGCATGAGTCTTAAACTTTTGCATAATTCTGTTACTCCTTAAAAATGATTTTTCACTTCAATATGAGGTTCACATGTGCCTAAAAAGATTCTGTCTTTCTTTTAACAAACCAAATTAATATTTCATGCAACAACATTTCAAAAGGTTAACTCATTCTAAGAAAGATATTCTATCTCCTGTGTAAAGTCTGAGATTTGGACATTTTTCATCACCATTTTAACATAATTCGATACTAAATTTAAACATCACTTTCCTTAAGGACGACTACTATGAACTCAGGAAATAACCCTTATACTTATTAGGGACACAACATCAATACTCGATTCCTTTTGAAAGGCAAATATTATCAATACCAGTATATTGCGACAGCCCTAAATCAAATATGATAATTATGACATAAATTATCTGAATGATTGTTTCAGTGTTAAGATTTTAAGATATATTCCTTGGAAACTATCCTTGTTTTAATAAAATGGTGCTGAAAGATGTAAAACTCAAGCATGAGTTTCTCTTTCAACTGAGAAAGTAAAGAAGTCGTCTTAAATCTTCTCCTTTTATTAGTCGAAAAAAAACAACTGCGGACTGTTTGTTATTAGTTTGTGTCTCTAATTATCTGTCTGTATTTACTGTAAGCTCACCATCACAATAAACCATTTCTTCTTTTGTCTTATTTGTTTCAAGATACCTCTTGATTATTTGACATCAGACGTTGTTACCTGTTTAAAATTGCCTTGAAAAGTGACACAGAAATTCCTTTCCTCCTTTTTTTTTGCTTTTGTTCTCAATATTTCGCATACCAACTTTTTGCAGTGGAGAGCTCCAGGAACAGAGCAAAGATCTGGATGTAATAAGCGGTTTCTTCCCACTTGCTGTGATGACCTTATCTATCATGAAGCTTCCACAAACATTACTCAGATTGATGACCATTTCTGGCATTTGGAATAATCCTGTAAATGCCAGGTGACGTTCAAAAACACAGGCGGATGCACATTATTCCACCTCAAATCCCTCTGATTCATCTCTGATTTGTTGATTGAGACAATTTGTTGCTAAAGCCGTCTAATGTGAGATCATTTCATTCTTGTCCTCACATTATCCCCGCTAATGCTGCGGGTTCCACCAGGACAACCAGCTGGCAACAGCAACGGCAACACAACAACACACACTCTCGGTGTAATTAGTCAATAATTAGCCTGCTGGCTGGAACCTGTGCCGTGTGGCGTGAAGGGAGGAACTTTTCAGGTATCTAAAAATACCTCCTTTTAATCTGCGTGACCTCAGCTGCTGCTGCTTTCTCCCGGCGGTTTCACTAATAGACACCCGGTGAGAGCTCGTTCATTTAGTCAATCATCACGCTCAGTGTCCTTTAAAACCCCGATGGCGATTTTTTCTTTCTGTTATTTCAGAGGCGGTTGCATCAGGTTCTCTAAGAGTCTAATAAATTACACATGCTGGACTTTGTTCCTGCAGAAATGAGCCTGAAGCGCAGAGAGCCGTCAGAGACACACCTTTAGAAAATATTATGATCCATCCACTTGGCCCTGATGGCTACAATAACCAGCTGCTAACTCGTTGTTTTTCCAGCACCTTGGGAAAGAATTCTAATGTTGTCAGTTTCGCTTCCATAGAGATAACAGAGTTTTCCAGAAATGTCAACAACCTGATTCCCAGAGAGCCGAGACCTGAATGAGACCATGTCCTCAAGAGGACGGACACTCAGACTCACCCGCCCTTGTCCTTTTTTTTGCAAACATACACAAAGTGTCCATCCATAGGGCAAACTCTTTCATAACTGCAGCCCGGTCCTCATGCGGTGGAGCTTATTTCACAAACCCACCCGCCTGCAAAAACTTGGCAGCAAAGACAGCTCCATCAAATCTTTGACAACATCCCCACATATAATGCAACACAAATTATATCCTGACAGTAAAACCTAAACAACACAAACCACACACTCTGCCCTGCGCTGACCCCTGAATACCTCCCATCTAGACTCCGCCACAGGAATCTCCTGTTATAGGAGCTCCAAATAAAGCAGTAAACATGCTTTAAAACCAATAAAACAGATGATTTCATTTATTAATTCACCCATAAATTGCTTGTCATCGTAAAAATACTTGTAGTGTTTAATCAAAAGGTGCTTGCTGTTTCTATCGTGGTAAAAACTCTTCGCTTGAAGTCTAATTGCTGTTATAGCCGCAAAAATGGTCTCTACATAGTTTCTGGTAAACACCCGGAAAACAAATCTGCAAACAGTCTATAGCAGAGGTTTAAAGCTTGTTTAGGAAGCTGCTTAACAGCTGAGTCCTAATCCTGCTCATGAGAGGATCTGTACAGAAATCTGTGAAGTTTATGGTCATCGATAAAGATGATAGGGGCTCAGCAGATCAAAAATCTCGTAGTTCGGTTTATGGATCGAAGGCTGCTATTCAGTTCACTTTTATAGACAGACTCGCATCTATAGAGTTTTCCACCCGTTTGACGGCCCTCAGGATGGGCGACGGGGAAGCATCCTCCTCTGGCACATCCTCTGGTCGAGCCAGGTAAGCTAGCGTTAGCATGCTCGGTCAGCGAATTGTCGTCTGAGGGTGACTTCGGTGTTTTCTGAGTCGGTTTCTTAGGCTTTAACCATTCGTTGAGGTTTTTAGAAACAATTTCCACCATCAAAAGGTGCAAAAAAAGGAGTGTTAGATACTTAAACCAAGTTAGAGTGGAGGAGCTGATAAAAAGCATAACCTACAACATTAGGGTGACCATACGTCCTCTTTTACCTGGACATGTCCTCTTTTTTCGGGGCTGTCCGGGTTTGTCCGGCTTTGTCTGGTGAAGTTGATAAAATCTTTCAAATGTCTGCGGTTTTGTACAAAAGTTTTGAGTTTGTGTCACTTGGACTTTCTGTGTTAGAAGCGCATAACAGACACTCGATCCGACCCAAAAAACTCTCAAAATTAACTTTGTGCGACTCTGTGACTCTGCCCCCGCGTAGTCGTGTCCTCTGTTTGGGAAGTCAGAAAATGGTCATCCTATACTACATCGCCAGCTCTCTAACTTTATAGACAGACTCATGCAAAGCTGTAGCCACTCGTGCTACTTGGATATTTGTGAGATCTTTAAAGACAAATCTGAATCAGAAGTGGCTCAAGTGTCTAAAATCGTGATAGCAGCAGAGACAGCAGTGATGCTTTCAAGTGAAGTGAATATTCTGCGCATGCTGTGTGTGAGAGGGTGAGCGGTTGTGTACCTGTCGCTGAGGTGGAGGAAGCTGCTGTTGTCGTCCAGGTGCTCATCCTCAAAACTCAGGTTAGACCAACTGCCCAGACTGTCGTCTCCGACGCTCAGCTGCTGGGACACAGAGGACTCGGTGGTTTCCCTGCCTGGAAAGCTGAATGTGGAGAAAAAGACAACAGTTAACAGGCTTCATCTAGGCTTATAAAACGTATAAATGTCCCACTATCAGCAGGATAACGTCAAATAAATTTATGATGCTTTTACCCTAAAGCAGGTGTGCATGGATTTATCTAAAACAGGGTCATAAGTTCATGACAGAACCCTCATTAATCAGCTCTCATGTGAATCTGAGTGTTTGTACCTGCTGCTGGTGGTCTGGCAGACATTAGACAGAGCCGATGTCATGATCTCAGCGGTCAGACTCTCAGCATAACTCGCTCCATCATGGCCGATGCCGCTGTCGGCGTTAAGGCTGGTGTTACTCAGCTCCCGTTTGGCCGTCTCCATCGCCATGGTCACCATCTCTTCTGCGAATGCCGCCTTGTGGTCCAGGTCGATGTGGATCTTGGGGATCTCCAAACCAGACGCCCTTTCAGCCCGTCCCTGGCACTCAGACGCCCTCTTCCTCCTCTGCGTTACGGGCTGGTGGTGGTGCCGGCAGGGTTTGGTGCAGTACAGGCACTCCTGGATCTGACAGTAGCGGCAGGTCCTCTCCCCTGAGGGCTGCCCCAGTGCTGGTCCCTCAGATAACCTCTGGGTGTGAGAGTGTCTGTCATGGCCTTGGGTCTTTTGAGTTTCCCGTGAAGCATACCCGACTGACGCCATACTCATCTGCAGAGTGTCATCAACTATCTTCCTGGCGTAATGCTCGATGACTTGCATGACCCGACCCCTGTAGCCTCCGTCGTACAGGCTCCCTGTGCTGTGGTAATGCCTGCTCTTACCCTCCTTGGACAGCAGGGGGCAAGAGAAGGAGTTCCTAATGAGATCCTCCGCCATATCATCGAGTTTGGACTTCTTATAAAGACAGGAGTCGGTCAGAGACTTGGGGAGGCGCACGGACGAGCGATGCAACTTCCGTGTGACGTCACAGGTGATATTGTACGCCAAAGACTCTGCAAAGTGGACCAGGTCTGTGTAGTCCCTCTGACTTTTCTCTTTAGGGGTCCTGCATCTGCACTGGGGATCCTCGCCTGATGGACGCACTGACTCAACCTTGTCCTTAACAGACGAGGTGTCACTGATAGAAGTCTTCCACTCGTCTGGAAGGGACTGGGAGGACTGGAGGCGGTTTATGGAGGATCTCTGCTTGACTTTGCGGCTTGCGTGGGCCAAGCCGAGTTTGATGGATCGGTAAGCCAAACGACTCGCGTACTGATCGAGGACCAACTCCCTGCTGCCTCCTTCCTTCTTCAGCACCCTGATGAGGTAGCCGGCATATTCGTCCGTCACGCTCTCACAGCTGGGATACTCTGAGGACATGCCGGAGCTGGAGCTGGACATGGTGCTGGAAGTGGACTTTGGTGGACGGGAAACAGATGCTATCAAGTCGCTGGACCATTGTTCAGCCAGCCTGCTCATCCTGGAGTCTCTACTCTGATCTGCACCGGGTGGAGGGAGATGGTGGTGGTGGTGGGAACAGTCAGAGTTGGATCTGTCGAAGCTTCTCCTCCTGAGGGTTCTGTGGTACGGACACTGCTGTGCTGTGCTCACCATCCTCTTCACGTCACTGATCACCTCTCCGGCGACCTCACCTGCGTACACCCACAGAGTGTTCAGGGTCTGCTCTGAGAACTGAGCCACACTGTCCCTCCTTCTCTCACCGCCCCTACTCGTACTGTCCTCCTCCTCCGCCCCTCCTAAGGTGTCCATCTCTGTTGCCATGGAGACAATGTGACAGGCCAGCCGCTCTGCGTAATGAAGAGCTTCCTTGTTGGACATCCTGCGAGCGGTCACTTGGTTTAGCTCGTGTCGCCCGCGCCCCGCATCTGTCGCACATCTGTTAGAGACGGCGCCGCCCTCCTCTGCTGCTTCCTCCTCCTCTTCCTCCTCGTTTCCTCCTGCCTCCTCAGAAAGAGACCTCATCAGTTTGAGCATGAACTCAGCTTTGTCGGCCTCGGGGCTGGTGTCTTTTGGGCCGGGGCCAGGCTCCGGCTGATAGTGAGGGGTGGGTGGAGGGGTGGCGGGGGAAAACTCCTTAGCCAGCTTTGTTTTGAGCTTCTTCGAGAACTGTTTGATCTGTTTCTCCTTGGACACCTCGTTGGGTTGCTGAGGGGTAGACGGAGGAGTCCCAGGGGTCCCTCCAGATTTCTGACCAGGGCTGGAAGTTGAATCATCCGCAGGAGCAGACACTCTCATCTGTCCCGCCGTCTCTGCGCCCGGCACATCCAGAGTATCCATCAGCACAGGATGAGCTTCGGACACACCTCTGCTTCTGGGGTTTTGAAAGGAAATGTGAGGAAGGTCTGCCGCTTGCTCGACAGGCACTCCCTTCCTGACAAACCCAGCCTCTCTGCAGTCGTACCTGAAACTCTCTCTTGCTGCGCCCTGCTTTGAAGGAGAGTCTGGAGCCTCGTAGCTCGAGTTCTCCTGCTTGGACAGAGAGTCCTGTCTGCTCCCGATTGTCTTTGTGAAGAAATCAGCGCAGTCACCAAAACTCTTCTTCACCTTCGAGGAAGTAATCAGCTCACAGGCCTCGGTTACGATCATGTCCACCATGTTGCCAGAGAAGTTCTGGAAGGGGGACTTTCCTTGAGAGGGGTCTCCTGGAGGGATGGGGGTTTGAGTTCCATGACTGTAAAGGTGAGTTTGAGTGGAAGTGAGGGTATTAGAGGCGGATGTTATGACTCTTGTGTTGCCGGACTGTTTGGTCTCCTCAGGGTCCTGAAGGTGGTTCAGAGCCTGACCCGCCTGGGGAACAGGGATACAGCTGGCCATGCCTGAGACGGTGAAGAGAGCTTTCTTCACTGTGCAGGAGGCATCTTCTCCTGATGTTCCTGGAGCTGCTGCAGCTGAGCTAGAGCTCAACACCTGCTGGTTGGCAAAGGTACTGCAGGTGTGCGTGCTGGTGTTCTCCGCGCTGACGTAACAGATGTTGTCCTGAGACACACTGATAGCTGCTTGGCTGGTGAAGGCGACGTCAGCTTGAGAAAGCTCGATGAAGGCCTCCTGGATGACAGACTCGGACAGGTCTGACGCATAAGAGGAGACAACCTCCTCCTCTTCCTCCTCCTCTTCCTCCTGCCCTTGGTCAAAGCACCAATCACTGGGGGTGCGAGGGGTGGAGGGATGGGAGAACTGACACACCTCCATGATGCCTTCAAACACCAGCTCTTCAGCCAGATCAGCAGCGAAGCGAGTCACCGTGTTGTGGAAAATCTGCTTCTTCACAGTCAGGAACTCCTTCAGCGCCTCGGATACGGCCTCTCCGACCAGGAAGTTGGCTAATCCGTTGATTGCCCGCTCCTTTAACACATACGCACGCCGCATACCTATCTCATGGAAAGCCATCTGAAAGACAGAGGATGTGAGTCTGGCGGCGAGGTGACACAAGGTGGTGGTGCACGAGGAAACCCCTTTCTGAAGATCTCGTAAGGCGCTGCCCAGGCTCATCTCCACCAGGTCAGTGGCAAACCTCTGGATGCCATCTTTCAAAGACTGGGAGGTTTTCTGTAGTTTGGCCACCGTTACAGTCTCCTGGATCTCTGAGAGCTTCATCACATAGCCAGAGGGGTTCTGAAACTCCTTGTGACAGACGCAGCTGAGGTTCTTGTTGTCGTTGATGTCCACAGCGGACTGGTAACCGCACACAGATCCAAGGATCTCTTTGGACAGGCTGCTTGCGAAGTCGGAGTAGGTCTTGTATAGAGAGCAGAGATCCTGGGGTTTACGGAGCTCTGAGGTGTCCTGTCCGTCATCATCTGTCTTCCAGAAGTACTCAAGTGGTCCACTAGAGTCCACCAGGGGGCTGAAGGCTGAGGAGCTAACAGGACTGAAGAGAGGGCCTCCATTCTCATCTGAGGGCGTCTGCATTGGTCGGGGGGAATCTGGCACCTCAGAGTGGGGTGAGTAAGGGGAGCCTGGTTTCAGGGGGGTGGGTTTCTTCACATTGGCTGGGAGAGTGGGCTGGTCAAAGCGGTGAGGGTTCATCCCCTTGGTGGAGCAACCTCTGGAAACATATTTACATGTTGGTCCGGTGGAGCTGGGGTCAGATTTTTTCTGTGTGGTCGGGGCGCTGATGGCGTCCAGAGGAAGTGCGAGCGTGCAGCTCTCAGAGCTCAGCTCGTCCAGGTCGTCAAACTGATCAAAGCTGTCGAAGAACTCGCTGACCTCGGAGTCAGAGTCCTCCACTCGCTCTCTGGGCCCCCCTGGTACCTGAGGGATGTCCAGCTTGGCCAACATGCTCTTCTGGTATCCCACCTCATCCAGGAAAATGATGGGGCTGGGGCTGGAGCAGTCGGACTCTTCTGATTCACTGACATGGTCCAAAGGTGAGGGGAGACGAGCTCCGGGGCTGCAGTAAGTCCACTGGGATTCCACGCCGGATGTTGACGTCTGTACTGTGACCGACACGTCTGGGCCTGACTTGTGTTTGGCCGAGTTCTTCTTCTGTGAAGATGAGCCGATGATGATGCGGGAGCCTGATAATTCCTTTTTCCTCTTGTGGGCGGGGATGGTCTGTGATGCAACGTCACGCTTTTTATAGTGGCGATAGGAAGCTGCAGCTGTGAGAGGAGACAGAGAGAACAACTGTTTAGACACCAGAGACGTCAGAAGTGTCCTGATACAACTTTTTCACCTACGTTACTATACCGATAGTGTAGCCTGTAATATTGGCCAATACCGATATTGATCCGATATTAGCACAACCTATGCATGACAAGTTTTGCACTCAGCTGCAACGTCTTTTTCAGACTTAAATAAAAAAAAACTGCCACAGGGCCGAAATCACTCCTACTCCTCGCTAATTTGTTAGTACCTTAGTACACACTAATGTTGTGATCACGTGGGCTCTACATGCTGGATATGGGTGCTGCTATATAGAGATGCTGGAGTGGACTGCTTGTATCAGAGTGCTGATATCAAAGATTTTAGATGCAGGCCGATATAATCTGATATTCGATTTTTTTGCTGATACCGGACCAATATCTGATATCAATATTGTATCGGGGCACCCCTTGTTAATATATAAGAAAAAAAGACTAAAAAGTCTCAAGAGTGGTGCAGAGATGAGTCAGAGGTTTCTATTTTGGTGATATCAGAGATAAATTTGCAGAATTATAATCTATGTAACACACCAGAAATTAGGGCTGGGCGATATGGCCTCAAATCAATATTGCGATATATTGAGCAGTTCACCTCGATAACGATAAATGGACGATAACTACGACACAAGCTGCTCACCCCCTCCCACATTAACTTTGTCTACTTCAGCCGCTACAACTTTTGAACCGTCCTCCATCTCCTCACCTGACTTTGCCTCTTTGTTACGGACTGGATGGGGTGGAGTCACGTCTCTGATGTAGGACAGTGTTTTTAAAGGGACATGAGACCAAAGCCTACCTACACACATCCAAAACCAACTTCTATTTATTTATTTTTTTGACACTGAATATACCGTTTTGGCCAAATTGATGTCAGTTATTGTTGTAAATTTTGGTATCGGTAAATACTCGGTTTATCGCCCAGCCCTACCAGAAGCTACTACATCCCACTCAGCATCAGATATTTAACCTACAGGGATTGTCTCCAGTATCGTCCTCCTCCAGATGCTCCAGCGCCGTGACAAAGTCATCCTCGATAGATGACACCGACTGGTTGGTGTCGTCCTCTTCAGGCTGGCTGGGCTCAGCTGTGCCCCTCTGAAGGGCCTGAAGCTCCAGAGCGTAGCGAACGCCTGCCATGTAGCACCCAAGCAAGCCCACCAAAGATGCCACAGCGGCCTGAGGGTAGACGCCGGCGCTGGGATTGTGTCTCAGCACACACACCGCCTTCAACCAACACTGGAGGAAAAGATGGAGGTTGGAGAGAAGAAAGGAAAGAGAAAAGAAACAGAGGAACTTGAGGTTAAGCCTGGTTAAACTAGTCTAAATCAGAGTCAAAGTATGTGTAACCAGAAACCAGGAATCCCCTGAAACAAAACCAGCTGATAACGTCAAACACTTTGGAAATAAAGCAGAGTTCACACAGGACTTCTTTTCTTATCCTAATCTGACCGGAGGGAGACGGAGGGCTGGGATTGTTTGGTTATGTCTGAACTCTGATTGCATGTGAAGACCAGAGAATCACTCAGAGCCTGTCCGCTTTGTGATGCAGATAAGTGGGAGGTCTCACAGTCTGAATTAAGAGGACCAAAACCACAGAGTGAGCTCCGGGGCCTGTGTGAACCCAAACACGACGAACGGGACCAGGAAGGAAGAGACTGCGAACATGGGCTGAGGAAACACACATTGCTTTCAGTCCACCTACAGTCTCAGAAAAGCTTCATGTGTCCGTTAATATGTAAGATACACAAAAAAATGACCTTTCTGTAGTAGACAGAAATCATCTTTTTTGTACTCTGCTCATGAAAAAAGAGAAAAAAACATGTTTCTTCAGAATCTAATATGATTTTGGCTTTTTTTCCTTTCAATATGCCTTTTCTCCTCCTCTCTTACTTCTCGCTAAAGTTGTCAGATTCCTTCATCATGAAACAATTTTAACACCTACGGTACCTGAGGCCCGGCGTCCTTGTGCTCTGTCAGCCTGCGGAAGTCTCTGAGCAGCAGAACCTCGTCGTTCTTCAGGCCGTGAACGTGGAGGGACCGGAGGAGCTCGCACAGTCCCGCCGGAAGTGAGGACAGAGCCTGGAGGAGGGAGACAGAGACACATCATCATGTGGGTCAAATTACCCACAGCAATATAACCTGAAAATAGGGCTGGGTGATATGGCCTCAAATCAATACCGTTTATTTATGTATTTTTTGGACACTGAATATATTGATATGGGCTAAAGGACGTTGGTTATTGTCGTAAATTTTGGTATCTGTAAATTTTCGGTTCATCGCCCAGCCCTACCTGAAAATATGACCCATCAGCATCTTCTTAGGATTCATTCATCATTCATGTGAGTACCGGTAAAAACATACCTGCTGGGTGACATCTTCCCCCTCACACTGACCAGGCAGACAGACGAAATGAATCTGTGAAGGAGCACAGACAGAGACAGTCAGTGTTTGTCTTTGAATGAGGCTGCGCTCTGTCTCTGTTAAAGCTGCTGTTTGTGTGACAAACCTCTGTCAGTCTTGTGGCGTCTCTGGTCGGCAGCTCCAGGCCAACGCTGCATAACTCCTTTCTGTTCCTGAAGAGGCTCTTCACACACTGCGCTCCAGTGTCACGCACAGTCTGCAAACACACACACACACACACACACACACACACACACACACACACAAGTTCAGGGTTTTTCAGTCTAAGTAGATGGTTACCCAACAAAAATAACAGGAAACCAGCGTGGATGTATTTGTCTCTTACTGTAGCATGCACGAGAGCTTAATGCAGCTTTTGAGTCCCTAAGTCCCTGCTCACATACCTCTTTCCGAACTGAGGCCCTGGTCCTTAAAGGGACTCCTCTAATACGTGCACAGGCATCCATGGCAACAGAGGTGGCTGACTGGCCGCTCACCTGTGAAAAGGCAGGTGTGGAGAAGAGGGGGAGAGTGGAAATCATCACAGAGTAAGTTATAAAGCAACCACACGAGTGCAAGCATAGAAATGAAATATAATTTTGCATCCAGACCTACAACTGACTTCCTTTTTCTCTGCTACTTTCTGTGTCTGTTTCTCTTACGTGCCGCTTTGCTTTCACATCCTCAAGCACAGAATCACATGACAGTATGAGTGCCATTAGCAAACAAAGAGATATCACACCCTGTCTTTATTCACAGCTGCCATAAAAGGAAGCCTGACATGACAAAGACGGCACTTTACACGCAACAAAGGTTAAGTCTCTGCACCTGTGTTGTTCGGTTAACTCGCTGAAGCAGTGGGATCAAACCTGGGAATTTTAAGGTCTGAACTCAGCTTCTGGTTTGAGCTCCACATTTTTCAGATTGTACAGCCGACCTTTGAGACCAATGTCTCCTCCGAACCCGTGTGAAACTAACATGAGTCAGGCTCTCTTAAGAAGGCCTAGACTTGTCCTGGTGGTGAGGATAAGCTACAGTAGGCCGTGCTTCTTTGATATTCTTTAAACAGTCGGGCCTGCATCAAAGATCAAACAGTGAGGCAGGAGAGCAGGGGTGTGTGCTCTGAGCCGGGGAAACACACTCAGTAAGCAGCATGAGAGAGCGGCTAAAGGAGGCAAAATATTTACAGTGTACAAGAGGGAAAAGTTTCCCAAGAAATCCAATGCTCTCCTTTGAGGTAGGGTCCAAGGCGGCTGGTGGAGTCTAGACCCGGGCAGGCAGGTGGTCTCATTGATCAGCCCGTCCTGCATCCTGAGAACCAGAGGGGTAGACTACATGCCATCGGCTTCCTCTGCAGAACCAGGACCTCCAAGCCTCTCATGATGCTTTGGTGGGCTACAAAAACAACAGATCCAGCCACCGCTGCCGACCTCAACTATGCAGTGCATCCCAATGCGCTCACAGGCAAAGCAGGCACAGTGATGTCTATTATTTCTAAAACAGAGCTGAACAATATAAAAATAGTTGGTAAACCAGCTTCTCCAGCCTCGGGGTGTTTCATGTTCAGTTTACAGATTTAGCTCTCAGTTACAGGCCGGCAAGGAATGTTCTTCACAGAAAATCTATAAAATTAGACATTTTTTACTTTGTATTACGAGATCTTACACAGAAATAAACATGTTGACCGCCAGGAATGAAATGCATACCAACATCCAGTTATTACATATATAAAAAAATGGAAGACTTATGAGAAAGAGGCAAAAACAGATGATTAAGGAACAGTAAGTTTGAGTCACAACAACCTAATCTTGCATTTTTGGGGTGTCTTTTAGCCAGATGGAGATATTTAACTGTCCTCATGGGTCTGGATTGTGGGTTCACTAAGATAGCCACTGACTTACTGACCTAAGAAGGTGGCAGCTCAGCTAGCAGCCCCACCTTCTTCAGAGGAACTGACTTATATCATGTCATTGCTAGTTTTCAGTATTATATCTTACATAGTATATAACCTTTAAAAACAAAAGCTGAGCAAACAGTAGTGACAGCTCGACTTGCAGCCTCCAGGACACACAAAAGACCAATTCTTAACACAAATTTGTCCTGTTTTGTGTTTTTGTAAAGATTTTTAATGTTTCTTTTTTCATTTGTTGATATCTCTGTGATGATAGAGGAAATACCAATCTAAAAAAACAAGTTGAGCTAATAATAGTGGTAGCTCAGCTATCAGCCCCACCTTCTTCAGAGGAACTGATGTCATTGCTAGTTTTCAGTATTAAATCTAACATAGTATAAGACCTTGATAATGAGTCTTTTTTAAAGTAAAAATCTTACCCAACCTTAACTTACGAAAAAAAAAAAAAAAAAGAGGAAACAGTAGTGACAGTTCAATTTGCAGCTTCCAGGACACACAAAAGACCCATTCATAACTGTTCAGTGTTTTTTTATGTTTTTTTTTTCCATTTGTTTATATCTCTGTGATGATAGAGGAAATACCAACCATAGAAAAACAAGCTGAGCTAATAATAATAGTAGCTCAGCTGGCAGCCCCACCTTCTTCAGGAACCAGGAACTGATTTATGTCATGTCATTGCTAGTTTTCAGTATTAAATCTAACATAGTACAAGACCTTGATAATGAGTCTTTTTACATTAAAAATCTTATCTAACCTTAAGAAAAAACAAACAAACCGAGGAAACAGTAGTGACAGCTCAATTTGCAGCCTCAAGGACACACAAAAGACCCATTCATAACAAAAACTTGTCCTGTTTAGTATTTTTTTATGTATCTTTTTTCCCTTTGTTTATATCTCTGTGATGATAGAGGAAATACCAACCTAAAAAACCAAGCTGAGCTAATAATAGTGGTAGCTCAGCTGGCAGCCCCTCCTGGCATGCTTTGTCTTTTAAGGAGTTTTGAAGAAAATAGTGTTTTTAACCAGTGTTTGATGGTTTAAAATCAACATTACAGCTTTAAAAAGTCTTTTGTATGAGTTTTTTTCAGAACTATCAAAAACTTTCAGTCAGCATCTAATACGCTTTCTTTGCGCTATGCTCAATTAAATCGAGGATTTGAATGATTTGCAAAACCATTTACTTTTATTACCATCAACATTTCACGCGGCGCCCCAACCTTTTTTGGAATCAGGGTTGTAAAACCTACTGTTATCACATTTTCTGCTATCCTGCCAAGCCCTGATTTAGTGGCACGGTGAAAGAGAATCAACCTCCTAGAGCTGTATCATCACCTCGCGCAGCTTATGTGGTCACTTAATGCCTCATGTACTCTTTCTTCGTCATGTTAAGTAAACACTGCAATTAAGTGCAGCTAAGTTCAGGCTTTGAGCAAAGCCTCAAACACTGATTCATGAGGCTAATTATCACCGTGAGGAGCCACAGGATGCAGTCAAAAGATCTTGAGGTGAGTTTGTGATCACCTCAAAAGGCAAAGACGGCAAAAACGCTGTGTCAGGGCAGAAACTGTGTAGTCTAAAATCTTTTTGGTTTGGAGCTGATGTGGGAACATTTTTTAGCTTGAGTTTGGGTGGCCGGAAGGATAGATAAACAGAGACAGAGAGAGGGGAAAGGCAGAGACAGGGGAACATGGGAAAGACTCACGGAGAGAGAAAAACGCTGGTGTCTAATGTGGTACAGGTGAACCGTCACAGCAATTTGAGTCTGTTTCGGCATGAAGAAAAATTTAAGAGCTTAAAATAATTAGACAACAATTTAAACACAAACGATGAGAAAACATTTCCGATCTATGTAACTTCTACGTGAAACTGTCATACAGGAATTGAAATAACACAAAACAACGTCCCTTAAGCTGCTGCGCTTTGAACAAACTACTACCCCAAACCTTTGTGCAGGTCAGGATACCTCACACATCAATACAACAGCCTTTAGCACATAGATAAATGGCTGCTGACAATCACAGATCTGAAAGCAAGAAAATCAAAGCTTATGTGCAACAGTCTTACAATGTCGGCTTGGATCATCGGCAAACAGTATGCAAACTTTATGCAAAGTCAACATGTCCTAAGGGCAGCTGCAGAAGCTCCCATTGTGAAAAGGAAACAATAGAGTACAGAGAGTTCCTCCTGGATGTGTGCTTATAAGCTGACACATGGCCGCAACATTTTTTCAGAGGCAAGTCCTCCCACTCTGTTATTGGCTGTGAGGGTCAAAGATGAAAAAAAATCTCCTCGATATCAACAGAAAAGGAAAATCAGGGGTGTCTGGTAGCGACTCTTCCTGAAATTAAGATGTTTTATCTATTCAGAAATTTGAGTATTTTTTTTTCATTATTTTGCTTTTGCATATGATTTTTTTGTCTGTAGTAGGTTGGCTGCTGTGGACCTGCTGGACTCCAGCTTCATCGTTTATGATTGTCTGCCTCAGGCCCTGAGCTCTTTCTTCTCTTAGGTTCCTCTGGTGTTGCTGCAGACATGAACATCAGCCTCACTGACAGTAATAACATGAAACTAGAGTTAACTACTATTAGGCCTGCTGACTGTAATCACATTAAATTAATTTTACATTGTCCATAATTACTCATATCCTGATCCTGTAAACTGAATTCATCTGGTTTCACCGTTACATGAGCTGTTGTTTTTGTTGCTGCTGTTGTCCCCTGTCTCTCTCTCTCACCTTCCCTCTATCTTGTTCTCTTTCTCTCTCTATCTCTCTGTATTCCTCCCCAACCCAGCAGCGGCCTGGTGGCTGTCTAGCATGAGTCTGGTCCTGCTCAAGGTTTCTGCCTGTTCAAAGGAAGTTTTTTCCTCGCCACTTTTACTCATGTTAGACGAGATGGACCAAATCCCATCTTAGGTTGGGTCTTGATAGTCTAGACCTGCTCTTTTTCTTTGGAAAGTGTCTTGAGATGACGACTGTTGTGAATTGGTGCTATATAATAAGAATAATGAGTATATGATGCAGCTGCAGTCTAAAGATATAATTAAGTTTATATGTCATATCACACAAAGTCCTGTGATGCCTGTCAATGTCTATAGAATATAGAATATAGAATATAGATATCTATAGAAGACAGATAGTGATGAGAGTCTCTGAAAAAGGCCATTCACTGTAGATAATGAACAGCATAATCTGAGTCCTCATACAAGGAGGTTACACAAGAAAGCAGAGTGTTAAACTTGACAAATGATATGATTACCAAACCGCATAAGGACAAAACAGTTTACTATCACTGCCACCTAAATCAGAAACCACCCACAGTTAACATCACTGACAACATCCAAGCACCATGTCAACAACTATTGTTTCGTGTATAACCTCTACATGTTAAAATAACAATCAAACTATACCGGGTAACCGTCTGTGACCCGCATCAGAACAGGCCACAGCCGAGCCTCTCTGACTGGATGCTGATGTTGATTCACGACCACTCAGGCTCTATGCAGTCATTTCCACAACACACAAGCTGTTAGCTAGCGAACTGGCTGCTATCCGTGCATTCAATATCCATCTCTACTCACAATAATCAATGTAAGAAACCTCTAAATGTTAGTCAGTTAAATTCGAGCACCTTGCTAGTTGATACGCTGTCAATCATCGGGCTATCAGCAGCAGAACCAGGCCGCGGTCGGCTCGATACGTGATGTAACCTTACTGTCGATAGCTAGCATTTAGCCACAGAGCTAACGGTAGCGCTGAGGTAGATTCTTAAAAACGACACTCAATTAATCCCCTATAATTTTCTGTGGATTCCAAACATATTCGTTTCCCTTTACAGTGTCATTTTACCTCCCAGCTCAGTGTCGGACTCCAGCAGCGATGACGGTAGCCTCTGAGGTTGATGGGCGATCCGCGAACGATTCGTTCGTTTTGAACGACTCTCGCCAATGATCGGTGACGTATCGGTCGAAAGCAAGTGAAGTATTACTGCTGATCAGATAAATAGCAAAATGACACAGAAATGTCTTCTGGGACTATGACATGAATACCCCCAAAAAAATTTTGGGTGATTTTAAAAGCAAACTGGAAACATCTTTTTAGTCTTGCTTTTACCTAAATTGTTTAAGTGTTTTAGCATTTATCTCTTCTCATTTTAATGACAGGATCGTTTTTTAATGAGCTATTTTGGTGCTCTTATTTTAGTATCTTTTACTGGTGTTTTTATTTCATTAAATCTATTATGTCTTAAATTTCACTCCATGTTACTTTGTTTTTAGATTTTAACCTAAACCTCAAGTGTTTCCTTATCTTGAGTTTTAAAATGATGTTTCCTCAATGCACACATTCCACAGAATCAAGCCCTTTTTAAGATTATGCATTTTAATACTGTTTCTGTTGCATTCAGATTGTAGGATGGGAATTAGGGGTTGGGCTAGGGTAGATTTGGGTATTCTTTTATTCTTTTTTTCTGTGTAAAGCACTTTATGCTACATGGCTGTGTATGAAAAGTGCTATAGAAATAAAGACTGATTGATTGATCGATATCTTTCTTGTCTGAAAAAAGACCACCTTATATCACTGATCTGTAGCTTCAGAGAAATACACAAATCTCCTCACTGTGACTTTTCACGATTCAAATTAATCAAATGAATCAACACTTGACATGAAACACACACATCTTCCACATAGAAGAATAAATACGTTGCGAGTTTATAGACTAATACCAATACAGTAATCATTTAACACGCATGCATCTCAGTGATTTATATTTTCATGTGACGTATTCGAAGCTGAGATACTCTTTTTTCAATATGGAATAAAAAGGCTTGTTTAACTGAAATAAATACCTCAACTACATATGATGCACTTGCCCAAGCTGGCAATACACTTAAAAGATTTGAGAACACAAGTATGCTTAACTCCCTTGGTACGAATTTAGCCAACTCCCAAAACTGAATCGAACTACCCATTTCCAGAGCATACATTTCTTCCCATGAAAACAAGGATGTTTGAGGCATCATTAATCGAACGCCGAGAGCACGATATATGTCGCACTGTCAATGTAGAACACGGACCGATCGAACCTTAGACACAGACGCCAAAATAAACTCAGAGTTTGACTTTATTCAAAGCGAGTTTATTTCATTCTTACGTCAAAGACAAAGTAAGTAAGTACACAAACTACCACAGTGCAAAACAGAAAGTGAAAACGTGCTCCATTGTTTGAATCGTGCATATTTTGCTTTTGGTCTGGTTTATCGTATTGGTGTCTGTTTATGTTTTATATTCTTTTGACTACTTAATATAGACAACTTAACAGATATATTGTAAGATATGAAAAGATATTTATTGATGTAAAATTTATAAACAGAAAAATACAAGGTAACTGTTTTATTTTCTAAAAACTAAAGAAAATATGTCATTTTCATCAATCAAAATGACTCAAAACAAGAATGATCATTTTTTCTATGGGGATATAACAGAGGATAAATTATACCAATTTGACTCTAACTTGCTCTATCTTTATTTACCCTGACAACCAGCAGTGGACAGTGAGGTAGATTGACTTCAGTACAATTCAGTTAACATTTTGAATATCTGTACTGTGATGAATTTTCATTTTTACGCCACTATTTGAAATACAAATACGGTCCTTCTGACTCTGCTACATCTCTTTCAATATTCTCATTTCTCACTGCTACAATTTTTCAAATCTGACCTCAAAGACAGTAACCTGTTTGTAAAGTTCTGCATGTGTTTCGTCAAAGTGGTGTTTCCGTACCTGTGCATGCTGCATCGTCTCCATGGTTGAGCATAGAACACAGATCAGGCAGTTGATATAGTAATGTTTATAGTGCTACAACAGAGAAGGATGAGGATTTTCCACCTGAGCACTCATGGACATATCTTCGGCTCCCATTTGAGCTTTTTAAAACAATGAAGGATTCGCATCATTTCAAATATCCAATCTGTTTATTGGGCACAAACAGCAAAAAAATCACCTTCTAGCCTGAGAAATCATGTGGAGTTATAAAGCATAACATTTATTTTATTCCAAATAAACCAAATTGTCTTTACCTGTAACTTGGACTCTCAAGAGAAACACATGAAACCTCCTTCAAATCTTTACATGTTCATGCACTGTTTATTTTCCTGCAGATCAAATAAAACCAGAGAGAAACAGAGCCGTGCTGCATATGTATTTGGTTTTATTGAAGAAGAGAGATATGAATAGGTAGCCTGTTTTAAGGCACCTTCAAAATGTACAACAAAAGCTGAACCATTTATTTATTCAGAATACAAAAATACACATCTCAGTGACTCCAAATTGTAATAAATAGTTAACCATGCATTCTAACCATAAAAAGGCACAGAAAACAGTCACTTAGTAGTCATAAAAATGATCCACTACTTTACCAAAAATCATCCAGATAGTAATACAGGTGACGACTGTAACATTATATTCCAAATGTGAAAACACAATACACATCATGTCATTAAACCTTAGGCAATAAATATGCAAATATTGTTTATACCTACATACATAGTCTTAAAAATGAAACCTGTGCCATTGTAAACTTAATGTAAACAAATGAAACTCACTCTTCTCCCATCGCTTTAGGAAAAATGTCAAAGACGTTTAGTTTTTCCCTCTTTTAAGAGATCCTTGCAAGGGTTTCGTTGGTTTTTAGAAACCAGGCAGTTTGCAGCATTATTTACAGACCACTGGGAAAGGGAGAAAGGTGGCTACTTTCACTTTTTATGGAAAGGTCAAGCATTCTCTCACCACGAGTCTGGGGCCTGCACACTCTGGATTCAGAGACCCCCGGCAGACACACAAGACACAGTTCAGGAACGGAAAGAGTGAATGAAGAGATGGAGAGTAAATGCATGAGTGACACTGCAGGGGCAAGGCAGCGGACAGCAGGTCGACTAGACTGCTGCATTTAAAGCACATACTGACTGAAAGGCTTCAGCTGTCATTCTCAGAAAGAGTTTAACAATGATTCTGACTAAACAAAGAAATAAAAGGCAGCCTTCACAACACAAGAAAATACAAGCTTGTTTGTGTAAATTTGTAATTTTCAGAAGCTAAAACCATCTTTGGCTAAGAATTGCAAGTACATGCAATATATTTTTTAGCATTCTTGATTTCATAAATACATTTTAGCATGTTAAAAACAGCAGTCTGACACAGCTGATTGTCTGCATAAGCAACTAAAATCATGCTGCTTGAAAATGTTACTCCAAAAACTGGAAATTTAGTCGATCACCCTCCTGTGGAAGATTACAGACAAACCAGGTCTGCTTTTATAATTCCCTCACATTCTGTTATTCCTGAAGATGCATTTTTGCATTTTCAAACTCATCTTATTGTGATTACAACCTCAGGTCCAAAAAACGGCAGGATTCTGTGCAAAATGTTGATAGAAACAGATTTTAAAGGGTTTGCAAATCATTTAAAGAGCAAAGACAAGAAATCAACAACACAGCTGTTCTATGGAAAATATAAACTTATTTTAATCTCCGAACTAATGAGGTTCATTTCCAACAGGTTAGTAACAAGAGTGGGTAAAAAAAGGACAATCAGAGAGGCCGAGTCTCTCAGAAAAAAAGATTGGAAGAGGTTCACCACTCTGTGAGAGACTGTGTGAGCTGATAGTTCAACAATTTTAAAACAAAGTTCCTGAGTGTAAAATGTCAAAGAGTTAGTGGATTTCATCATCTGCAGTCCACAATATTGTTAAAAGAGTCAGAGGATCTGGAGAAAACTCTGTACAAAGGGGACAAGGACGAAAACCAATACTGATTTTCAGGCCCTCAGGCAGCACTGTATTAAAAACAGACAGGACTCTGGAGTAGAAATCACTGCATGGGCTCAAAATCACTCCCAAAACCCATTGTCTGTGAACACAGTTCATCACTGCATCAACAAATTCAGGTTAAAACTGAACCATGCAAAGAAGAAACCGGATATAAACATGATCCAGAATCACCAGAGACTTCTCTGGACCTGAGCCCATTTAAGATGATCTGTGAGGAAGAGGAAAACTGTCCTATGGTCTGACCAATCATAGTTTGACTTTTGATATGTTGTCTTTGCACTTTTTTTTAAATCAAATAGAGGCTCTAAATGATTTGCAAACCACTTAATTCTGCTTTTATTAACTTTTCAAACAATGCTGACTTTTTTTTACGAGGTTGCAGATTATGTTGTTATGACTTAATTGTTAACAGAAGTCAGAGTACTTTGGAGCAGAAACAAGTCATAATAAAAACCAGCAAACAAGCCAAAAAAAAATCTCCAAAGTCTGGAAACTTCATGATGTAATGCGATAAAATAAGTTGGCAATGGTAGTCATACAATTGCTGATATGGTAAAATATGCCACTGTTGTAGTAGACACACCCAAATGCACACATTACATACATTGTGATCCATACTAACACACCAACGCAACAGTCACGTCTGCCCATTCCTCTCACTCACTGACACAGTCCGACTTTAGTGAATCATCTTGGAAGCACAGAGGAGCAAAACTACAAACTGATGAACTGCTGGAAGAAATTTAGAGTCCGTAAGAAAAAAGCAGTTTGTCTAACGGGTTTGACTTTTTAAAATCTATAATCCCCAAAACCCGGAGGAGGAGAACATACAAAACAACTCTTTCAATGTTACTTTTCCCCCTAAACTGAGGAACATCATGTCGGAAAGCTGCAGAGACAGTATCAAAAGAAGAGATCAAATATTGCACCATCATTAGATTACAACAGCATCATCATGTACAAGAGATCCAACAATACACACTTTTTATGGTGTAATATACACAATCAAATGTGTAAGCTGTTGACAATGCATGCCATGTCAGCAATCTACAAAAGCATCAGACTACAACACAAACAAACATTGTTTGCATACACCAGTATACTGTATATACAGTGCATATGTATATATATATTTATATATATGTACAAACTTAGCATCACATATAGAAATATACCCTGTAATGCCATCATTCTTAAAAGAAACTAAAAGGAATATTCTATCAGCATCCTGCTTGAAATTTGAAGGGAAAGAAGCTGCACTTGGACGATGCTATGCAGGCTGCAGATCAACTGCTCTGTTACATATCTAAATCCTATTCTCTTTAGTGTTAAATACTGTGATTAAACTGCCAAAAGGTTAAAAGTTGAGGTGAGCTGTTAATTCTATGTAATGACATGAGTTTTGCACTTGCACAAAGCAAGAAGTAAAAAGTGCCGGTTAAGTTTTCCTTAAAAATAACTCAACAATCCTAAAATATGAGAGGTTCAAAACAATAATGTCACTTTCCTCCAGACTCACATTTCTCTTTCCCCTCTTATAGAGTGATTTAGGTATTTTACAACCTGGGCCTTTAATATTTTAGGGTACAGATGACAAATAGGTTCACAAAGTTCTCCATATCACCTCAGCCAGCACCAGCTCAACAAGTCTCAAAATATTGAACTTGATCCTTTGCTGCAAATTTGCCCGTTCTGGATGGCGCATCATGACATATTACATAAATCTGGGGTGCGTCTGGGTGCCGGATTCTAGGACTGGTTTGGATCCTGTGTCTAATCTTGAGCCAGTTCTTTGTGTTCTGAATGGCTTTTCGACAGACAAAATAGTCCCAGAGTAGCATTAACTCACTGCTAGTCAACAAGAAAGAACTGCTAACGTCAGGGTTTGTGACCAGATTGAAACGACCCTCAATTAAGTTGTGATTATTTTTCAAAAACAACTTCTGAGCTTCTGCAGAAATATTTGGCAGAGCAGCTTTGGTCTGAGGAAGGAGAAAATTGCAAAATACACCAAGTCTGCAGCAGGAGAACTCAGAAACAGATGATGTTTGAAATTTAGGGGATAGAGGACAAATTTTTAACCATCAATAGAAGCTTTTAAAGAAACGTTTAGGGACCAGAAGAAGGATTTTTTGTAAGAGACAATGGTCTGCAAGAAAAACCCAAACTGTAACGATCCGCTGAAGCGATCTGCAAACTTCATGAACCATTTAGACACTCAGCACCCTAATGCACACACACACAAAAGACCCAGGTTTAAAAACACTACTATTCCCCACGTCTGAATGAAATCAAGACCTCCTGCCCTACTAAAATAAAGCATTTGAACAAAATCATCGAATAATCCTGTTTTCTTAGACATTCACTTAGGTACTGATTTCACATCCACTAAGAACGTGTCAACTTACAGATATTAAATCCACATATTCAGACCTCATCAACAGCTTTGAAAAACTTCTTATGATGTCTACCAATAAAGCACGGTTCACACTAAATGACTGAAAGTATGGCACTTGACACAAATCTTTGACACATCATTATCATGCAAACGGAATAAATTAAAGCTGGAAAAGAAGCTGGATTCAGACCAAAAAAAGGATGCTTCAGTAGTAACAAATGGCATCGTAATACTTAAGTCATGTAAAACTTGTTCAAGTGTTATTTTGCACACAAAAAAATCAAGACACTAATCATGCAGTTAAACATATTTAAAGTTGAGCAAGCATAGCATGCGACAGTGTCCACACCTTCCAGATCACACCTGAACAGGTTGTTTAATGCAGCTGCAGCTCTGCAGTGGGAGGCAAACATCACCTTTTTACACGCTACCCACTTCAAACTTTCCCCCAAACTCATGGAAGTCCTGGTTTTGCTACTAGTTTGTTATCAACTCGGACAACAAGTCAGCTGTCAACAGTGTAGTTAGTTGCATACCTGATTGTGTGCTATGAACGGTTATTTTAACTTATTAATGGCTTTTTTTGTTGTTGTGAAGATCCATGACTTCCTTCTGCACTTCCTTTAGCGCTCCGCCGCAGACTATTTGGCACCAAAGAAACAAACTTCAGCAGAAAGTAAATCCAGCTCCAGTTGAATTGCCGTCTTCTTTTCATTCTCTGCACTTGGTGCTCCTCAACTGTCCCACTGATTTAAGGGGAACGTCTGATTCCCCTCTCTGAATGCATCTGCATCCAGGTTAGAGGTCCACCATGGAGGCCTTGGCCAGGTCCTTAGTTCCCTGGAGAATTCTCTTCATATGACCCACTTTCGATATCCCCAGATCCTGAGGAGAAACAAGGAGACCAGCGTATTAAAAAAAAAAAAAAAACACCAGTAAGGAAGCACAACAACCAGACCTTGGGTTTTAGGTTGATGCTTTTTGTGAGTCTGATATCATTTGTTTTGTGTCAAAGAAACCATAACTGACAGCTGTGATCTAATACGGGGGGAATTCACATCATGTGGTTTTTGAGACTGACTCCGGTACTTAGAAAAAAACTTTGTGTCTGTGGAGTTTGTGCACAAATTTACACTGATAGGTTTCATTCAAAACTTTGTAAAAACTATCCATGTGCGCAGAGAACCACAATAACAACTGTAAGCACTGGAGTTCAAATACCAGGCTAGTAGCTGGCCGTATAATTAAGCATGGACACGCCTCTGCAGAACTCTATGTTTCTGTGCATGAAAGGATCCTCAAACAGGGAGGTGAGTACAAACAAACATCAGAGTTTGAACAGTTTTCACCCGATTACAGAGGGGGTATTTTGGACTTGGTTTCAATAAGTTGGTGTTTCCAGCCGCCCAAAATGCAGGTTCAGTGTAGAGGAACGACCAAAATATACGATAGTTCACACTGGACATGTTTCTGTGTGGACAGCCGCTCAGCTGTGATGCTCTGCTACATGTGCTACAGACAGTGTGGAAAGTATTGTACACAATAGAGTCAGAGCGCCCTCTGCTGGACAGATTTACAGACGCTAATGCAAAATCACCCAAAGCGTTGAGATCCGTGTGGACAAGCTCACAACTTTGTGCTATCATCAGGTCAATATTTAGTTAAAATACTTGATTTAATAGAAGTGAAATTCATCCAATTGACTATCAAACGTGTAAATTTAGTTGTAATCCTTTTAGGCTCAGACAAACTCAGTATTTAGACATTTTTAACAACAAAAACATCACTATTATCATAGTTCTGTATGTTATAATTGTAATTATAAGCTAAATATGAAGTTTTATCCATCCTGGTAAATCACAAAGAAACACAGCATATTAGACACATGATGTGACTGACTGATCAGCTGTTATGACGATGAAATGAGGAGCACAGATATAAAAAAACAGGTATACTGAGTGTGTGTGTGTGTGTGTGTGTGGGTGGGTGTCTGCGTTTATTGTGTCTGAGGGCTTTACTAGGCTCGACGTCAGCATCCTGCTGCTCCTGTGCAACGATGTTTGAGAAGAAAATATTAAAAAACATGATGCTCGTCTCGGTAAGTTTAACAAATCGGTTCATTTAGTCTGATTTTGTTTTAGATATGTTCTTTTTATTCAGTTTGAATCATTTTTTTGTGATCCAGATTAAGAGTCTGAAATCGGACTGTGATACAGTTACAGGGCTAATGATTGTACGAGACATGTATGCTGCAAACAGAAAATATTTCAGGTCGAAGGTCTTTGGTTCTTTGCGCATTTGCACATTTTTTCACCCACTGCAAATCACAACACCAACATACTCATACCTTTTGCAGTGTCTGTCAGTCTACATTTGCCATCTCTGGATCATATCCTTACACACTTTCTATGCATTTCTTAATGTGTCTGCTCTTTATTATCTGCAATCTGTAAAAATGCACCTGTACTCAGTCACACCTTACTCGCCATCCCACACTGGATGCAGTTTGAAATCTCCAGCCTTACTTTAAAACATTATCTCAGACTCTTTAATATGGGTTTAGAAAAGTCTACCATAACTCAGGCACCAGTTTCCTCAGATAATTCACTCTCTATTTGCTTTCTGGCTGCAGATATATGTCAGGACCTGAGGTGATCTCGCTTTTGAGGCCATAGCATTAAAACTACGAGATGCCTCACCTGCTCACTTATGGTCTGCTGAGTTGGTTGATAATGTCCCAGCTCACACTCGTTTGTCATAATCATTTCTTTAAGACAAGAGCCATCAAACAATTCATTTTTCACATTGCAATCAAATATCTTATTGGGGACGATCACATTTTAAATTGTATTTTGTGCCAAAATGGCGTGCAGTTGTTTCAAGATAATTATGGTTACTAACCGATGTCTAAGACTCCTTGGTTAATACGAGCACATCTGCACTTTACATGACTTCCACTTTGGTTACTTTCTCAGTTTCTTTAATGTAGTTTCATTAACAGGTTTGTGGTGATTTACAATAATAACTCACTAACAGTTCTCTGCTGATTTTTGTGTTACAGTCGCCTACTGTTCCTGTTATTTGCCTTATAAGTGGAGCTGAAACTCAAAGTGCTTCAGTGAGATTTTAATTTCTTTTTTACACTAAATTATTAAACTATTTTAAACTTGTCAGCTGAGCTATCTTGGACTTTTTAAAGTGTTGTTCAAAAGTGCAGTGGTGTCATTTTTGTCCATTATGGTGGCAGCAGGAAGATAGCGCCGTGGTTGGACTGCTGCATTTAAGAGAATAATACACACATTTTTCTAACTTAATCCAAGAGTGATTAAAACACTAATGCCCATAGTCCTGTTTCTATATTTAGCTAACTGAACACTTTTTATAAATAGCTTCATTGATGGGGTTACTTTCTGCTCAAGAGTGTTTTGTCCTATTATTTTGCATGTATTATGCTTTTTATACACTTTATTAATTTGTCTTGTCTGTTGTCTGCTTTCACTTTTTGTGCTCATCTTAATCTGTAAAATAACTCTCTATTCGAGTACATTTCGTTGAACTCCTGAAAGAAAAGTCATATGAACAAAGAGAATTGAGTCACTTCATTTCCTCATGTTTGAGCTGAGCCAGTGTTCAAATAAAAATCTTCACGCCCTGCCTGACTCTTGCTCTGAATATCTGCCTGCCTCCACCCTGTAGGCTTCCCCTCTCCAGCAGGTAGACAGTGTTAGTGGGTTACAGCAGCGGTCAGACAGTAGAAGCCAAGCAGAGCGATGCAGCAGCACGACAGGGTTACAGAGCGTCAGGAGTACAGTAGATTAAGAGGGGACAGAGAGAAGAGTTGATTTTGAGGGATTACACAGATTCACTGAGGGACTCAGGTGTGTGTTAGTGTGTGAGTGTGTGTGTGTGTGTGTTTGTGTGTGTACCTTCAGGTCCCTCCTCTCCAGATGCAGCAGCTCTGAGCCGCGGATGTCGTGTCTGATGAAGGTGTCTCTGTACTCTCCCAGACTCAGCTGCTCCAGCCAGACGCCCACTTCTTCTGTGCCCCATCTCTCCACTACACACACACACACACATACATACACACACATCCAAAAACAAACACACAAACACACATGGACACATGGAGCAGAGCAGAAAGAGGCTCAGGGTGCCTCATGGTTCACCAGTAACTCTCACACGTCACTCAACTTCCACGATCACCCGTGTCTCAAGCCACACAGCACGTGTACAGTATGTGAACATGTTTACACACAAAAATGAGCACAAAGTGTGTTGAATCATTGAAGGAAAAGCGATGGAGAAATAATGGAGAGGAAGAAAGAAAGAGTAGATGGCAGCAGCTGGCGGAGGAGGAGGAGAAGGGAGGAGGAGTTTGAGGGCCAAAGGTCGGTCAGGACAAGGCAGCGGCCAATGGCGTTTAAGGGTCATGCATTTCATCCACCAGTGTCAAAACACACAGATATAAGGAGGAGGTAAAAGAGGAGGAAGTCTGTGCAATCTGAGGAAAAATCAGCCCGACGGATGTGATGAGAGGAAGGGCTTCAACCTGCTCTAACAGCTTTAATTCAAACTAGAATATGAACCCATTTAGTTTCAGAGTTTCAAACAGTAAATACGCTAAGTTCGTTTTAGTTTGTGTTTTTTTATTCTCCTGACTTTGAGCCATTTGATGCCATGTGGTCAGCTGAATGACTGCATGAATGGAGGGTCGGGGAGTGCAGGTTGACAGGTGAGGTCAGACTCTGGGATGTAACACCTCAAACACACCCATTCATTGTGTTTGGATAACAAACATTGATACCTGACTCATGGAGAGACAGTAACATGATAGTGAAAGGCAACCACAACAGCAGTTTGGAGGAGCAGGTTTGTCTTTGTGTGCGCGTCAGCTCACAAAAACATTCAGTGTATCTGATAGGAATCAATAAATACGGTGAGCACTGTCAAAACATCCTTGGCGCCACGAGTGAAAGGACTTCATCAAAGTTAGTGTGAAATTTTGGATTTGAGACCAAGAAATGGTCTCTCAGGCTGCTTAAATCAGACAGGGTTCCTACACAGTTGGAACTTCCATACTTTTCCATACCCTAATTTTCAGCATTGTTTTTGGAAATACTTACTTTTCTATTTTTAGAAAACAGTGTTTGAGAATTTTGGTAATAATCTGGAAACATAAATATTTTTCCATACTTTATTTTTCATTTTCCATACTTTCTAAGACCTGAAAATTGATCAAATATATTTCCATACTTGCGTAGGAACCCTGATAAGAGAAAATAAACAACATCGAAGCAGTATAAGAATTGTATAGTAACCCTTTCTTTTTCGGTACACTTATTACCAGGTAATTAACAGGTAATTACCTAGTAACAACATGAAATTATCTGGTAATTACACGATAACTACTAAGTCAATACTGTCAAGTTTGTCTTTGTTTCTTTTTTCTGTGCAGCTCCATTTTCAAAAGCTATTTGGGGTTCTTATTTTCTATGATTGACACTTGATACAGCCATTATCACAGCGACTCACCCGCCGAGTGCGTACAATGCTACTGCGTAAGTGGTGGTTCCAGGAAGTGGAGAAAATCCTGGAAATACCAGAGCAATTCAGCTTCAAATTTGTATGATGATAGAAGGTTACCTACCTGGTAGACAGTATTGACTTAGTAGTTATCATGTAATTACCAGATAATTTCATGATGTTACTAGGTAATTACCTGTTAATTACTTGGTAATAAGCGTACCGTAAAAGAAAGGGTTACCAATTGTATTCAAGAAGCTCTGGTTGATGTGTAATGCTCTACCACTTGAATCTATTCTAACACGGCTAACAGATGAAATCTTGTAGCATGGCAGGATTTAATCGTCTTTAAAACCGCAACTCTATCTCCAAAAAAAGTTAGGACACTTCGTAAAATGGAAATAAAACAGAATTTGATCATTCCGAAATAAATTATTGTCTTTGTTTATATGAAAATGGTGCAAAGACAAATAACTTTTAGGGTTTTCTTTGACAAATATCTGCAGACTTTAATCTTAATGCCGGTAACATGCATCGAAAAAGTTGTTACATGGACTCCAAATCGCCTCCAAAAAATGTTGTTCTTGAACGCAGCAATGCCGTTGACTTCTGAGCTCACTGAAGATGGATTGGAATAAAATGGAAAACTCTTTTGTGGCTTAATGATTAAAAAGATCTAAAAATAATGAAACATATATCCTCAGTTCTAAACTAAGTTTTTTTTTCCGTGCAGTTCTTCCCAGTGTCTTAACTTTTTTGGTGGTGGGGTTGATAAAGTTGGATTCTGACTGTTTCTGGTCAAACTGGCCTAAAACACTCAACCAGCACAGGCATGTGGACATTTCTTGCTAGGAAGACCAAGGGAAGCACACTGCAACTATTACAGGTTTTGTTCTGCAGAAACCTCAGAGAGCGACTCGTAACTGTTTAAACCAGATCCCTAAATATGTGAAATAAAACAGACAGAGTCCATAATGAGGCTATAAGTAGCCCATCTGTGCACTCTACTCTCTACAGGGGTAAAGGAGGACTCGCTCCTACCTGACTGCGGGCTCATCTTCTTGGCTGCCTTCTCCTTCTTGAACTTGGGCACTATGCGAAACATGCTGCTGCGACTGTTCCTCTTGCCGTAACCCAGAGTGTGATCCTGGTACATAAGCACAGTCAACCTATAGCCTTTCATTTAGCTACCCAGCTCTCCCGTTACCTGGAGCCATGTTATTATGAACACAATCAGTACATGTGTGCAGATAGCTCTGAGTCACGAGGAGCAGGAGCGAAATGTGTGGGTACTTTAATGTGTTTTATATGTTTATCGTTGTGTTTGTTTTTGCAGAGGATGCTCACCTCCTCATCGTTTGGCTGCAGGATGTGGTAGAGCCAGGGGATCTCTCCCAGTTTGGCCAGTTCCAGCTCAACACTCTGCAGAGCGCTGGACAGCTGCTCCTCCTCTGGGGGGTCCAGTTGCTGCACGAAGGAAAACACAAACACAGATGAAAACAATAACGCTGAAACTTTATAATGTGTTTAAAAGAAAAAGCTTAAGGGTTTAGCAGAGTTGTTGCTATAAAAATTAAGTATCCACTTCAGTTTATGAGGACTTACCAAGGAGACTCGGCCCACCAGCAGGGACTCGGTCTCGTTGTAAAGAGCCTTCACGGTGCTGGCCACCTCTATCGCTGTGTTTCTGGTCAGACTCTGAGTATGGAAAACAAATGCGATTGTCTATAATGCAAACACACAGTGTAAGAGTTTCATTGAAAACAGGGACTGAAACTCATCTGGTCAGGGGTTTGATTTGCAGCTGCATTCAGATCACATGAACTAGCAAAGAGTGTTAAAGCTAAACCCTCATGGTCCAACTCTTAAATGATGAAGTAAGCAATGTTTCTTTGACATAAGTAGGGTGACCATACGTCCTCTTTTACCTGGACATGTCCTCTCTTTTGGAAGCTGTCTGACCTTGTCCGGGGGAGTTTATAAAATCCCTCAAATGTCCGGGGTTTTGTCCGGAAGTTCTGAGTTTGTGTCGCTTCGTCTTACTGAGTTAGAACAAGACACTCAACCCAACCCGAAAAACTCTCAAGATTTACTAAGCACGACTCCGCCCCCGTGTCGTCATGTCCTCTTTTTGGGGTTTCAGAATACGGTCACCCTAACATAAGTATTTTTGTAATAATCAGGAGTTTAATCAGTCTGTGGCTCAACTCTCTCGCCAGTATACACAGGGTTTCCTTCTATTCTTAATTCTTAACAAGCTACATTTCCCAGGAAGTAACTTTGGTATAAACTGAAAAATTAGCATAACATCCGTCAAGAATGGGATCTAAAAAGATGTGAAGTTTCCCTCAGCTTATCATAAATTGGGATAGATTCCAGTACAGGGGAAGATGCTGACAGCTCAATCATACTCTAATGCAAAACTGGAGCAAACTGTGCAGAGTTGCAGAAATTTGTATATCTTTAGTGCAACTTGCTGTGTGAATAAGACCTTGAAACAGGCAATTCTTGGAGCTATTAGTGGATGCAATCTGTTTTTAGTAAACAACTTAATTTCATGTTGCTAATTTGGCCTCTTCAGTTCTCTTTTCCTTCAAAGAAATTGACAGTATCAAAAGTGTCAGAGTGAAAACAGACACAGACAGAAATACTATTTTTCTGAAGTACTGCAACAGAAATCACTTTTATTGGCCTAAACAAACCTTTTATTATGTGTTAAACTAAAACCATTTGGTTGAAGAAACATGAGTTTAAACCCCTAAAATAAAGTCAGCTATATTATACAGTCACATCTCAGTGGTTAACCTGCAACAGATTACATTCAATGTGTGTATGGTGTCCAAGAGTCACCTCTGGGAACTTGGGGTGTGTTTTGTTGATGGCGTGTGATGCGGCGTTAACAGCATGAGCCAGCTCCTGTTCCAGCAGTCCGTAGGTCTTTGCAGCCTCACAGATCCTGAGATCAAACAAAGAACAAGTCAGTGTTTTCGAACTCATGGATTCATCATATTCCTGCTTGAGCTGACATTAATGGCAGTGCGTGTTTACCTTGTGATGAGCTCCTCTGCAGCTCGGGCGCACATCTGCACCAGGGAGGCCTCCTCCTCTGTAGCCAGGTCCACAGACTGCTGTGGGTAGAGGTGAGGCCGCAGTGGAGGCTTATCGTACTTCAGCTTGTCCTCCCATGACTTCAGCGTGTTCTCAAATGCCTGAGGAGAAATCAAAAGTGATATATGAAGCGAATAATGGAGAGCTTTGTGCATCTAAAAGCATCTCCACCTCCTTCTTTCTCTCTTCCTCACCCGGTCTCTGGTGAGCATCTGAGCTCTGTTCTTGTGTTGGATCTTGATGACACCAGGCGGCTGGATCCAGGCCTCTCCATCCACCTGAATAGGAACGCCCTCATCACCCAGGATGGTGATCTTCACTGTCCGACACTGATGAAAAGAGAATCGTCACATTTACATACTCATATTTGTTTATGTGTTTTTATTCTCTCTTTATTTTCCTCATATCTTCACCTGTGCAATACGATGGTGTTGCAGCTTGATGACTCTGGACACGGCCATCTGCATGCTCCCAAAGACAGCCACCACCTCCAGGATCTTATCATCAAACGATGGAGCACAGAAGATCTGCAACATGACAAACACATCCAGCGACTGTCTGAGCATGCTGCATTCATTTGTTTTGTGATGTGCAACAAATCCTCTAAAGCCTCCTCCAGAGATTTGTGTGTGTTTTTTTTTTGTCGTTTTCAGAAGCAGGTTTTATAAAAACACTGTGCTAATCCATCTCTCAATATTTTCTGACTTATCAACCATCTGTTGCACAAAACCCTGAATCCTTAAGCTCCTAGTAATGTAATAAATATAAAAATTTAAGCAAATCACTGAGTGACACTGAGTGATTTTAGATTTTCATTCTTTAAAACCCCTAGTCTGAACATGATGCTGTGCTAAAATGTTGAGAACTGTTGAGAAATTTAAAACCTAAATTTAATTAAAAATATTAGGTAACACTTTACAATAACCATAACTTATAAATGGTGAATAGACCATTTATAAACGGTAAGCAGATAGTTTATTAATGTTTAATCATCATTTATAAATAACATATAGACCATTAATAAATTGTAAATTTTACAGTTTTAAGACCCTAAACCTAACCCTAACTTTACAATAACCATTTAAGTAATGTTTATAGATGGTTTATAAACAAAATATTAATTAATCATAATTTCATTGCTTGTTAATGGTAAAATAACTATTAACTTACATTAATAAACTATACATTTGCCATTTATAATTGGTCCATATGCTGATTTCAAATGATGATTAAACATTAATAAACTATCTCTTTACCATTTTTAAATTATGGTTATTGTTAAGTGTTAACAAATATTGCAAAGACTAAATATCAAATGCTGAAACTGAAAAGTTATTTTAAAAAATGTTCCAACTCCAAATTTGATGAAGCAGTATGTTTTCAAAAGTTGTCCACGGAACAACCAAACAGGTAAAAAGTTTTGACATTGTTAAATATAAACTACATCCTCAGCTTTATCCTTTATTGTAAGCCCTGCCTGTCTTCTACATTTGTAAAAATCTCCTTCAGAGGAGACAGTCAGCTCTGTCAGCTCTGAATTAAAAATGAACTGTATTGATTTCTCGAAGCAAACTGTCAGTGAAAAGGTCAAAGCAATGAGGAGCATCAAAAACATGCTGGACAGGTAATATGAAGAGCGACGACATTATCAAATATGATCAGATGTATTGTCATGTAGGGCTTCAGCCACTGGAGGGCGACCAGAACACATTCAAGAAAAAGTTCTGTGTTGCATTTCGGGTAGAAATCGAGAGGAAATATTCAAGATTTAAAGGTTTTGTGTTTTGTGTGTCTGATTCTGGTACTACTTATGTTTTTAATCTTGTTTTTCGGCAAATTTTATCCTTTTAATTAAATGAATTAGCTGCAATAAGCCCAAACCTGAGATATAGAAAAACAAACAGCTTTTTTTTCCAGACATCTTTGTAAGTCAAGGTCAAATGTCAGTTTGATTATAAACTTAAACTAAATGTCCTCTCCTTCTTCAGCGTCCTGTTCTCAAGTTAAACAGTTACATAACTCCAAATGCTCAAACTTTATGTGAGTGTCCAAGGGTAACCGCTGCGGGGGCTCACCACAGGGTGTGCATGCGAGTGACTCCTATTCCCTCAGCAGCCCTTGTGCTACCCACCACCCCCCTGCACCTCCAGGCCATCAGGGTCATGTCAGACCATGACCGGGTGATCAGAAATATTTGTTGAAAGCACTTTCAAGAAGAATATGAACTATATGTATTTACATCATCCTCTTTGGTGCCGCCCCAGAAGTTGGTCCCTCCAGCATAACTGGGAATGTTTAAGACTGCGATCCCCTGAAGGCTGGGCAGAGGGATGTACTGACCGTCACACTGTGAAACAAAAACAGAAAAAAAAAGAATGGGTTACACAAGAAAAGTTTAGAAAAGATGCAGGATGCATGTTTGTGTCTTGGAGAGAAAGTTTGGGCATCTGCAGGATTCACATGAGCACTATAGTCTAGTGTCGCTGCAAACTTTTAAAGATCAGGCTTTTTTAGGACGTTTTTGAATCCAAACAGAAAAAATAAATACAGATTTTGCACAACAGAAAAAAAAATACACAAGTTTGGCTTATTTAAGATTAGATCTACCTTTTGCAAGGAACATAGTAGTTTGTACGACTTAAAATAGCACACAAGATAACCTAAAAAACAAGCAAACTTACCTAAAACATAAATAAGTTTCATAAATATGCACATTAATGCAAATTCTAATATCCTGTAATTTGTTAATTTCCAACCATTAATTTCCTCCCATTTTTATCTGTTCTGACACTTTATTTAGTTGATATTTTTTTATATATTCACACACAATGATATAAATAAAGCTGAATAAATGAATCCTGTCTGACCATTTTCAGCTCAGACGATGTGGTCTAACAAGAGCTTATATAATTTTAAGTTCAGCTGACATGTTTTTCCTTTCTTATTTTCACACTCAGTCCTGCTGGTCTCAATAATTCAAGGTGAGAAATAGGACGTTAAGATGCTAAATTACTTCTCATATAGATGTTTTGTTTTGAGCATCTACATAAAAATAGTGTTTCAGGAGTTTCCAGAATCAAAAGTTTTTTTGACAGATTTTCAGTAAATATTTTCTGTGTACACTTGTAGCTGACTTTCTCGCCCTCTCTCACCTCTAACTGGACCTTTTGCTCCAGGTTCTTGTAGGTTCTCTGCAGAAGCTCCTTCGTGCCCAGAACGCCGTACCACATCATGTTCTTGGTGCGACTCCTGTGCAAAACGAAGCAGAGGGGATAGACTCAAAAAGATGGAAACGGCAGGTTTATGAAGCCGACAATAAACATAAGCGAGTGCAGTGATAAAACATCTAGTAATAATTGTCTCACCTGCATTTCTCTGGATGCTCCTCTCGTTTGTTGTTGAACTCTAGTGAGATCTTTGCATCCAGACCGATGCCGAAATAGTTATTCATGACACACTTCTCCATGTAGCCCTCTCTGGATGGAAACGGTCACAAATGCAGAAAGAAAAAGCCAGTTAAAGATGAAACATTTGCACAAATACCAAGAGAATTACATTTATGTAAACAGGGTGAGGATGAAAAGAAAGCTGCTCTTACAGCGAGTCGAGGTCAGGGTCAATGAAGGGCGTTGCACCAAAGGGGTCAATGTTTGCCAGCAGCATCTTACTAATGATGGAGCTGCCGGCGATGGAGGCGGCCAGACCTGCTCGTAAGCCTGCAGAGAAACAGGCACAAAGACAGTCAGTCACATGATGCAAAGGCAGTTGGTCACATGATACAAAGATAGTCAGTCACATGATGCTGACATGCTAGAGTTGCTCTGTTCTGGGTTGTTTTCTTATCTGTATTTCAGACACAAGCTGTAGCCTTTAAGTTTACCGGGGCAGATGATACGAGTGTTGAGCACAGGCAGGTTTTCCTTGCTGGTGGTGAACGGGGTGATGGTGAAGGATCCACAGGACTGCGTGCTGCGGCTCACCCTCCTCTCTGTGGGTGAGCAGGGGCTCTTAGCTGCTGGAAACCAAGGCAGAAATTAAATCACAACACTTTCAAGAAAAATGACTTTGGACTCTTTGGACTTCAAAGTTGCCCTGACAAAAGTTAAGGCAGGTTCAGAGAGGGGGCAGGACTGTGAGAGTGTGCAATGAAAACAAACCTAGACTTGTTAAAAGGCCATAAATGGGGTTTACAGTTACAGATCGGTTGATACATGTCCTGTGTTTAGGCAGTCTTGCTTCATGCTTCCCTCTCTTTCCCTCGGTTTGCTACTCTATCTACGATCCCCTCCTCTCAAAAAGGCAAAAAAATCCAAAAATGAACTTTAAAAAATTAACAAAACAACAAAAACTTACTCATATTGAATAATTTGTGCATTTGTTAAGCATTAGTTTCCCTTAAAAACCTAAGAGACATCTGCAGATTTGTTGCATTTTGCATGAAAGTCAAACAACAAAACACAGATATGAGTCACTTACAAAAAAAAAATTGCTCCCTCTAAAGCCAAGCAGCACTAACAGTTTGATGATACAAATGCACTTGTGTTCTTCCACCTTTGTTTTGCACCTGATCTTCATGTTAGATTTGCCTTGATGCCTCAGTTGAACATCAGTACCAGCTCATTTTGACCCCTCTGACAGTGAAGCAGACGAGTTTGTTTATATGGGACATGACTTGTGGTGTTTAAAATCACACTGGGACCTACGAGACTTAAGAAGCTCAAACATTATTGATTTTCAGGTTTGAAAAAAACAGAACCAAGTTTTTGATCTCCAAACCAGATCTCTATCCCCACCCCTAATCTACGGCTAAGCAATCAACCCCAAATCTGTGTGTATGTTGACGGGTAATCCTGCAGAGCCTCTGCTGTCAGTGTGTGAATGAGTGAAAGCGAAATAAAAAGTTTTAAGTGCTTTAAGTCGTCTGAAGATCAGGGGGAATACTCATTGTGTGTCTTGTCTGACTGCCAGATGGCGTTTAATATTTCCATTTCTACACTGACTGCACCTTTAAACACTGATATAAGCACTGGCACTGGCTTTAACAATCAGTGCATCTCTTATGTGTATAAAATACACTCAGCGGTGTGTATTGATTTCCCATTTATGTAGGGATCAAAATAGCACCTCTGGAGAGCAATACCGGCCTTAAGAATAAAAGCAGGGAATCGTAAAAGGGAAAAGACATTAACTGATGTATTTTTGGCAACCTGTAGTACGCAGATGTATAATATAACTGTCTGAATATGATGCTTAAAGACTTAGAGCTGGTCATAAAAAGGATTGAATTCAATGAGCTCCAACAAGACCATCAGAAAGACGACTGGAAACTTTGATAATGTTATATTTGACGTCTAAAACTGCATAGAGTGATAAAAGGAGTTCAAAGTTTGAAGTTTCTCAATGTTTAAGTGTGTATTTTTGTTGTTTCTGGTCACATTGCCTACTTTTATTTTTATTCCCCTGCATGAACCAGCCCTGAACGGTCAGCCACATTAACATGATGAGTTTAAAATAGACTCCGGTTGACTGTTCTGCGTGCTTAGTTAGGTTCCTCTGCACAAGCGTGGCCTCTCTTCTTTTTCAGCTTTCAGCAGTTATGCATTTTTCCACGTGAACGCACGATGACAGAGTCCGAGCATTGCGTGTTTGCCTCATAACAACTCTGCTCACGCTGGCATCACGTGAGTCCTCTGCGGGGCAGCAAATACATGCAACCTTGGCAGAGTGGGAATCTAATCCTACGAGGAACAATCCTCTGCTCTCCTCAGCGTGTTTTGGTGATATGTGGGCAGGTTCAGGGAGGAGAGAGGAGGCAATATAAGGACACAAGGAGAGGACACAAAGCAGAGGCTCTGACTGATACCTCCAGCTCTTCCAACTGGCTGGAAAATGTGGAAGGAAGGAAGCAGGCCCATGATAAACAGGAAGAAGTTCTGCCCCAAAGACAATAACACATCCTGTGGCTGATGCACACACACTCACAGAGGCACATTAGACATTTACACCCTGAAACATGCATCCACAAATGAACCTGCAGAGGCCCTAAAACAGGCACAGGCAGACTTTATAGCTGCCCTGTTACCACAGTCATTCATTATTAAAGAGCCTCCTTCACCACAGACGGAGGTGCCGACTGGAGATGGAGAGATAAACAGCTCAGACTGCTGCAGGAGGTGGAATACCACAGGAGAGCAGCCCTCTCTCTGCACTTTTAACTCCAATCCTTCAGTTTATTTATGACAGGAAACATGATTTGCGTCAGCAGCACTTTTTCCATTAGCTATGTGTCTGGTTTTGTAGTGCAGAGAGCAAAACATCCACAAGGGGGCAACATTTAGACTATGTGTGATACTGACATTTTCACCTCAGGAGTTAGAATTAAGCATGAAACTTTTGTCTCTTATTCATGGGAAATCACAATTGAATTTATACTTTTTTATTACATTTATTACGTAGTATTTCCCAATTGATCCAAACAATAATTCCCTTCTCATTTTGTTGGTTTTACTTGACAAAGTTCTGAGTCACCTGTCCTAGACAAAAGGTAAGACCACAAAGAGCTGGATTTACGACAAAGAGGCTGAAACGATTGATAAGTAAGTGATGAAGGATCGCTAAAGAGATGTCAAACCAGGGGTACAAGTCAACTTAGTATAGAAAAAAAAACTTCTGCTTCTTCCTTTACGAATCCAGTTTCAGTAAAATCCTGAGAGAACAGATTGTCTTATAAACTACAATTCATTATGCTTTTATTTTGCCTTTTTTTCTTTAGATAAAAGTTTGACCCAGGACTGTAAATGATGACAATTACCCTTTAGACACACCTGATTCAAATGATCAGCTCGTTATCAAGCTCTGGCTTAATAACGAGCTCATCATTTGAATCAGGTGTGTTAGAGCAGGGAAACATCCAAAACATGCAGGACGGGGGTGGGGGCTCGAGGACTGGACTTGAGAACCACTGCTCTAGACAAATATCTGTAGCAGAAAAACAAAGCTACTTGGCAGAGTCACAGACTTGGACTCAGAGAGGACGAACAGGTTCAGTGGAAAAGACAAGGGATGGAAGTGAAAGTGAGTAGATCTAAAGCGGGGAGCAGAAGTTGTGTTTGTACTCACATGGCACTGCTTCCAGCTCTTTGGTGTCCTCGTCCTTCTCGCTGTCCCTGTTCTCCTCCTCGCTGTCCTTCCTGAACTCGATGGGAGACGGCAGCTCTGTGTCGTCTGTGTGGGCGTTCTGCTCATCCACCACTGAACAGGAGGAAGAACGCAAGAAAAGAAACACGATACAGTTACATGCCTCAGTGTAAATAGAGTAAGAGTGCTCCAGTGACCAGACTAAAAAACTAAATATTGACAGAGTCTGGTTGTTTTAAGGAAAGACATTTTACAGCTTATCACAAACAAAGTTAAGAGATCTATCTCTGAGGTGATCCTGTCTTTAATTTTGTTAAAAATATCAAAACATGTAAGTGCCAAAAAAGCTTGTTTTAAGAGGATATACTCTGATCAGGTGGCTTTACCAGTTTCCTGGCTGCTGGTTCAAATAATAACCCAAGCATGTCAACACTGTTTTACCTCCTCTTCATTCACACACTGTTTATACAAAGGGGTTATTATAAATACAAATTCACAAAATGAGTTGTGTAATTGATATTCAGGTGTATTCCTCCCCCGTCATAGTTCCTGTTACCTCTCTCGGCCTGCTCGATGATCTGCCTCACAGCTTTCTTCAGACTGTTGGCCCGAAGCATCAGCTGCTCTCTGCTTTTAAACAGCTGATGTGGAGAGCCTCCTCCTCCTCCTTTCTCCGTCTCCTCCTCCTCCAGCTTCCCTTTCAGCTCCGTCAGACTCTCCTCACTGGCTTCCTCCTCTTCCTCTTCCTCTTCCTCCTCCTGCTCCTCCTCCACGATAGGAGGGGTGGAGTGGGGAAGAGGAGGCAGGGCCTGGCACTCTGAGTTGAGGGTCTGCAGGAGGGAGTCTAGCTTCTCGTTCAGGATGGCACACTGAGGAGAGAGGCGGCGCAGAGGACAGTTTATCAGCATGAGCATATTAAACAGAGAGCGAGTTTTCAGCAGAGGGAGAGTGAGGTGTCTTACTTTGAGAGACATGCTGTCACACTCTTCAGCGTTCTCTGTACTTTTTTCATACACTTTCCCCACTTTGGCAACAAAATCCTTCACTGTTTCACACAGGATCCTGCAACACAGGGTCAATAAAACATCAGGATTTAAAGGGAGAGATATGTTCAGAATACAGTTGCTGTTATATTGTACTCAGGTCTCATCTTTATCTAAGCTGCTCTCTTTACATTAAGTCCTGTGATAAAACTCTCAGTGACAAAAGAGAGGGGAAATTTGATGCTCCTTTTCAAATCTAAGTGTAGTGTTTTCTCTCCTTTCTCTGTAACTAAAAGAGAGGTTGTTACTCCTTTCTACACTTCCAGCATGAATATGAAGTCACAAAGTTAAACATCCACACTAAAGTTGGGCAAATCTCTGAGTCATGAGGTTAATGCTGGTTTTAGTAATCCAATCCTGGCACAAGCCGCTCTGGATCGATGGTTTCAAGAATTTCTAGATTGTAGATCAAAGTGACAAGACAGCAGTTTTACAGACTTTCACTCATTACTGACTGATGTAACTGGTGTTTTCTCATGTTAGTGCATTTTCATTAAAAGAATAACTGTTGAAAACACTTTTAAATTAATCTTTCTCATGTACTTAAAGTCACTTTAAAAATAAGAATGAGAATAACTTTATTTTATCCCCGAAAGGGAAATTCAATTGTTTGTAGTCTCAGTTGTCATGTGTCAAAAAGTCATCTGCTATTTACAGAGGAGATGTAAAGTCTGATGGATGTGAGTACAAAAGATCTTCTTTTTTTTTATTATTTATTTATTTTTATTTTTTTATAAATAAATAAATATCAGAAATTTGTATTAAAAAAAAAAAAAAAAGATCTTCTAAACTGATGACATTGTACAAAAAATTAAAATATTAAAATAAACAAGATAATTTACCAGTGCATAAATTGAGGAGTCACTCATGGTGGGCTAAAAACTGTCAGGTATGTTCAAGGTGGGTTTTGTCCCAATATGGAGAACCTTAGATTTATCATTAAGTCTGAGAAAGTTTCAGAAGAAGCAATCAGAGTAGAAAGGTAGAGCTGATTGTCATCATTATAGCAATAGAAATGGATGTTCAAGAGGAAGTAGATATATGATAAACTGAAGGGGCACCAGGGCGGAACCCTGGGGAACACCAGGAGTAACACGAATGGACAAAGTGCAGCCAGAGAGATAAGATATAAACCGGTAAAGGGGTGTGTTGGTGGTTTCAATAGCGCCTAGTCTGGCGCCTGAGGCTGCAGATCATCCTCCTGTTATTGATTACGGTCAGCCTGTTTGTTTGTTTGTGTTAATGCCAGTTTGTTAAAAGCGCTTACTTGGCGGAGGAGATGACCACAGAGTGCTGCTCAGAGTTCAGGATCTTTGTGAGGTGAGCAGCTACTGAGTCTTCGTAGGCTGCGATGTGAAACTGGATCGAAAACACACAGAGAAAAGGAAAATAAACACTCAAATACAGGAACACAGGCACAAAAAGAGAGCTCTAAATGCACAGAAACTATGAGAAAGACTGAAGGGGGGATTCCCTTCTCTGTATCCAGTTCTGAACCTGATCCGAGGTGAAGTTGAATATAAACTGCCATGCACTATTTCCAGCATGTGCTCCCTCCTCCTGTCTGCCTGTCTGGGAGCTCCGCTGGGTCTGATTAGTGTGTGCTGATGCGTGTGAATTTCTGTCAGCTCCTGTGAGTTACCTGGCAGTCGTGGGCCCCTTCAGGCGTGGTGGGGCAGCTGTGTTTGGGTGGGATCTTAATCTCGTAGGTCATGATGCTCCAGCGGTCCAGCATCTTGGTGCTGGCCCTCTCCAGCTTCTCCAGGATCTGAGGCAGCTGGGTGTCGTCATCGCAGGACGGGCCCCAGCCCAGCACCCGGGCCAGATCGTTTCCCGTACCCAAGGGTAAGACCCCCAGCTGGCACTGGAACACACGCAAAAGCGAGATGGTTGACCCCAAAATTTACTAAAGTTGGGATTCATACATGTCCCTCACTGCAGGAAATTTCCTCTACAGACTTTTAAGATCCAGTTTAAGAGTAAATCTCAAGTCTAGAATCTTCAGTCAGGATGCGCCATGTTCTGTTGATCGTATTACCTGTTTGTGAAGGTTGAGTTTGTCGATCTCTGAGAGGACCCAGCCCACACTCCCGTCTCCTCCACATACCAGGATCCTGAAGTTATCAAACTTCTGAAACAGGCGCAAACTGAAAAAAACAAAAACAAACACTTGTTTACTTTCCCTGTGGACTGAGGCAAACATTTCCTCTGATCTGTTGCGTCGTATTTTCCTCACCCGAGGTGTGGGCCTCCGTTGACCAGGTCAAAAACTTGAGCCGGGTTGAGGAGCTGCTTAAAGCGTCGCAGGAATTTCACCCCCTGGTTGTCTCCACTTTTGGAGTTAACAAAAACCAGGAGGGGACTGGCACAGGATGGGGGACAGGTGGCCTTCCAGAAGCCTAAGGAAAGACAAAACTTTTGATCTTAGAGCTGCAGAAACAACCGTCATATCCACAAACTATCACAGGGGAAAAAAAGCAAAACAACCTGCATGACTGGAAACCACTGAGGCTTGTGTTTGTGGAGTCTGTTCTTTTGCATCCATGGGAGAGGAAACATAATGTAATTTTCGGAGCTTAACTTACTCAAATGCACGGTCGGAGGATAGATAAGGGCACTGAAGAGTTATGATGGAGTGAAATGACCTGAATTCACCCTCAAATATTCCACAACAATAACACAGGAAACACCTCCAATCACTGTGTGCAATAACTGACGTCACTATCACGGTCAGTGTGACTGGATGTAATAAAACATGGGAGCTGAGCACATGCAAAAATCACGTGTCTTCATTGTACAGTATAACCACACACAGACACACACAGAAACGTACGTATATGTACACATATATATGCACAACCTTACTGAGTCGTGCACATCAGAGCTTCAAGCATAAGTGTGTGTGTGTGTGTGTGTGCGTGTGTGGCAGCGCTGTCTTATGCTGGCACTCCCTTCTCTGTATCCTCATTCCCCTCTCCCCCTACTCTCGATTCTCTCTGTCTCCCCTCTTCGATTTTCCTCTCTCTCTCTTTCTCTCTCTCTCTCTTTCTGTGATCTTGTCAGAAAGGGATGGGCTGAGGGGAGATGAGGGGAGGAGGGGGGGGGGGGAGTCACATCGCACCAGCACGTGCTACAGCCCGCCTCCCGGCCAATTACAAGCAGACTCCCCCGCTTCCCAGCTTGCATTCGGGCAGAGGGGGTCCTGGAACGTGAGGAGATGCAGAAACAAAGAAAAAGGATGTGTTGTCTTTTTTTCATTTATTCTCCTTTTTCTGTTTCCGTTCTTCTACCCATCCAACAATTAGCCAATACCATCCAGATTGTGTGCAGAGTGTGTGCTGCATGTATGTGTGTGTTTGTGTGTGTGAATGAGACCAAGTAATCCAATCACACACGCTGATCTGACTCTGACTCTCAGGTGCCAGTCTTCATCTAAAATGGCCTTAATGTGGACACTTAGCCATGCATCCACACACACATGCAGACTGTAGATGGATGCATGTATGAACAAAGACACACACACACACACACACGCACATATATATAATGATGGGGCGAGCCTGGAGGAAGCCTCGGGGTATTTTGCAGCCATCTGCAGACCTCCTCTTCTTCTTCTTCTGTGGTGTCTGCACGCTCATGCGCCTTCATGGATTGTGACAGGATAAATATGTGAGTCTATTTTTACGGCGAAGTTTGACGGCAACTAATCATAATTCCTCTCACACGCTGTCGTCTGAAGATGCCGGTCTATTTGAAGCTCCTTGGAAAGATGTGAAACTGCTAGATGGAGCTATTTTTACTCTTATGCAGAAAGAAGCAGTTTCCTCCAATGTGTGGTAGCAACATGTCTCTCTCCCTCTCTTTCTCTCTCGTAAATATATTTTTAAAAACAAAGCAGCTACTGGACTGAAAGGAGGAGTTGTTTGAAGTTTTGTTTTTTGGGATATGTGGGTTAGATTCTGCCAGAACAACAAATAATGACTATCTGCAACTTTTAAAACAAGGATAATGTCTTCTTCTCTTTTTTTCATCCCATGTTTCAGCAAGGTGTATGTATGTAAATTGCAGTGTAGCAGATTGGACGTTGATACACAAGTGTATCATCTCTCTCTCCTCCTCGTCTGTCCATGTGACAGAGCAGGAGGTCAAAGTTCCGAGAAAATACATCAACCCCACAAATGGAGGTGAAATCACAGTCACTCATCTCTGAAATGTAACGACCGCTCACAGGTGCAGTCTGGTGTCCACCTCTGACCTCTCGGTGATTGCGTCGTGTGCCACACGTGTGACTGCGCGTGCATGCGTGTGTGTGTCTGTGTGTGTTACCTACCGTCTGAGTCGATGCTGTTGAGCGCGGTTGGGGGGATGATGGAGACTTTACACTGACCGAGGGGACACTTTCGGGGGTAAAGATCCATACAGGCTGTATGCACCTGAAACAAAAACAGGAAACACAGCAGAAACATTCACGTCAGATATGTGCTCCAGTTTTAGATTTGTGATATTATATTCAAAGAGCATGATTCAGCATAAAAACAGAGTGGCTGATTATAGGGATGCACAAAATATATCAGGCTGACAGGTTACTGCTAAGACTAGGGAATATCTCATCGTGAAAATATGGTTATATCTACAAATAACAGATGGATTGCTTTCATACAGCAGCATTGCAGGTCAACAGCGAAAACATTTCACATCAGGCACAAAAAAAATCCACAAAACACAAAAAAAAGCAAGAAAAAAATCCCAATTCTGTCATAAAATGCAAAAATATTTCACATTGCAAAATTTATTAGTGGGTTTTATGACTTTTATTTTTGGACGGCATGATTTTTTTCTGCACTACATGAATTTTATTTGGCATGATAAAATGCTTTCTGTGTTTACTTACTGACAAGACACAAAAATCTTACCATAGCTTTGCACCAGAGGCAGCGCCAGTCCTGCAGCCTCAGCACACTGCCACACGTTTTATCGCACACGGCACACTTGGCACTGACGGGCAGGTTCCCTTCCAACCACTGGTGAGGCATGGCGATCTGTGGGACCAACACAAATACACACAAAATACACACATTGATAAGAAAACAGCAAGTTTGCCCCCAGGTTTCAATTCCTTCTGTGCATCCGTGTGGACTTTTTTCATACACTAATGAGTCTCTGTGAAAGAAAACTGATTTAAATGGTGTGCATTGGTTGGACATCAGTCCTTGTGTGGAGGACAAAGACTCCCAAACACAACTTGAACCATCATGGTTAACAAACTCTCAAGTTAAAACCATCACATAAAGTTGCGGCTTAGTTAGAAGCTCTTATTTAGTCTAATGCATTATAATTAGTGGTCTGAAATGGAAGGAAACACACCAGGACTTCCAGAAATGCGGGAAAGCACTGAGAGGTGGTTCTAGGAACTAAAGTCACGAGGGACTGCATTGGGGGAAATCACACTCAGCTGTTTTTCATAATGTATCAAGCTTAAATGGTCCTCAAGTTAACAGTAACCTGCAGCCAGCTGGAAGGCGTGTTAGTCCAGTATGAACAGTCCACAAAGTAGAATTTCAGTGTCATGCATGCCTTTAAGTGAATCATGAAACAGGAATTACATCATGCAAACTCACCCCGTCCTCATCCTCTATGATATCCTTCCCTATGGAGGCCAGGGTGGTCCATTTACAGTTGTTGGTGGCTCTGACTGCACAGCGTTTGTGCGCTTTGAATTTGCACACTGGAAAACACAAAAGAGACAAAGAACACATCTTTATTTTAACTCTGCATAAACCGATACGAAGCACATATAAAGTGGAAAATTTGTTGGGAAGCTTTAACAAAGAACTAAAAATGTTGACTCCACTTTGTGCATCTGAAAATATTTGAATATATAAAGTTGATGTACGAGCATTAAGCATTAAGCATTAATAAACAGACTAAAACTTCTCCAAGCTTATTGAAAATCTGATTTTACTCTATGTTGCAGTGTAATTAAAGTTAGAGGCATAATGAACAGCGAAGGTTGTTAAAGCTTTGAGTACTTCCTACACATTATCTCACTTATTATTCAGCTAACGACCAAATGATTGAACAAGTTTGCACTAAATATATAATTTTTACATCGTTTTATAGTTTTGAACAACAGTTGAGAAAAAAACAGTCTCTTGGATGAAATGGTTTGTAGCTCTTTGTGATGGTTTCAGACTTTTTTTTCTTTGGTAAATATTTTTTTTAAAAAAGCATCAGAGACAGTAAAGTTTGACAGAACTGGACCATCAAAAGTTCCAGGGTTTCCACAATGTTTCTAGTACACTGCAAATCGACCTTAGAAAGCCTGGCTGTACGGCCTTTCTTGTACCATAACAAACAGTCATAGCATCAATATAAGTGTCACTGATGAGTAACGAGAGAAAACAGAAGCCTTGATACAGACACGGTAAGAGCCGCACACAAACTGACTTCAAGGTTAAAAACAAAGTGACATCTAGTCACACAGCTGGCTCTGTGTCTTAAAGGAATATTCCACAATTTTTACTGCTACAGCTTCTTTAGTAAAGGTGTTCTTATCAGCCTAAAAGTGGGCAAAATTAGCAAGGAAATCAACATCTTCTGTAAATGTTCTGTTTGCTTTGTGTGCTTTCTCCACTTTAGTCGACTTTAACATAACTCTGTTTCTGCGCTGTTTTACTTCTTTTTCTTGCTTTAGCCTAATTCTGGTCCACTATTAACTACATTAAATTACATTAAAATTATCCTTTAAAATTAGGGATGGAAATCAAGAACCAGTTCTTGTTGAGAACCGGTTCCAAATGGTTCAATCCATCGACATTGTTTACATTTCATTTTCATGATTCCCTGAATGATTCCTGTCTTCAGGGTGCTTTGGAAAACAGTCTTGTGAGAGGCAGTCTACGCGAACGAGAACAGAGACATTAAGGAAAAAAAACATGGTGAATGACACGAAAAGTAGGCAGAAATAATCTAAAGCCGACAGCGAGTTTTGTATGGAAGTTTTAAGTTTGTGTAGTGTGGATGAACTGAGTTAGAAGCGCGTTAAAGAAACTCGACCCGACAAGAAAACCCCTCAAAATATTGCGTGTGACTCCACCCCGCGTAGCCGTGTCCTCTTTTGGGGATCCAGAATATGGTCACCCTAATTTGACTTAATACAGACCAAAGTAAATGCCGTACAAATAGTTTGTCGTTTGATTAATTTTAGAGTCTCACTGAAGGTGGCATACATCTTTTTCTGTTATCAGAGACTCAATAAAATTTTGAGTTAACATTAAAAACCTATAGTCTACTTTTTTTTTAATCAAAGAAAGACATTGATAAGGGAATCTTTAAAGAATTGAATTGATAAGCAGAATCGATAATGGCATCGATATCGATAAAGTCTTATCAATTCCCATCCCTATTTAACATTAATTAGTAATACACAAAATAAGCATTGGGGTGTTGTAGGAAATTTCTAAGTGGACGCAAAGTGCCCTGTAACCATATATCATATATTTGTCAAATAGAAAAGTCATGCTTTTAATGTCAATACAGTTTCACAGGTACTCTCTGAGGTCAATTTAATAAGCTACTAGGCTAAATATATACGAAATACTTCATTTCAAAAATGTCATCACCGAGTAAGTCTGAAAAACACTGAGAGGACACTGATGCATGATACGGAAATAGACGCGTCCTGTAAAGTACAGCTCCCTCATCAATCAAACCCTAATGAGATGTCAGCGGGTGTAATTACTAACCTCCCAAAGCCTGTTCTGGTCTGACAGACTGAAGCAAAGCGTGAGGACTTAGCTGCACATCACAGATCTCAATCCATTTATCTCTAACAAGCTACAGCAGGTCTGAAACCAGGCTTAAGACAGACCAGAAACCCAGAGGCACATGGATGAGCAGGTGGATCCAGCTCCATGGAAAGAATAGCTGCTACATCCTCTGGATTACTGAGTTAAAACCCGACATCTGTGCAGGCCCCTGAAGCTGACTGAGACTCATATAAATTACATACAGAGAATGCACCTCCAGTGTTAGTCATTTTCCTTCTTGATAGAGATGAACAGGTGAAAGTAAAAGCCTGCATCATGTAATCAGCTCCACTTTAATCCTCCTCGAGTAAGTAGCATCAACGTAGAGCCGGTGGGATTACCAGACCAGGAAGATCAGGATAAAGCAGACCAAAAGGCCGACACTATTTCCTTTTCCTTTCACTTATTTATCACACAACATCCTGACCCTGCGGAATAATATGCATGATGCCAGAGGTCCTACAAGCAAGTTCATCCTGGGTTTTTATAAACTAAAACTTTTACTCTGCATGAGTGGCAGCTTAAGTCTCTGCTCGAGTTTTAACAGATTAGATTACCTTTAATAAAAAGGATTACAGCTGTCATTTGATTGGATTTAAAAAAAAGCATGAATTCAAACAGATGATAACGCAAGATAATTTCACAAAAATTAAAATTGATATATGCACAAGATAAAATGTATAATAGACAATATAATTATACTGTGCACACAAATCGTTATCTTGTGCACAAATGTAGCCTTTAAAAAGTTTATCTCTTTGTCGTCATTACTGAAATTGCATCGAGGAAGTTATCCTGGAATACAGGCCTCGTATTTTCAGACAGTAAAGGCAAACTCCTCCAAGTAAAGTTCTCATCACCAGACTATGCTGAATGTCACTTGACCAATAAGAAAATTCCTTTATGACTGAAAATGCTTCATACAGATGAAGTAACAGAAGCTATCTCATGGTCTCTTCTTTGTCTCTCCCTCCTTCCTCTTTGTCTCATCACCCTCCCTTCCTCTTTGTTCCCGCCGTGTCTCTCTTCTTTGTCTATTTCTGTCTCTGTGTTTGTCGGAGCGTGGCATCAATTTCACTCTCCCTGCTGATCAATCTGAGCACATGTAGCTCGTCTTCTCATCAAGCATCTATAGCATAAAACCTCGGCTGACAATCTTTGAGTGGTTGTCTGTTTTGCAAACATGACGCTAACATCACGGCCGAGATCGTCTCGAGTTGGAGATTAATGTTCTGTTTACCTGTCATCCAGGTGATCTCTACCCTGACTGTCTGTCTGTCTGTCCTGCTGATAAGTTTCCAACAGTATTTTGCGTCGGGTTGGCGGTCAGTCTATCAGGTTTGCCCAACAAAAGCTGCAGGAAACTCTTTTTTTTGGTTCATTTTAAGAGGATGAGAGGAAACAAAGTTGAATCTCAACACTACAAATGTAAGCACAACACTGGTAACAGTCTCCGAGATGTTAATCAGGATGAGGTCTGGACAAGGTCACCCCACATTAAGGGAGGAGGACTCTGCTGCCTGTGCTGGTTTTACAGATGGAAATAAAAACAGGAACAACAATAAAAACTAATGTTTTTCCTCTGGACAATTTGTCGGGCCAATTTGATTTTCTATTTCCTGATGCAAAGCCGGATCATCAATTCATGATCTTTGTTTGTTTTTTTTTAACATTCTTTTTACTGTTTTTCATTTCTGTCAGAAAGTTAAAGGGTGGTGAGACTGCAGACAGATGTGGTACATCAACATTTTCAGGATAAAACTTTTCCTCCAGTATTCAAAAGTCAAATACTAGGTGACAGCCCCACTTATAGCAGCTAAATTGAATTGAAATGGCTAATTACAGTTTGAATGTGACTTGTATTCCCCCTATTCAAATAAAATATCAAATTTTAGATACAAAGATACAGCTCTGATGTTACAGTAAAGGACAGACGAGGTTTTATTTCAACTGTCATGATATGTTCTGGTTTTTAGTTTTTCCCTGAAGTGTATTTTCGTTGGGATTTCTGTTCCACTTTGTTCCTGTTCCCCTGCAGTCCTGTCTTGTGAGTTTTCAGTTTGTGTCTGACTCCAGTTCCCTCATGTTCTCAGTGTTTTATTCCAGTTTTTAGTGTTTCTTGCTTTACTTTAAAGTCGTTTATTCCCTGTGTTTCTAGTCTTGTTTCACTTCCTCAGTTCTCCCTCGTTAGTTAGTAATTGTCTGCACCTGTGTCTCAGTATCTCACCTGCCTCTTGTTGCTCGTTTCCCTGTGTGTGTGTGTGTGTGTGTGTGTGTGTGTGTGTGTGTGTGTGTGTGTGTGTGTGTGTGTGTGTGTGTGTATATAGTCCCTCTCTTCCCCTGTTTCCTGAATGATTCATTGTTTTAAGTCTGTGTGTCTGTATGCCAGTGTCCCCAGTGTCTGCTCGTGTTTTTTTTTTTTCCCAGTGCATTTTCTCAGATTTTTGATTTTTGAGTTGGACATTTTCTAGTAAGCTTTTGCTGCTTTTTATTTCGCTATTTTTTCATTAAATCAGCTTTTGTTCTGCAATTGGGTCCTTTTTCTGTTTTTCAACTTCGCCAACATGACATCAACTGTATTTATGCTAAAAAGGAACCTAAATGAAGCCCTGATGCAAGGATGTGTAGGAGCAGAGACATAGAGCCAGTGAAGCAAAGAGAAGAAGAAGTGAGGACTTCTATCCTGCTTGACGGCAATAAACTTTGCATTAATCCTTCTCAAGCAAAGCCAACAAAAGCCCATGAAAGAAGCTGCTTTACATCATTTTTTTATCACGTGCCAACACCAGATGCAGCGTATTAACTCAGCTGTATACTGTACACTTTGTCTGACACAGAAAAACAATCAAAGCATAATAAATGCAAAGATCCTGATGCATCTCCTGTTAAAATTTCACATCCATCCTGTGAACATGATTCACTCAGTCTGCATTAGAAACCGTGAGGCCAGGAGGGGCAGCTCCACATTCACACATCAGTCTTTACAGCAGGCTGCTACGCTAAAAAAGAGCAGAGAATGAATGTAAATATAACATGAAGGTTCCCTTATGAAGACAAACAGGCAGATGGAGATAGTTCTCGCCTTTCCTTCCATCAAGGGTGAGGCACTTAGCAGACTCATGAATAATGTCTGAACTCCCGAGAGCTTCCAACAACCCCACCCAGCCCTCGCACGCTCGCACACTTATTCTCCTCATTAAGCCGTCCACACAGATGTACTACAAGCTAAGTCAAAGTCATATCCGGGAGCAACAATTGATGTTTCAATCTTGTCTCCCGCTAAATGCTATTAGAGAGCATTAGCAGAGCATTAAGAGGATCCAGAGGACATGATACCACTGACTGTTAATGGCCCAGCCAAACCCGGAGCGTTCACGAAGCAGACTGGAGCAGAACTCTGTCTGCAGGACTACAAGTGTGTGTGTGTGTGAGTGTATTTGTGTTTGTGTGTTTGTGGCTGGGTGGCACAAATCAATCCCCTCTGACCGCCCTGCGCAGGAAATCGAAGGAAATTTAAGCCGTGTTGATTGCTGTGAAACTGTTTGTCTGTCTGCTCTCCATGTTTAATAGAGACACTCTGCAGCTCTCTCCTGTTTTCCTCATCTCATCTTCACCCGCCTCGCTGAAGGCAACAACTTCTGCTTTCTGTACAGATCTATGGCTCCATCCTAGTGATCTATCAAGACTGAATATGACAAAGACTGGAAAACAAAGTCAGAGCGAATCTTAAATCTTCCACCGTAAACCGTTACTCAGTGTTTTAAAGATGCTTCTGTGACTCTTAGCGTCCACCCACCAAAAGGGGAGGATGGTTTCACCTTGAGGTTGATGTCACTGCAAGGAGAAGTGGTGTTGCAGGTAGTTTTGAAGTGGGGTTAAATTAGGTACTCGTCAATAGTACATCTACAACCAACCAGGGATCCTGCAGTCTGGTCCCTTTGTTGAGAAACACAGTAAAGTGGTCTACACTTGATCCACTTTGGTACGTCAGGTATAAGAAAATTAGCTAAACCTTCCTCATGCGTAAGCTTTCACTACACACCTGCTATGTTGATGGGTTGGTTCTGCCCTGTGTGAGCTGTAAATTACTCTAAAAACAATTCTCTATCATCCAATTTGGTTCTCAACTCCAGGTTACCTTGTTAGGCTTCATTACCCATTAAAATAATGGTAATAATGTTTTTTGTTGTAGGTCTCTTGCCCTTTCTTTGTCAGGATACCCCTCACACAGACATCTATACTGAACTGACCTCACATGTCTGGACATGCCTGTCTTTGTTTTTTGAGCAGAAAAAAACATGGCAAAATGAGAATCTCCTAAATCTCACATGATTGGAAGAGGATCTGACTGTCAATGTGGTGCCTGACATTGCACTTATGATTTCAGATTTTGCTCCAACTAAGTAAGTAAAAAATTTTTAATATAGCACCTTTCATAGAAAAGATTCAGAGTGCTTCACAATAAAAAATTCAAAATACAATCATAAACATCAAGTAAAATCAAAGAACAATAAAAAAACAATGGCATAAATAGAGCATTAGTTAAAACCAGGGGAGGTAAAGGCCTGTTTAAATAAGTCTTTAAAAGTTTTTTAAAAGTGACGATGGAAACAGCTGAACGAATATCAGCAGGTAAATTGTTCCACAGTGTTGGAGTCATCACTTCAAATTCGTGGTCACCTCTGGTTTTTGGATGAGTTCGGGGGACAACTAGCAAGCCCTGGTCAGCGGACCTGAGTGACCTACTTGGAATGTAGATGTGAAGCAGGTCAGCAATATATTCTGGGGCCTGACCACACAGAGCTCTATATACAAAAACAAGAACCTTAAAGATAATCCTGAATGTCACTGACAACCAATGAAGGAAACACAGAATTGGGGTAATGTGGGTTGTCCGGCTGGACTTGGTTAACAGTCTTGCTCTAATTATTGATTTTAAATCAAGCTGGGTTGACAGCGACCCAAACACGACAAGTGCCATAATTTAATAAGAGTATTTTATAATTAAGTCAATTTAATTTGAGTTGAAATAGAGGTTCCTGACAAAGTCAAAAGTCTTGATGCAAAAAAACAAATTTATGTGGTTCTTTTTAGCATTTAAAAACAAAAACAGTTTGGTGCAGACCCTCACACAGAAGAAGAGTAAAAGGAGTACATTTTTTCTTTGTTTTCTTTTCGAGAACTAAGTCAGATGTGCACAAATCAAGCTTGGTGCTACTCCAGGCAGGCCAATCGGTCATCAGTCCACATCAGCTGACAGCTCAGTCGATAACCTTCTACACATCCAATCATCAAATGTCAAAACGGTCATTCTGTTTAACCTGCCTCCACCCCGGCTCTTCCTGTTTGTGTCTGTTTTTACCAGTTTAATTCATAATGTCACTGATGCTTGCTCTGTTCTGAAAACGTCTTGGTTGTGCTGTTTGTTATGCTTGCCTCTAATCTTCTTAATAATCAATTCGTCCTTTTGTTGTCTGAGTGGTAAACGCTGATTCAAATCACGGCTGATTTCAAGTGTTTTTGTCATGACTGGATGTCTCCTCTCTCTTTTCATCCCTCTGTGTCTCTCATTCTTTCACCCCTCCTTTGGATGTGAGAGGACCTCATTGTGAAAGATAACTAGCACGGAGTGAAGAGGCTCTTGATGTAACCGCAGCTCACATGTATGCAAACACACACATGCACGCCCTCGCAGGGGGGGAAATTAGCGAAATTATAGTTATGGATATGCAGATGGTGCTCATTAAGATCTGCTGCCTGTCACAGATACTTCACACCAACTAAAAGAAGAATCGACCTCCGGTGTCAAAGCTCTCTCCTCTTAACACCCCCGCTTCGCAGCTCCTTCACAAACGAGGTGAGGAGATGTGGCGTCATTCACAGCGCCCATTAACAGCTTTTGCCCCCGTTAAGGCTGAACAGAGAGACGTGATAGGCCAAAACCAAATCCACAAAGCGCGAGTCAACGCTTACCTAACACACGGCACGGCGCAGAGCGGAGGGACGCAGACTGACATACATTCAGGAGTCTGTGCTGCACTAATGGCACCTCACCACAAGATCTTTTCACTCCTTCTACCTCAAGCTGATAGTCTGATAGGCAACCGACTCCACGACCCTGAGCTCTGCAAAGACTCACGCTGGCTACAGTATGTTCAGTCGGCTCCCCCTTTGACTGACAGGGAACAAAGAATTTCCTCTTTTCAGTGAAGCTCTTACACAACATGCTCAGAGTGCATTTACACCTGCTCGATCTTTGGCCTGCAGCTCCATATGATCAGCTGCATACACTTCAATATGAAATACCTTAAAGGCACAGGAAATTGGCTTGAAACAGACAGAATGCATTTAATATATGATAGTTTAGAGTTTCATTTAATATCCTTTAAAGTTTGGGACAAAATAAATCTTCATAACCTTTATGATAGCAGAGGAAAATTTTTATACTGCAATATATAAATACATATATACCAGATTAATGCAGACTGTAACTGCACATGCATTTTTGTTGTTTTGCGTTAAATTTTGCATATCTTTCTGACTTTGGATTCTGAATGCAGCAGTATTGGCCTCATCGGCTTCATAAGTTATCCATACTTGTCATAATCATTCAAATCCATACTCTTGTGAATAATAAGAGCCTAAAAACAGCAAAGTTACAGTTACATAGACAGACATACTCTACGGAGTGCCCCAAGGCTCAGTTCTTGGGACTTTGTTGTTGTCCTCAATGTCTCTGATAAGTTGTCTTAAATGTGTATTTTATCCACATAAATTATATACATTGGTATAACAGTTGTAAAGGGGTAGGATTAAATAAATGTAAACTTCTTCATACTCCTTTTCTAACTTGTAGATCAGCTACACATACAGGTTGTTGCCAGCAATCCTTGATTTTCTTTTATTTATGGTATGCATGTGTTTGTGTACTACCTATATTCTGTTTTGTTTATTTATTGCATGTTTGAAATAAAGCATTCAAAATTCATTCATTCATTCATTCACAATTGTAAAAGAAGTACTGGGTAAGCTCTCCGACTGGTCAAAGTTTAATAAATCATCACTCTACACTCAGAAAATCACTGAACAGGCATTCCTGATCAAACTTGTAATAATGTGTGATACTGTTCAAACTGTTCTGAATTGAAATAGGTGTAAAAACAAGGATTAATGTGTGTGACAGTGAGCATGTGTGAGTGTGTCTGTGCAGGTTACTCACCTTCGCAGGAGAGGCCGTGAGACGTGACCCCCGACAGGCTATCTTTACAGACGTTGCAAAAGGTGGGCCGTGCGTGGGAGCAGGCGTACCAGTTGTGCATCCCTGAGAAATGTTCCACATTAAACTGTGCCGTCTGAAAAGGGGAGGTTCAAACAGGTTAGCAGCAGCAGAGTAGTACAGCATCATGAGAACAACATTTGCATTAAACATTTTAGTCAGAGTCCATATATATTTATGGAAATAACTCAGGCATGACTTTATAAACTGTGGTGTCTAAATAAATGTTATGTACAAATATTTTAGATTGTTCAATAACATGTTCAAAACATCCAAAAAAGTCTTTTTTTTTCAGTCTGTAGAGGCTCAGGTTATTATTTTAAGGTGCTCCACCAACATTACAGAGAAGATTCCTGCAGATATAGACCTTTATCTTTTAAAGTAACATGCTTTTCTGACCTGAAACAGCTCTTACATCTCTCTCCTTAAAGTTCAAACTGATCTGACAAAAACAGTGATTTCACCTTTTGCAGCACTAAGAGTTCCCAGTCGATTTTAGCCTTAATAAAATACACTGATAACAACACAGAATGAACTAATAAATGGGAACTCCTTTTGTTCTGTTCAACACATGGAAATGACAACAGTTTGTATCTGTGTAACATGACTGTTGAATGTAAACATGCACGTGTGGTTTTAAGACAATGTTGTCCCACTGTCCCAGAGTGTTTTCTTTTCGTGTTTACTACACCTGCAGAGAATGTACAGAGTAGGGATGTGGAAATCACTCGCAGAAGATGATGGCGAGATTTAGTGCAGTTAAAAGCGACCATCATGAGGCTTGTGTTGCAGAATATACTTCATTTCTAACTTGATCAGATAAGATTGATTACGTTTAAGTCGTTTGTGTTTATCAGAGCAGTTTAGGTTGTGTAGAAGAGGGAGACTTCATTTGATAGTTTAGAAAAACCCTGACAGATCCAAATTATGAATAGTATAACTGTTTTATTGATATGTTATTATGTGCGGCATCAATCTGCTTTGAATTATGGAGTTTTTTAAAATTCCAATGAAAGAACAACAATGCAATAATCATTTTTCAATATTGTCTAGGAGTCTTGGCTGCAGTGGGTCTGCAGCAAAACTCATAATAGCTGAAGTGAGAGCTCTTTGAGGTACAGAGTACACACTCTGCAATAAAGGAAGGACAGGACAACATCGGCAATCGTTTCATTACTTTCTAATTACCGTCACGATCCTGGGAAGGCAAAATATTGATCGAAGTCAAATTTGATCAATCTCCAAGTCCTATTTCTTTTACCTTCCCCTTGGCTCTTGCTTTACAGCCATGAAAAATTCAACCCCAGCAGGATATCTATCAGGTCTTGACATAATAAAGATATGATAAAAATAACTAATTTGTCTTTTTTTTGTCAGCGAACGAGAAAAATGTGTCTGTGACACTGGATTACTGGAGATCTAGATGTTTTCTTTTTCAAATGAAGTAAGATCTGGGAGAGCGCCCACAGTGCAGTGAAGTTGTGTTGTGTTAGCGTGGGCGTTGCGTCTGCAGAAGTTGGCACAGCTCTGGATCTTCTTTGTGTTTCATAAGAAAACTGTAACAGGTGCTGCAGAAAGTGGGACGCTCACTTCAAACAGTCCTGCATGAGATCAGGTCTTTAATACTGTTGGAGAGAGAGACACCCCCCCCCCAGCGGGAGTGTGTTTGCTTTGTCTTTATGTGAGTGTGTGTGTCCTGTGGTGTGTGAGCTCTGGGGGTGCTGCTGCATTGCAGTGCAGTAAAGGGGGTGAGGGATGGGGTCTTATATAAGATTTCCCTCCCAAATCAAAGACATTAAGATGCAGCAGTGCTTTTTTTCTCCTTTGCTCCGCCTGCACACAAACTACATTCAGACTTTTCTCACATCCTTTTTTCCTTTTTTCTTTTTCTTTCACTGGCAGTTTCAGTCGTTCTTGTTGCTGGCCTTTTTCCTTTGATAACAAAGCAGAGTGTTAAATTTAGAGCCAGCGAGAAAGTGTGTCTGCTTATGTGTTATTAAATGAGTCATAGCTGGTGGAACGATCGCTGCAGAATCTAACCTGTGTGCGCACGGTGACCGAAAACATGTCTGTTTCTGTGCGTGCATGCTCTTTCTCTGTGTGCGTGTGTGTCCTCATCACTGTATCTCTGAAGAGTTTGCACACCTGTGTCTGCACGTGTGCATCCATGTGTGTAAAAGCATGTCAGCTGGTGCTTTGGGGCTCCGAGCACGAGTTTGTCGCTTCTGCATAAAAACCTTACATCCCCTGTTGGATTTAATGTGATCACCATGCGATGAAAACACACAACTCAATAAGTCTAAGTCTACTTTTTATGAAATATCCAAACCTCAACAGGATGAAATCAGTCACAGGAGCATCCTTCAGTGGGTTAACGTTATTAAAACAGCAAGAAAACCCCCAGAAGAGGGGAAGGTACGCCTAGATCTACTGTACCATCTATGAGCGCTTCACAATCACGCTCTGTCCATGTGCTGATGCTCGAAGCCGGCTCTTACCTCATAGTGCTCCCTGGACTGGACGGACTTGAGGGAGCTAATCCAGTCCTCCATCTCTTTCCTGTTCTCAGCGCAGAGGATGAGCCTACGGAACGGAGTGATCACCTGAGGAGAGATCGAGTGAGTGAGTGAGGGAGGTAGATTTTTGGTTCTTCTGGTTTTTATCCCTCCTCAGCCTGCGGTGCCACTGAGAGGAGAGAGCGCTCGATTCCCGTCTTTAAAGGAGGAGAAAGGATGAGAAACCTCCTCCCTCCTGCTCTCCTTCCCTCTCTCTCTCATTAACTCTCTCGTCCCCTCACACCTTCTTGAGTTTTTCCCTCACTCCAGTAATTTTTCCATCCTCTCTTTCCTCTCCTCTCGCTCTTTGCTCTTCATGTAGCTTTGAGGCAGATATGTGCTGACAGGCGAAGCGCCTCAATAAAGGCTAAGAGCTCCCCCCCCCTCCTCCCCTCCTGTCCTCTGAGTGTGTGTGTGTGTGTGTGTGTGTGTGTGTGTAAGAGTGTGTGTTTAAAGGACAGTCTCCCTGTAGATAACCCTCAGACACATGGCACCCTTTCAGCTCTCCATCACTTATTAATGCGAGCTCATCTCCTCTTTCTCTGCATCTCACCCTCTACGCCTTTACATTGTTGCTGCTCAACCTCAGAGATAAGTAATCAACACACACACTTACACACACACATGCAGTTTGGAAGATAGCAGACACTGTCATTTAATAGAAACAAACTATAGAATTGCTTTCAACACCCTGAGAATATGACAAATACTCTGTTTTGCGCATCTTAAGTTTGACGGTGCACGTTGGACTGATTTCAATCATCGCTTCTGCAGCCAAACTCATGAAGATGGTGGTTCAAAATGCACAAAACAAGCCAAACTCATAAAAAATAAACACCTGCGATGCGCGGAGAAGGCAATTTGTAGAAAATGGAGTCTTTCCTCAACAGCATGTGAGGGATTATGATCTAAATCCTTGATGTAACCAGCCCTGAAGAAACTATCAAACTGAACTTTTACTGAGGACAGACAAAGTCGTCTCATCGCTCACAGCTTCTCTCACGCTCTCTCACTCGCTGTTCAGCTGCAGTTTGTGTCTGATAAAACTGTCCTTCACTGTTACTCTGTTGTATTTTCCTTTGATGCATCAAACAGAGGATGAAAACGATGCAAAAGCAGCGGCTACATGTGATAAATTTTACTGTTTTTTTTTCTATATTTGCATCTGAAAGTATAAGGATGTGTTTTCTGTTCATGGAGATGAGAATCTGGATATAGACGCAGGAATATCTAAAGCGTCGTAATCACAGCCAGGTAATTCTTTCACACTTGTTGGAGTCATAATTGGATAAATATGAAACTTCGGAGTCCAAACATCCTCCAGACTGAACATCAATTAGTCGAAGGTAGGGCTGGGCGATAAACCGAAAATTTATCGATACTGAAATTTACGACAAAAACCGACGTCATTTTGCCCCTATCAGTGTATTCGGTGTCAAAAACATAAATAAATAAAAGTTGGTTTTGGATGTGTGTAGGTAGGCTAGGGTCTCATGTCCCTTTAAGACACTGTCCTATGTCGGAGACTTAACTCCACCCCATCCAGCCCGTAACAAAGAGGGAAAGACAGGTGAGGAGATGGAGGACGGTTCAAAGGTTGGAGCCGCTGAAGTAGACAAAGTCAATGTGGGAGGGGATGAGCAGCTTGTGGAGTAGTTATCGTCCATTTATCGAGGTGAACTGCTCAATATATCATGGTATTGATTTGAGGCCATATTGCCAAGCACTAGTCGAAGGGTACAGTGTGGGAAAAAAGGGGATTTAATCTCCTCCTCTAAGGGTGATAGATTAAATCCTCCTCTTCCTCAGAGTGCTCGCATTCTGCTCAATCTTGTCTTCACTCCCTCTGCGCACAGACGTGTTCAGACCAGCAGCACCAGAGCCTCAGCCAGGACGAAAACATGCATCACTGTAAGAGAGGGGGTGTTTGCATGAGTGTGAGTGTTTGTTTGTGTTTAAGATAAATACCTGCATGATTTTTTTTTTTTGCGTTCTTGCAAGTCGACACCAAAACACACCGGTAAAATCTATGCGCATTATCTCACAGATATACCTCACCCCTTTGGATCACAAACAGAGCGCCTACATGTGCAGCCATAGGGTTAACAAAGCTGCAGAGTGTTGATTGTTTTCATTAGAAAACCTCTTACATAAGGAGGCATCAGAGCCAGAGGTGCAAAGAGGCAAAAAGTGGCGCAATTACAGAGAGCTGAGAAAACTGAGCAACACCTTCATGACACAACATCACCTGAAAATACCTGAGGGTGCAACACAACTGATGGAACAGCCTCTTAAAGACCAGCACTGTCAAGACGGAGGGTGGACATGTGATTACATGATTTAACGTTTATCAAATTAAAGTAAGAAGCCCTCAAGGGTCGAGTTTTGATTAATGATTGGTAAATATTAGTCATCATAGATCAATTCCAGCATTATGAGTTAGTTTCAGATGAGATGTTTGTAATTCTTCCAAAGTCCATGTCACTTTGGATTAAAACGTAATATTTAATATTAACGTCAAAGAAACATTCTACCATCTTAAAGTCAAGCTGTAACTTACTGACTTTCCTGGAAAGATCAAGTTTTTTTTGCAATGGCAAAAAAAACATGATCTGGTTTTCGTCTTCTTTCAAAGCATGATGAAAAAAAAAGAGGAAGAAAGAAATAAGCTCCAGCTCAAAATGTCAGAGACAAAATTGATCGTTTTATAAATAATTTATGATGCCAGCAAGACAACTCGAAACAGATGGGATATGAGTCCTGGGAAGTCTCTGGTGTTTCTGGATCATGTTTATATCTGGTTTCTTCTTTGCACTGTTCAGTTTAAACCTGTATTTGTGGATGCAGAGATGAACTGTATTCACAGATAGTGGATTTTGGAGGCGATTTAGAGCCAATGAAGTGATTTCCACTACAGAGTCCTGCCTGTTTTTAGTGCAGTGTTGTCTGAGGGCCTGAAGATAAGTACTAGACTTGGTCCTTGTCCTTTTCATATAGTGATTTCTCCACATTCTTAGAGTCTATATTTGACATAGTCTACAGTAGATGATTAAATCCACTGATTCTTTGACATTTTACACTCAGAAACTTTATTCTGGAACCAAAAGATCCTCAAACGAGCTTTAAAGAAAATGACATTTGCACCATTAGACAATTTCTAAAATATATTTTTTTTCTGTTTTGTTATTTAAAAGTCAGAGATCAATATTTACGTGTGTTCAGTGTAAAGCAACATGACTCCAAACATCCTCCTGACAAACAGCCGCCTGATTAATCACCTTAATCACTCTTCTAATCAATCAGCCCAAAGAGCTTTAATCAATAACTTGTTATATTGAGTCATGAACTGCATTTCCAGGAAAAAGCAATTAAAATCATGTCATAGCTGAGAGCTGTGTTAATGTTTGTGTGTGTGCGCGTGTGTGTGTGTGTGTGTACTTTCCAACCTATTAATGAGGGGAACTTGGCGTCATAACACTTCCACCAAGAGGGGACCGCATAGCCAACAGGGGACATTTTTAGGTCCCCTCTTGGTCATGCTTTAAATCATGCTAAAATCATGGTGTGTGTGTGTGTGTGTGTGTGTGTGTGTGTGTGTGTGTGTGTGTGTGTGTGTGTGTGTGTGCGTGTGTGTGTACTTTCCTACCTATAAAAAGGGGAACTTGGCATCGTAACACTTCAACAAAGAGGGGACCGCAAAGCCAACAGGGGACATTTTTTAGGTCCCCTCTTGGTCATGCTTTAAATCATGCTAATATCATGGTGTGTGTGTATGTCTGTGTGTGTGTGTGTGTGTGTGTGTGTGTGTGTGTGTGTGTGTGTGTGTGTGTGTGTGTGTGTGTGTGGTTACTATCCTTTCTTTGCCCTCTCTTTATCGCGTTAGCTTTCTTCTTCCTGTATTTAAAATAAGTAGACACAACCACTCCCGAATTACCAAAAGTGTGTGTGCGAGTGTCTTCACGTGCTTGTGTGCAGTGCTCTCAGCCAATCAGATTCGAGCGATCTTGCAGTATGTAAGAAAAGAGTAAATCTGTTGTACTCGATGTCTCTCTCTCTCTCTGCAGGGACTCATATTTCTCCTCAGCCGTTAATCAGAATCCAGTTTTTCTGCAGGGATTAAAGCCAGTCGGGTGAATTGATCCCTTTGGACATGGATCACTCTGTCTCTCTCTGTGTGTGCTGCTGTGTCTACACATGTGTGTGTGTTTGTGTGTATGTCTTGTGTCTGCTAAGATTGGTTGCCAGGGGAAACAGGAGCAGCAGTTTCCAAAAATGGCTCAAGGCATTCCTCAAGAGAGGAAAACCTCCCTCGATGACTGACCTTCAGCGCTGTGCGGATCAGATGTTTGTGCGTGTGTGTTCAGTGTTTTTGTGTGTGTGTGTGTGTGTGCCCTTGTGCGTGTGTGTAATAGCAAGTGACAACATGTAGCTGTTCTTTGATTAACACATACAGTTTGTCTCTAAGCGCTGGGAACATGATATTAAAGCTTTATCTTGTGTTAAGATCATCCAAATCCACTTCTTTCTTTTATAATCAGAGTATTTTTTTAAGCACTAACTCGAAAAAGATATTTCAAGTTTTAAATAAGAAATCAATCAATTATTATCTTTAAAACATCAGAATATGGCAGGACTGGGACTTATTTACTTATTTGAAGTTTTAATACAATCAGATTTTTATCTCCTTGACATCTAACAAAGGGTGTAGGTGCAAATATTTCTGTAAAAATGCTTTTTTTATCCAAGAGGCTGCTTTACATAGATGTGAAATCAGCGAAAATCAAACTCTAGGATAAAATCAAAACTATATCAGCTAAAATTACCTGATACTTCCGTTAAAGAAGTGCTTTGTTTGGCGTTCTGGCCTTCGTCATCTTAGAAGTGAGCATTTTAGTTTGTCTGATCAGACGCCCACTGCTACGTCTCTTTCTCAGACTGATGAGGAAACAAATCGAGGTAACCACACCCTCGAGCATCCTCTGCTTTATTGTCCAAATGACTCTAAATTGAACCGTAATTTGCAGAATTGTCATCATGTTTAATGAAGAAGACCTGAAACTAGATTTAAGACCATAAACTAATTTAAGATTTGCTAACTGAGGGGATAAATCAAGCAACAATTGAGCTTACTTTCTTATATATAATTCTGCACTGATTTATTTTGTTTTAAAGGAAGTGAAGAATTTTCAATCTTGTCCATGTTGGAGAGGCAAGAATAAAAGCCGAGCTGATAATCACAGACACCTGCTGCGGTTGAAAAAACACAAACACACATTGGCAGGATTGGTGATGGCGCTGCACGGATCCTGCATCCACAGGGACCTGCAGCAGAGGAGGTGGAACAGAACCATCGCAGCTGCTCCTCCCTCCTAAAACACGTGCGACAAACCGTCACATCATCTGCAGCTCGGAGTAAACTTCTAACACCAACCGCCGAGCAAACACCGCTGGCTGCAACTTGCACGATCAAACGGCCATCTGAGGTTTCCTGAATTTCAGATTCATTTCTCGGGTTTGAACTTGGCAGTGATGAGCGAGCCCAATCCATTAAGCATGAGTGAGTCAGCGAGCAGCGAGGGAGGGGTCCCTGCAGAGTCTGTAATGGGTTTAGGGTCTGGGTTGGGCTGAGCTCTCCCTCACGTGGACTTCAAGGTGCTGCTCGCTCTCCGCGCTGCAGCGACGCAGCCTCATCGCATATTCACACACGCTCCTCCGCTTCTCCACACACACGGGAGAGACAACAGATTTAACGAGAACAATGCAACATGTGAACTCAGAGGGCATCTGCTGGTCATATCTGACACGAATATACGTGGACGTTCGCACACTATGTACGAATCAGTGCGTGTCGAGCTGTTAAAATTACTAGCACGTATGGACACATGCATGTCCACGTGCACACTTTTTCTTCGCATACTTGTTTGTTTACAAAAAATGATCAATTGGAAACACTTTTTTTTTAACATTTTAACTGAATAGGGCATCTTTGCACACACAGAGACACGTAAGTGGTGGAAAAAAATGATGCATTTTGAAGTTTTTTAAAAAGGAAGTGCATGAAAATGTTTTTAAAATGTGTCTTTGGTATAAGAAAGAACAAATGCTGCACACAAAAACATTTTTAAAGACATTGCTGGTTATATAGATGTACCAATTAAGTCAATTAACCTGCACGATACGAAGAAAATAATAAGTAACAGTGACTTTTATCTCCTCTATTAGTCTCCATATTTGATTTTCTGGAGACTCAAAGTATTTCTTAAGATGCAGATGTTTCTAAATTCCCTCCAGGAAAAAAAGCACAGATATGCACGGCACTCAAACATCTGCACAGCTCCTACATGAATGAGCACAAATCTCTCCACAGTGCGAGTCAATCACTCACTTCAACCATTCATCCAATTAGCACCAACCTGCACAGAGGACGACAGCAGCATCGCTCATCCTCCGAGGAGCCACTCTTCACACACAGACAGACAGATACACAGACGGAAGGACAGAAACAGCTGGATAGACACAGAGACAGAAACAGTCTGAGCAACACAACCCAGCGCTCCCTCTGCAGTCGTCGCCTCTCTCTCTCTCTCTCTCTCTCTCTCTCTCTCTTTTCCTCTCTCAGCATCACACAACCTGTGTGACGCCGCCTGGTCTCCCCCCTGTCGTCGTGCGTGTCTGTGTTTGGGTTGGTGCAGGTGAAACACCATCCAGCGCGTCACGTTACCTTCAGCTCTCTTCCTCGCTCACTTCTCTCCTCCTCTGCATCCTCCCGTCCTCCCTTCTCGCTCGCTCTCCCTCCACCTCGCTCTCTCTTTCTCTTCAGAGGGGAGCGTGTGACATCACTCCAGGATTTCCTCCGCTGCCTCACCTTGCTGTGTCTCCCCTTTATGCCATCTTTTACCGCAGTCGTTTCTCATCAATCATCCATTCATCCTCTCTCTTTCTTTCTGTCAAACCATCTCTCATTTCTGTCTAGAAATAGATTCTCTTTGTCTTTACTTCCCTTCATGCATCCTCATTCTTTCCTCCTCCAGCCTCCCCTCCTTCCTCCCCTCTCGCCGCCTCCAGCGGGATGCTCATGCACAAAGTCACGACTGTACGCACATGCTGCACACACATGAAGCAGGCACACGTAATCTTATTTATGAATATGGCAGACATTAAGCCGTCCCAGGCACTCAGTGAAGCGTTTCAAGTCGCAGCTAAAAATAGCTGCACTCTCTCCTCTGGGCACTGTTCTCCTGCCCACCTCCTCCTCCCTCTTGTTTCTTATTATAGCAGCACCCAGGGAGAGGAGAGACATTTATAGAAAGGACGGTGCACTACGAGCCCTTTCACTGTCTGTTTTCGTTCTCGTAATACTCATGCTCCTTTCCGTTCACCTCCTCCCACACACACACGCCTGTCCTGCTGCTCATTATTTCCCACAACAAGCATCCATTCACAGGATCATCATCTCCTTTTCTCTCCTGGGAGACGAGCCGTGATGAGCAGCGTGTGACAGAAACATAAGGAGCAGGTGAATCATTATCCCCCCAAGGGCAAGGTTGCTTTTCTGGTAAATCGTGATGCACCTCGAGCTGAATTTACGCAAGGTGAAAAAGCGGACTGATATAACTCTTCAAAAACACACCAGAAACTAGGGCTGGGTGACATGGCCTCAAATCAATATCACGATATATTGAGTGGTACACCTCAATAATGATAAATGGACAATAACTACTTCACAAGCTGCTCACCCCCTCCCACATTAACTTTGTCAACTTCAGACGCTACAACTTTAGAACCATCCTCCATCTCCTCACCTGTCTTTCCCTCTTTGTTACGGACTGGATGGGGTGGAGTCATGTCTCCGACGTAGGACAGTGTCTTAACCAATTTAAACCAGGACAGCGTGTACGCATTTCTACCCTTCAAGCCGGGAACGCGGATACGTCATTTTGTAACATTTTGTAGTTTTTCAGTCATTTCTTGAGTTGTGACGAATCAAATCATCATACCCGTCTGCCTCTGATAGGCTAATAAAGCTTAATAAAGATCGGATTCAAGCTCAGATCTTGCTGCGTGCTTCGTGAGGAAAGTAAACCATGGCAGAGGTAGAGAGCAGCTTTGGAGGAGAAGCATCCAGCAGTGTGAACAACCTCTTCATATTGAGTGCTTTGGCTCACACTTTCAGAATTTTCTCTGAGTGTTGCATGACTTTTGGTGAGCACAGAGATGAACACACTGTCGGTAACAAATTCATATATTTATTATTTAGTTTTTAGTGATGCTTTTGTACTGGCACTATACTAGGGCAGCTGCATACCCCTTCAACACTTTATTTTTTTTATATTTACATTTGAATTAAATGGACACTTTATCATGACTGCCACTTTTACAGAAAGCAAATTGTTTGTTATTCTCCAGTACAGAGTCTTTACTTTTATTTACACAGCTGCTTTATTTGAGGTTTTCAATATTGTGATAAAGGTTTAGAAAAATAATATCTCGAAAGCCACATGTGTAAGCTCTCAAATACTTTTTGAATTTTGTTTCTATCTACTACAGAGGCCGAGATATCAGCTTTTTTGTAAACCTCAACACTTAAGAAAACCTCAGGATCTGGGGGACATTCTCAAAACTGCCCTCAGGATTTCAGAGGCGTGTCTCAGACAGGGTTCAGGTCTTTATGGGTTAAAGGGACATGAGACTATAGCCTACCTACACACATCAAAAACCAACTTTGATTTATCTAGTTTTTTGACACCAAATATATTGACATGGGCAAAATGACGTTGGTTATTGTCGTAAATTTTGGTCTCTGTAAATTTCGGGTTATCGCCCAGTTATCTCAAGAAACAAGACACATGACATCAACTCTTAAACTTTCAACTCTGCCTGTAACCTCCAAACTGAAACCACTATCTTTACATGTGTGTTGGTGTCAGGTCTGCAGGTAAAACTCACCGTGAAGCTGTTGTTGACATTCTTTGTGCTTGACTCTGCGACGCTGGCGTCCGACAGGTCCACCTCGTCAAAGATAAGAGACTGCGGAGACGAGGAAGAGGAGGAGAGAGAAGAGGGAGTAAAAAGAGAGAGGAGAGTGAGCTTTTTGGATCATGTATTTTTCAAATGGTTACCTTATCGTAACTTAAATTCATGGAGAGAAATGTGATTGGTTGTGAGAGGAATGCTTCAGCAAAGCAGGCCTTAAAATGAAAGAGGTAAAAACTTCAGTCAAAGTCTTAAAAGGTAGCGTTTGAAATAATCAGGTATGACACACGTTACCAACTATCTTATTCTGTAGTTGTGTTTAATGTTGGTTTAAAATGACTTCCACAATACATGATGCCGGGAAACGGCGCTAAATAGAAATGATACTTAGGAAGTTTTTATTTAAATGAAGCGAACAGGAAGTGGAGGATTTGTCAAGTTCAGTAAAAATAAAGGAAACAGGAGTTGTGTGCATTACAGTCATCTGGTGTGAGTTAATCTGATCTTTATCCTGACATGATATCAGGGGGCTAGGAGGTTCAATCTGGGAGTGAATTTCAGGAATTTTTAGGATGTTCCCGAAAACGGTCATTTGACATCATCGTCAGCTTCCTGTGATACCCTCCCCTTTCTGGACATTTCCCGTAGCGCACATCTGAAAACAGTTTGAGAATCATCTCCATCTTTGAAGGATTCTTCTAAAACCCACAGCTGGTTAAGAATTTCGGACTTTAAAACATAGTTGATGCATTTTAATTGACATTTTTGTTGGCCATGGCTGAGTTTGTTTGAGTTTTCAGGCAGAAATCTCCAATAAAGTGCAGCAGCATTTGCAGACAGATGTTAATACTTGATGGTTTTTGCAGTGAAAGATTTATAAAGTGTGGTGGGGAAAATTGAGACCAATTTGTTACTCCCACTTAAAGATAATTATTTCGTGGTCAAGGAGGCACTTCACTGCAACGTTGCACGCCAAACCTCCTCTGCAGAAGAGAGGATTCCCTCTTCAGTTTCCTTTGTTTTGACTCTGCTCTTGGAGAAGAAAGTATGAATACGAGGGCGGTAAATCCTGATGTGTCTTATTGAATTTGTAAGAGGCGGATGAGCCGAGTCGATGCAGAGATACAGCCAGCAGACGAGCAGAAAGACAGACAGACAGACAGACAGATAGAGAGGAGAGCCAGAGTCTGCACACTGCAACAGGATCTCGAACAGAGCTGTGATGCATGAGGCACACAGCTGAGCTCTTAGAGGGCCGCGGGCCAAAAACACGATGTCGTCAAAGGAATGCCCTCTGACTGTGTGTATCTGTGTGAGTGGGTGTGTGTGGGAGTGTGTGTGTGTGTGTGAATGAGCTGCTGCAGCTGTCAGAGGGAATGCCCAGTTAACGACGCTCCCTCAGGCCGGGCTGCAGAGGGACACCAGCCAACACTTACTCTGTGTGTGTGTGTGTGTGTGTGTAAAAGAGAGAGAGAGAAAGAGAGGGAGTGTGTGTGTGTGTGTGTGTGTGTCAAAGGGGGAGCATGTGTCAGAGCACTTCCACATATGCCTACAAGTGTGTGTGTATGTGAATGTGTGTATTGAGCGTCGGCCAAAAGGGCAGAAGTATGAGCGGCACGCCAACACAAACACTGTCCCCTCTGTTGGAGCGCCGTGCTCTGCTGCACCGTTACATCATGTGTGCGTCTGTTTGTGCGAGCGTGTGTGTGTGTGTGTGATTAATTCCTGCAGTCCCTGAGACACACTCCTTCTCTTTCACTCACTCGACACACCACCAGCACACTCGCATACGTGTGGGAACACACACTGGACGGTCTGAGAGGAAGCTGTAATGAAAGCTGACAGTGATTGGTGGACAAAGGCGAGCGTCCAGACCCTCAGTGACTCACAGATCCGGAGCTGAACTCAGAGGCTTCATCTCAGCTACACCACAGTGTTTCTAACCTTCACTTTACACCATCTCATAGTGTTTCAATTTTGTTTTCTCTTCTTACTATTCTGACTTTTAAAGGCGTGGTTGACAATTGAAGAGATTGGTAATTATTATGAACCTCGTTTATATGGCGATCATGGTCCTATAGTGCGATTTTCACAAAGTTAAGAGGAAAAAGAATGAAAAAAATCTGTTCACTCTAGCAGCTGCAAAAACATTGACCAATGGGAGCCATCTGTCCTGAAGGCGAATTTTTTTTGTAAGATAGGGGAAGGTCCCGCCCTCCTTCACCTCTGATTGGCTAGAAGTGATGGGCTTTGATTGGTTATTCCTTATGGCAGTGAATCATCATTGTCTGTCCGGTTAGGGTCAGGAGATTCAGAAGTGCGATAATGTTCTGTAATGTTCTGTTCGATGTACAGAGCCGACAGCAGGCGTTTGGCTTGAGCGTGTGATGACATTTCCATCTTTTTTAGCCAATCAGAGGTGAAGGAGGCGGGACTTTCCCCTACCATTCTACAAAAAATATATATATATCATGTCCCGGACAGCCCCTATTAGTAAATCTCCTGCTCCGCCTCTCCATCCAATCACCTCTCCTGTATTTCCTACTTGTCCCCTCCCACTCTCCAAGCCCTCCTTGGAGCTCTGAGCGGCTAAAAGTAGCGTAGCAGCTTAGCTACACTTCTGCTTGCCCCATCACCAAAAGTGATAAGAAAACGCAAGCCGACAGAAGAAAGGGAAGAGACGAAGAGGAAATGTGACCAAGATTAAGGTAATTTTTGCCTTTTATCGTGGCACATGTTACCTAAAAAACGATACAGGTTCGGGGGGGAGAGGTTTGCGTATGGGGGATGGGACGTTTTTTCAAATCTACCTCCACGGCTCAGTTTTTTCAACTGCTTTTCAGATTGTCAACCATGCCTTTAAAAGGAGTTTCAAAATGTAAATCTGAGCCAAATTTTCAGCTTTTTTTTGAAACATTTGAAACATGCTTTCTTCATCCAACAGCAGTAGTATGGGCTTTAACATAAGTGCCCAAATCACAGCATGTCCACTAAAGTTCATGATTGTGTGACTGAGAAGCTCAGATTGTAAGTTTACAGGACTGACTTGTTAAAGGAAGGAAACACAGGGAATATCTTAGCAAACCCTGAATACCATCAGATTACCTAGTAAATAGTAAAAAAAACGGGCAGGAAATAACGCTGAAATTACCATTGACACACAAATGAAGCTAGTAAATACTATTCATTCACGCGTCTAGATTTGTGCGAATTAAGCGAGTAGATGATTTTACTCGCGCTTGGTGTGAACGCCCCATAAAAATAGAACGTTATGACTTGCAGTAAAATCCACTCGCTTTGTGACACCGGTGGCAGCGTTCCCACAATTAACTGTGTGTTTCCTTGTTCATTACTAAACCATTTGGCTAAATAGGATCTCTATGGGGGACTTTCCCGTTATTCTGTAAGACATTAACATACTAAACCTGAGCCTGTCAGCTAAAAGAGGAGAGCAGCCATGCTCCGTGGACAAACTGCAGAGCTGACATGAAGCCTCTCTGATGGATCGAGTAGGAGTTCAGGCTTCCAAACACAGAGCAGCACAGCCAGCCAGGCCACCGTGGAGACACCTGAGTGATGGACATGTCAGGAATGGACTCTTATCAATAGAGGCTATCATCTCTGTAGGGAACTAACTTATCTATGAGGGTCCAATTATTAAATAACTGGAGGCTGTAAATAAGAAGTGGACACAGCAATCTGTACTTAATTATTATGAAATCTATGAAGATGGTTTGATGGATTATTGTGACACAATATAAGACTAGACTGATAATAAGCACTATTACATTTAGAGCCATTTTAATGTTGGTGTTGAGGTTATCCATCTAGGAATTCAAGATCAGTTTCCAAGTTGGAATTCCAACTTCTGGGGGGCACTCTGGATGATAAATTTCTAAATTTCAGCTTCAGAGGTCCAACACGATGAACCATGGCTCTTTGGACTAGGTTGCCAAGGCAGCAACTTGTCAATCAAAGGTCCCAATCACAGGCCACACCCTAAAATATACTCCAGTTAATCACCTAGTTGACTCTAAATGGCACCATAATGAACAAAAGTCACATTATGCTGCCTTAAAGACTTAAAATTAGTAGCAGATCATAAACTCATTAAGAGGGTAGGTCATGTATTTGGTGGGCTTTTTCGTTGGTTTTACTTTTACAACCCTTAGGCTACGTCCACTTTTTGTAAACAGCCCAACACGAGTATTCAGCAAAACTTTTGGAAGAAAATTAAGTTTTTAATTTTTCTTCATGGCCATTAAGAGACACCTTAACCATCAGTGTGGACAAGCAGCACACAATGACAAACATCAGGAGCCTAAACCCCTCGTGAGGGAGGCTTTGAGTTTGCTTGTGGTTTGCAGTCCGACCTGGGAATATAATCTTTTTATTTCTATTTCCATATACGCTGCATTCATGCTATTTGGTGAGGTTGTTTTCAGCTTTGCCCTCCCTCACTTTCAGATTGACAAAAAAGTTCTTTTACATTCCACTTTTCCATGTTGGGATGATCAAACACTTGAATGTCCCATCTGGCATGAATGCAGCGTTATCTATGTTACAGGTAACCTTATGACTCTAAGACTGGCCCTCTGGCCCCTGGCTGCACTGTGCTGACCCGGATTCTCACTAGGCCCTCCTCAGATCCGCTGACACCCAGAGGTGGAGGGGAGCGCCGCGCACCCGTCCAGCACACGGACAGAACTCGCCAGCACACACGACTCCTGGACACCCTGCGCAGCGCGCGCTCCTGCCAGCGAGCCAGGGCCGTGCCGGACTAACACACACACACACACACACACACAAGAACACACACACAAACACACATACATGGTCCAGACCAGGAGGGTCAGGTTAGAGGTTAACGGGAAAAAGACGTCAACATAAAGTCAAAAATTCAAAACTATTAAAAAAACATGTTAAAACAGAGGGAGAACAAATGCTTAGAAAGATGTAGGAATAAAAAAAGATAGAAAATTATACAGAGGGCAGAAAACTATCTGGATTTTAAGGATCATATGGTAAGGGAAAAAAAATAAACCAGCATAAAGACCAGAAACAAAAAGGAACACAGCAACCCTGGCTCTGTCTGAAGGTTAAAAAAGCCCTTTATTTCCACTATTGCTCAATAATTAAAAAAATACACCACTATGCCAAGATCAGTCACTCGGCAACCAAACAAAGTTCAGGAAGTAACTGGATTTACCAAGAAAAAGACTTGCAGATAAGACAAATGGACCTAAGCTCTGTTTATCATCCTGGAAAAGGAAATTGTTTCTATGTAAGTTCAGACAAAAGTCATGGGATAAAACCAGAAAAACGCCTGCAGTGTTGGTGCTCGTGCTGTTTAATGTGATTTTACAGAAATAAAAGGTAAATGCAGACACCTCTGAGGGTATTTACAATTAACTTAAAGCTGAACAGGGGACCTTGTCATCTATTTTACTCTTCCAGGTCACATATAATAAAAAAATAATAATTTTTTTTCTTGCCAAAAAGATTTCAGTTGACCTTAAATCTGACAACCCTGAGAATGTAGAGAGACAGAAAGCCTCTGCATTGTTTCTGTAGCCTGCTGATTTTTGATAAACAGCACGTCTACAAGGCTGTTTGAATTTGCTCCCGTGGTGACACAACAAGCTGAGTGAACTGCATAAGCATGCATGCAAAACAACTCCCACTCCTCAACTGACTTCACCTCCTCCTTTATTAATGTGGCTATTGTGGCCTGGCTGCCCACTCAAGGTCAGATTCTGGGTTGTATTCGCCAAATTTCGGGGGCGTTTTTCCACCTCTGCATCTGACTGCACAAATCTGTATGTTGCCCAACATTTAAGCTGCCAATCAGAGCAGCACCAAATTATCAGAACATCCGTACCCGCTTAGATCACCGCACAGACGAGAGGATTGGAAACTGAGAGGCTGCAGACCCTCCACAGAGGCTTGATTCATGATGCATTTGTAGCTGAATTGAAAACTCTGCTTTCAATACGCATAGCACTAGATTACCACTATATGGGACCTTTTAATAGAACCATGGTTTACAAAATGAATGTCATGTTGTGCTGCAGAAGAATTCAAACATGCATCTGAGATCAGTCAGGAAGAAGTCAAAAACCAGAGCGAGCCAAAAGCCAGTGTTCAAATCCAGGGAGGATACCTTCAGACACAGCCAAGTTTGCTGTTTCCATCTGTTTCCAGTCTTTGTGCTTAACTAAGTTAACCAGCCACTGACTAGGGCTGAATATTTACACTTCAGCAGGACCAAAGGGTGAGATTACCTTGGCATCTTTGGCGTAGTAGAGAGTTCGTCCTCTAAGTTTGAAGTAGCGCTTTTTCCACCTCTGGAACGAGCTTGTCTGCTTCAACAACAACCCCTCCTTTATGCTCGTCTGCAGGGAAAAGAGAGACAGGGAAAAATAGAAGTTACTCTTTCATCTCTTTAAAAGATGTAGTCTTTTAGATGCACAACACCACCTTGGGTTTAACCGCAGGAAAGAGAAAATATGTGCACTTTTTATGCGTGTGTGTGTGTGTTTGAATTCGGGCATCAATTTCATGCATGGGAGACGAGGAAAAGGCCAAAAAACAGAGAAGAAGGAAATCCCATTACCCGCACACACACCACTTATTTCTCTGAATAGCTATAAACACACATCAGTCTCACTCAACCTCTCTCCTTCGGCCAGAGAGAAAAAAATAATGACGTGCAGAAAAAGAGAGAAAGAAAGAATGAATACGAGAGGAAAGAGAGAGGACAGAGTCCCATTGAGAGCTTCTGAGCAGCTCAAGCACACAGAAATGTGTCTTCCAGCATTCACGTTTGACGATCTAAAAAAAGACTTCCACATGTTGGTTATTTTTGAAAGCAAAGCAAAGCAGAGGAAGAAGAGGAAGAGGAGAGGAAGAAAAATGCAGAAGAGCTGCAGAGAGAAGAGGAAGACTAAGAAAGACAGGCTGTTTTTCTGCAAGACTTTATGTGTTTCTGTACGTGCTGTCACATCAAATCATCTCCCCACCATGTGCAACACAGTACACAAAGTCATCATCATTACAAGCTCCATCATCTTTACACACACATGCGCACAAACACACACACACACACATGCATAGAGCAAATACAGCGACGCATGGAAGAGTGGACACAGAGAAAGATAAAATGCACACAGATGGAAATGCTGCGTGAGGAAGAACATCATTCTCTATGGGCACACAGAGGAGAGGTGGGGCACACACACACACACACACATGCACGCACACAAACACACACACACGCAGAGGTTATTTATAGCAGAGGAAGGCTGCTCTCTAAGGGGAGAATTACAAACAGAGACTGAAGCCTGCATTTGACATCCTGCCCACCAGCTGTGTCAACTTAAACACAGAAACACTGCTGTAGCATACATCTGGATACACACACACACACACACACACACATGCATGCATGCATGTCAAAGTGCATGAAGCTGAACCAGACTGGAATAACCACAAAGACTTTTACTAATGACGAAAACTCATGAGAACTTTGGTGTCACTTTCTTTGCTGCAGCTCAAAAGTCTTGCTCCGGCCAAATTACCGAAAACAAACTTTCTTAATTTTCTCCTGTCATGTCCGGGAATTTAAACACCGTCAAATATTCAAATGTTTTTCAAAGGTTTCTGCCCTCAAACCTCTAAGTTAGAACTTATTTTCATCACATTTGTGCCTGAAAAAACTCCTAACAAAAACATATTTTTATGACTGGCGACTCAGGCCTAAATGTACGATTTGGGTTGATCTGGGTAGGGAACGCTTAATCAACTGAAACCATAAAAACCCTTCAGACAGCGAAGTCTGAGATGTTCTCTGATGATAAAAAGAGTAGAAGCAGGAGATTTTTGGATGCTTAAGACTTGATAAATTTATTTCTTTAAGGGAAGGGATTTTTGAAAACTACAAATAATACTGACCAACCAATCGAACTGCAACAAAACAGCAGCAGAAGCTCATACCAGAACCTTGCTGTGTGGTTAGTTGAAGTATTTTTATTTATAAACCAGTACATAAGTCCACATATTGACGTCAGACTTCTACTCCCATAAATATTTTCACGAGATGTTTGGTTGTGTGAAATTTCTCTCAGTCGTCCTCTGATGAAGTCAAACGTGGTGTGGCAACAGCGGGTTTTCCTGGCGATAAAAATACACACTGAGTCTACTCCATGTGCAATGACTCAACTGCCCCATTTGGAGGACACAGCTTCCCGCTCTGTGTGTTTGTGCGCGTGTGTGTGTCTGTGTGTGTGTGTTTGTCTGCATCAGTCATGAGGTGTTCATTAAGCTCCTCGGTCATATGCGCTCTCCCTCTCTTCCAGCTGGATTAGCCAAAGCAGCTCGCCGTACGTCATGAGATGTGTTTATGTTTGCATGTTCAGAGGGATATTTACGCCGCTCTGCCTCCTGCTTCTCCAGGAGCAGATCTCCTTCACCTTCTCTTTCCCAAGTCTCTAAATAAGAAGATGACTTCACTTTGTAGTCTGAGGCAGGCAGCTATAAGTCCTTTTAGGGAAGTCAACATCGAGGTATTTCACCTTAATCCACCACAGGAATTTTAACTTCAGGCGTACCTACGGAGAGTGGAAGCTGGGAATTAACGTAGGTAGACAGCCGTCTCAGGGGAGTTGCTGTTTGTAGTCCTTTTTTTGTGTGTTGTTCTGCCCCTAAATCTTCATTTACGGGAAGAGTTCTCTCACAGGTCTTAAATTAAATTCTTTTACTGAAGTTGGCTTAAAGTGGTCCTCAGATGATCCTCTCCAGTCCGTCAAAGACTCTAGAGAGGCCTTTTATAGGAGCGCTACACTTCTGTCCACTTTTCATGTTAGGTGCAGTTTTAAGTCACTTAAACTGTTGACTAAAAACAGGAATCAGATCAATTTTTTACCTGATACCTAATCTGCAATAAACAATTTATTTCCCTTCTTCAAAAATCTCTGGTACTACTGGAAAATAGAAAAGTGTTGCATCTTAAGGGCCTGTGTCCACTTGTGGCATTTATTGCATTTGGCAGCACCTGAAACTCACCTTCCTCCTCCTGCTGCTCCTCTCTCTGCTCTCCTCTCTCCACCTGTGGCGGCCTGATAATTTGTACCGTTGTACCACAACATGTTAAGATACAATGGTTCACCACTGATCTTGTTGGGAACATAAACTGTATGGACAACTTGGTTTCCGCCTTTCGCCAGTTACAGATTTGAAGCCGAAAAGCTCTCTGTAATTCAGTGTTTTTTCTCCACTTCCTGAAACCAACATTGCACAGTAGCATTGTGCGCATACGGCGGGAGAGTCGCCTAGAGTTGCTGCGATGACACTCGGCTAAAACAGTGTATCCCCTGGGTGAGCTATGCAATCTTCATACACCCATAGGCTGTATAAAGTGTCAATCATAGAAAATATAAACCCCCTAATAACTTTAAAAAACAGAGCTGCACAGAAAAAAAGAGGACTTGAGCACAAAACAGTTTTATAGTAACTTTATGTCAACATCGCAACCAGGGGGAGAAACTGTAATAAATTTCTAAAGTTTGTCCACAGCTCCATAAGCTTTGCTGGCAGAGGCAGGACTTATGACCTATACTGCAGCCCGTCACCAGAGGGTGCTGTTCTCAGAGTGGCTTCACCCAGCAAGAGACTGTTCATTTTATATACAGTCTATGGTTGGGAGCCTCAACTTCCTCATGCTTCAAAACTTGTTCTTCATTGATCCGAGCTGCGTATAATGAGGTGATCGTGAGAGCTGTTTGAGGGGAGGGGCCACGCCCATGCTCTGCTGTTAAAGAAGAAAGGGCGGGTTTTGAGAAGGTAGGAGGGGCGACGCAGCAGATGGCATAATATCATTCAGTCTAAGTTATTAAATTTTGATGATTGAGGGAGACAAAATTGTAATTTCAATTGACATCCAATTGATTGTCCAGCTCTACTAAAAACATCACTTTGCTTGTCGGTGTCATGTCTCCATCATTGGCCAATCACTAGTAAGAAGGGGCGAGACTGTCATTCCAAACTTTGTCAGAAACAACAGAGGTCTCTGGTGACGACAGACCAATCACACTGATTTTTGGAAGTACGATTTCCAGGTTTATAACTTCTGCCAATGCTGTGACACAATTTGTTTTTTCTTTTTGCAATGACACTACTTAGAAACTCTCTGAAATTGAGGTTGTAGGTACTGCTGGTGCAAATAAAAGCCTTCAGTGGACACAGGCCCTTAAAGAGTCGTGCTTTTTTCCTCAACAGTTGTCGCATTTTTGGAGAAAAACTTCTCAAAGTTTTCAGTCAAACTTAAATCTCTCTGCACAGCCGGAGCAGCAGAAGTGACTTTGCTTCAGTTCCTCGTTCTATTTTCTATTTTGTCCCTCCTTGGCCTCCATAGTTCTTTTCCCTTGTCTCCATCTCCTTCCTGTTGCCAAGTAGGCCAGAAGTGATCTATAAATAGTTGCTCCGCTCGCCTCCTCTCTGCTGAGACACAGAGCCAGTCCTGTGCCAGAGAGAAATGAGTAACCTGAGCACCATGTACCTTACACCCACACTGCCTGGCCACTGACAGGGTCACACACACGCACACAAAGAGGCATAAAACACACATACACATACACACACACACACTCACAGAGGCATGCTTACACAATAGACAAAAGGCACAGGCGGTTCAAATGAGTCCAGCAGCTGTGCTCGGTGGATAAGAGCTGAGCAGGAGTTCCCTGAAAGACTAAATGGAGAGAGCAGAGTAGACCTGTGTCCTTCCTTTGACGATAAACAGACGTTGAGTCAGTCAAACTCACATATTTAGTTCATGCACCACCATCTATGACCATCTATGAACTAAAACTCGGGACTCCTTTATTACAATTTATCGCCTCTCTTTCCCTAAAGCTGCAGCACACTTTGTTTTACAGGAACCAGGAGGTGTTTTAACTCAAACTGCAGGGATTCTTAAAGAGGGGGAAGTGTTTTTACCTGATCAGGTAGGATTGCACATTTTGTAACCTGGACCTTTCATAAAATAAACCCAAGTGTGGACAGAATTGCCCCAATGTTAAATGGGATTGTGGATTTGTAAATGCAACTGATGATAATTTCCAAAAAAGTGACACAAGAATTAAAAACGTTTGTCCAAAAATCTGTAAATTAAAACAAATGAACCTCTTAACAAAAAGTCAGTGCTTGTTATGCAATTAGATTTTGTTTACTGCAGAAAATAGAGCATTGATTGTATTGATTACTTATTCAATCGATAATACAAGGTAAATGATATTTGCATGTTTGGTTCTGCAAGAGAATCTTTTTAAATGTTTTGAAGGAAACATTAAGTTTGAAAAAATTAACTCACTGACTGTAATCATGGAGCTTAACAGAAGTTTCCTTTTGAAATGAACTATAACTAACTCTTCTTTTCTTCCTCATCACATGAATATCAGTAAAAACACAAATGTAGGTCTGTTTAGACTCGGATCTGTGCAAAACAGGAAGAAAGACAGCACTGCAGTGTATTAGAAACTGGCCTCAGCTTGGACCTAGAAACTGTTTTATGTAGATCAGGTCCTTCACAAGCCAACAGCTTGTTTACATCTTCTGGTCAACCTGTATTTACTGACATTTAGTGATTCGCTGTTTTAACACTTTGCCTTTTGTAAGCAGTGAAGAGAGAAAACTTCTGCAAAAACATCAGCATGCTGCTCTTTAAAGTTAAAATGAAAATTTCAGAGTTTGCGTCTGTGTTAGCTGTGACCTCGAACTTATTAGTGCTGTAGTTTCTTGTTTAAACAATGAAAACGGCTCTTTTCCCCCCATCGCCTCCTGCCCTGTTAACCCGGCATTTTATCCAATAAAGGGCCTGTGTCTCAAAAACCCATTAAATGCATCTAACTTACTCCTACGAGCAGACAAACAGAGATTTCTCAGCTCGCAAGGACAAAACAGATCCCTGTCTGGGGATTTTAACTCATGACAGAAAACATTAAACTGCTGTGAGAGTAATTGGTGCGTCCATGAAGAAGACTGCATACTTATCCGTCTTTGCTTTAGTGGGTGCTGACTAAGCGAAGCCCACTGTTTCTGGATCATTCCTGTATTTACTCCCAGTTAAACCTCCATTACTGAATCATCTGTCATTCCTCAGGAAGAACCACAACAATCACGTCTTTCAGAGAGCGCTGCTGGAGAAACCTCTCAGTTTCTTTCTCTCTGTCTTCATGAAACATCTCCACCACCACCACCCTCTTGTAGCTCTCTCAGCATGCCACGCTCTCTGTGGAGTGTAATTGTAACTCTCTGCCTCCTCCGACTCCCACTACATGCTAAAATTTCACCGTCATGATGGGAAAATTACTGTCCTTTAGCGTGGAAGTGATAATCCCCCTGTCTGTGATCGCCTTTGTGCGAGCGGAGCACACACACACGGGGAGTTCTACATGTGTCAGGACAATACAGGAGATGTTACGTGATTTTGTTGAGACCGGCAATTAGACTGAGCTGCAGCTTTGGACCGAGGAGGGCCAAACTTTGCACGACTTGAGAGCCACATTAGAAAGTGGTGTGTGATCGTGCATGGAGAGAGAGGTCCCACTGAGCAATAGATGGCTATTAGACATCTAGTTATTTTTTAGACCTAATTTCAACCATCTAGATTCTGTATATCCGTAGACGGAATTTAGACGTTGCACTTTAACCCGCTATTCGATAAATATTTATTTCAAAAAGCAACTGTGAGTTGCATAACTGATCTCCAAGTACTAAACCAAAATAATTTTGATAGGTGTTGAGCAATATACTGGTAGACCTCTGTTAGCTGGCTAGTCTAAACTCGGTCTAAATTTAGACGTCTGAAAACTTTCATTTTTAGACCTGTGGTAGCCTGATTTTAGACCAGTCGTCTAGACTACATTTAGATGTCTATTAGACCTCTTTTAGACCAAAAAATGCTCAGTGGGGTCTAAATTTAAGCAGCTGAAAGAGACACAGGCTGCAAAAAACAGCATACCTTCAAACCAAAGAAAGATGCAACACGGTCATAACTCAGCATGCATGGTGGCTTATACCAAAGGTGGATATTTTCATGCAAATCCCAGCTCAATAAGCACAGTTCTCCACAGTCAGTCTCCTGAACAACAACAGCAGCTAAAGAAAGCTCCAACGCACCATCAGCTCTGCTTTCAATCACACAGAGACAGAATTAGTCACAAGTTTATGAGCTCTCTTCAGCTGCAACCGAAAAGCCTGAGAAGACAGAGGAATGATGGGAGAAAAGGCAACAACATGACCTGAACCAAATCGTAACATGTGTGCAGAAATATGCAGCCAAGTCCTGCAGAGACGTGCGCTCTCTCACGGAGTAATAATCCTAATAAATCGATTAAAGATACATTTTGCATCGATTGCATGAGGCAGAAATACAGAGAGGGAATGAAAGCATCTATACAAGAGAGTATCAAGTTCTCTCCGTGTGCAGACGAGTCAGATATCCTCCTCAAAGATCTCAAGGGGAAATGATACCCATTCTCTCCTGTCTGTTGCAGCAACAACAACTGCAGCTGCCGATATATTGATTTGCTGTGGTGGGTTTTTAAATTGCTATAAACATTTGTTGACATATTCTCTATATCTCTGCACAGGCTTTGTAATGATTACAGCTGCAGGAAAGAGACAGAGATAAAACAGGTTTGAATTTTGATTTTATGATCTATTTTTTAGAGATAAAAGTTATATTTGCATGCCTCTTTCATTTAAATTTCATGACAGCTTTCATGCAGGAGTTCGGAAGTAAACACCAGCACCACTTGCAGCTTTTTCTTACATTCCTACGACACAGAAAGGCTTTTATCGCCTCCATGCTGGGTTGGATTAGCTGTCAAGTTTCTGAAAATGTGCTTCCTTTTCCTTTCTCACGCGTTCTCTGGATTGATTTACAGACATGTTTATCTTCAAACTTTCTCCCGATATTTTGCACCAAAGGAAAACACAGAGAGGTTCACCTAGAGGAAACCTCGTAGGGACACCTTCTGACGCTTACTAAAGCAGCTGTTTTTACAGGCAGCATCTCCATGGAGGCACACGAGGAGTGAGCAGAGATGTGGTTGTCTGTGGCAACCAAAGCAGCAGAGAGACAGTGGAGGGACTCAGACGATAAGATGGAGCAGCGTACACACTCATAAGTCTCACACATACACACACACACACGCACAGAGTCCAGAGCTGTGCAAACAAACCGGTGGAACAACACTCAGTAAGTCAGTGCCTGCATGATCCATTAGCAAGCCTTAGCATATACACACACTGTGACAGAGAAAACCCACTGACCCCCACACGGCAACAACTCAGAGACCTTTGTGAGCACGGCGTCAACACGCTCAGCACGCTGATACAATTATAGACGGAGAAATCTCCTCCTTTTATGACAGCTGCGTGGGTGAAAGAGTTCGGCACAACTGATCGCGTCTATCTAGACTCTACACCTGCAGATGCAACCGGGATCCCTGCAGCTGGATGTGCTTTAACCCCCTCTGTCAGGAAATCACACAATCAGCAGAAAGAGAGTGTCTCATGCTGGATCTGTCTCTGCACCTTCATGTTAGATCACCTGCACTTGACTGAGAGCAACATAATGATGCTGTAGCTGTTTGTAATGAAAAGGAATGAATTTGCAAGAATTTATATGATACATATGTTCATATAATTATCTAATTCCATAGTTCAAATTTGATCATTTCAGCTCTAAATGCAAGAATTTTCTATGTTTTTACTGACTGGTAGGATGTGAAGTGTCTTTAAGGAATATTTGGGCTACTTTTGCCAGCTGTGAGGTCAGGCAGTTTGACACCAATAAGACCAAGCGTACAATTCTTTCTATTTGCTTCCTCTCCTGAGCTGTGATACTATTAAACCAGACTGTGGTGAAGTGTAGTGCTTCCAATGGCACATACTCAAGTAATAGTGAGAGTATCGGTTTGAAAAACTACCTAGAAAAGGACTCAGTAATTGGTCACTGCAGTTCAGTTGCTTTTTCTGTACTTGTAAATGGTTTTTAAAACCAATATTCTCACTACAACTGGAGTATGTGTCATAGAAAGTACTACCACCTGACAGAGAGCAACATAATGATGCTGTAGCTGTTTGTAACTAACATGAAGTGAATTTACAACAACTTATATGACACATATATTTCAAGATTTATCAAATTCCATAGTTCAATCTGATGTTTTCAGCTGTAATTTAAGTATTTGCTTTGTTTTTCTTTTCTTTAATTTACTCACATCACTACAGTTCAGTTGCTTTTTCTGTACTTGCACTTTCCAGGTAGTTTTTTAAACTGATACTCTCACTATCACTGGAGTATGTGCCATGGAAAGTACAACACTTCACCACCTTCACCTTTTCAGTAACAGTCTGGTTTAACGGTATCACAGCTCAGGAGAGGAAGCAAATAGAAAGAATTGTACGCTTGGCCTTATTGGTGTCAAACAGCCTGACCTCACGGCTGGCAAAAGTGGCCGAAGTATTCCTTAAAGACACGTCACATCCTGCCAGAATCTCTGCCCTCAAGAATAAGACTCAGTATTCAGAATATTTACGCTGCAAAAACTCAAATCTGACTAAATGAGGTTGTCTCATTTTTAGATATTTTATTACTTTTAATATAAGCTACACAAACCAGAAAGATCTAGAAATAAAAATTTATTTCAAGAAATTCAAAGCAAGAATTTTCTTAAAAGCTAACAGACTAAAACTACAACAATGTCCATTAAAACATAAAGTGAGTGCAGGAGAAAAACCGACAGGGAGCCAAGTTTTCTGAATTTCGAGCTTCTAAAAACTTGCAGGATTGGATCATCTCTTTATTTTCATTGTTTTAGCTTATTTATTTAAATGCCTCTGAATGTTTGCTCATCTTTTTCATGAATCTCATGGTGCTCTCGACTCTCACTTCTCACTTCGAACTTTAGGATCAAACACTTTTATCAAAAAAGAAAACACCTGATCCACTCAAAGTGTGAGTTGCAGCCGTGGCAGAGCTGCATTCACCCGCTCGTGTTGTCAGTTAGCATAAGAAAGAAACTGGCCAGACATTCCTGAGCCTCACGTCTCTAAAAATACATCCCCGTGCTGAATAATGTAAGCGGAGTGTGGACTGGAGAGTCAATAATTAAGTGGACGCATTGGTGTGAGTGGAGGAGGACGCTTGTTTACAGTGTGGAGGAGAAGTGGGCCAAGACAGGTAAGGTGTCACAGGTAAGAATCAGCTCAGCAGCCCCTGACGTAGTCTCAGAAGGTCAGACACAGCTTGATCAAAACACTAGATATCATTTTGGCTGGTCTGAATCTCTCTGCTGTACATGTTTAGTCACATGGAAGTGTGAAATATCTGTATTTTCATGTCTTTTCCTATGAGAAAACAAACTTTGGTTCAATTTTGATGGGCTTATGAAGTCAAAACAATACAGCGCACTTCATGACTAAAAAATAAATGATAACATCTGATAGATTATGCAATAGGAAAGTGTAAAGACATGCTCTAATGATGCAATAACCACAAATGCACTTAAACTGAAGGTATCACTTTGTTTACACCCACTTTTAGGAGTTTTTCTTGAGCTGTTTTTGACTTTTTTCTATGTTTGTTCAAGTTATACATGAAAAAGTTCAAACTGTGGGCTTCAACTGAGCCCAACACAACCCTGTCCTTCATGAAAATAGTAACAACCCCTGTGACAAAAGGCAACAAGCTCCTGAAGCCCACCTCAGCCCCAGCCAGCTGTCAGGTCAGGTCATAAAGCAGAGAAATTCAGAGCTCAGATTCACTCTTTCACACACTCAAACAGAGCTTTCTTACCTTGCTCCTGATCTGTCCTGAGGTGGACACTTTCCGGATGAGTTTCTGGGGCCCTTCCTGCTCCGCTTCGCTGTCGGAGGACTCGTCCGCAGCCACGGATCCGGAGACAGCCCCCACAACATTGGCATGAACCCCCACCGCGGACGCCGGCCCTTTTTCCGGCTCCTGTCGAGAGGAAGCAGAGAAGCAGTCTGGGTTAGCCTGGACTCGGTCCTCCGTTCCGGCTCCCCGCAGATTCCTGCTACCGCTGAACGGCTGAGGAGCGTCTCTCTTCGCTGTCATGTCTCACTGCCGCCGCCGGGTAGACGGGCGTTTTTGCTGGAGTGTGTGTGTGTGTGTGTGTGTGTGTGTGTGTGTGTGTGTGTGTGTGTGTGTGTGTGTGTGTGTGTGTGTGTGGGAGTGGGCTGGGAATGCTGCATGTCGCGGCACAGTGGGGATGGGCTCCACACACGGAGTGGAACCCCCCACCCCCTTTACCAGTGCCCCTTTTTAAGCACAAGCCTGCAGGGTGGCTGCAGACCGGCTCAGCCCTCCGAGCACCGGGGGTCATGTCTGCAGCGTGGGGCAGACCTCGACTGCATCCGGGCAGTGCCACGGAAATACAAGACGTGCAAACTCGATTTCTTAAAATTCAGTTTAATTTCAATTTTAATGGAATATGTACTTACCAAGGTGAAAAAAAAACAGTAAAATAACAGACTGTGACAGAAGCTGCAGGTAAGAGATAATGATTTCACCTCTGATCAAATAAAAGCCTCGATAATCTAATCCATTAAGAAGATTGCTCTATCCCAGTTATGATGTATTCCCAATCTATTAAATCCTCTTTATTTATGCTGATAAATGCTCACTTATAAATAGCCTATGGGTGTCCAAATCGTTGGATTTTTGTCACCAAACACGACCTAAAATTGGATTTTACGCACAACTTCGTTTTAAAACCGATTCTTGCTCTGAAAGGTTGAAATCAAATGGGACTTCAGATTATTTCCAGCACACTGAGCAAGACGACAGGAATAAAATTCCACAAGGAAATGGGCAGGGTAGCCTAAAACATAAAGAAGAGTCCCCTCACGCGTATATCCGAAAATAAACCCAACCGAGAAACGAGAAGAGCCCAAAAATCAGGTTAGTGGAAAGTGTGGAGTGCCTCGGTAGCGCATTTTGACTGTTTTAGACAATCACGAGCATTTATGAAGAAATAACAAAACGCTAAAATGACATTCAAACGGATTTAAGAGCAGCTCCAATTCAAGGAAACCGTCAAAGGCGAACAGAGGATGAAACAGCTCCAAAGTGTGAAAACATCGTCAGGAAAACCTCTTATCGCATTAAAGGAAGAGCTAGGATTGCTGCCCTTTCCTCGGTGAGGAAAAGAGAAGTGATTAAAAAGTCTTCATCGCTGAATTCTACTGACCAGTTCCTCCCAGGCAGGACTGCGGGTGTACGGGTACACATCCTCCATGGTCCCGGGGAGCTGGCTGCGCTCAGTCCGGGCAGAGAAGAACCGAATCAGGGGGAGGAGAGCTGCCTGGCTGCCCTGACTCCGCTCCTCATGCGCGCTCTGAAGAGATGGGATTCACTCCTCCTTCGTCTTCCCCCTCCTCCTCCTTCTCCTCCTCCTCCTCCTCCCGCCTGCGCTGCTCGTCTCCTCCGTTGAGCTCCTTGGAGGGCTGAGTCTTTCAGCTCCACGTGATAAATGTCAAACCCGCTTAAACGCGCGTGGCACAAGGAGCTATTTGACAGGGAGCGCGTGTAGGGTATAGAAATGCGGGTGCACGTGAGAAGATTTATGTATGAGTGTGTTATGTAATTGATTTGAGGAGCTTCTGACTTCACTGATTCATTTTGAGACGTCTGGTATTAGCCTCCTATGATTTAAAGAATTATATTTTTATGTTTAGAACATTAAGGTCTTAACTGAGAAATAAAAAAATGGAATTTGAAAATGAAATATTTATGATTTGGGGATTGAAATTGGCTCCAAAGATAATTTTGGATGAGAATTTGGCAGGGGAGGACACAGACTGACCTTGTAGAACTGGAGCAGACTCCTAAAAATAAAGATCCTAAAATAAATGCTTTCATACTTAAAATCTACAACCCCCAAAACAGCACAATATTGTTGCCCCAGTATGTGGTCACACATCCCATTATATTGTCGTGAAAACAGGAGAGGCACAGCACTTGAAAACACAGTAGAAGCTTCACACATTCAGACACGCACACGCACACACAAAGTGCTGTTCCACCCTGTCTGCTCCAGTGCTACACATCACCACCCTTCTCCCTAATTTCGCCTCTGTTACTAGCTCCTGAGATGGATCAGGGTGAATATGTCCAACCGAGATGGCAGTTTGTAATCTCAACACGTCACATTTATGGTTGCCATAGTAGCATGGATTTAACAGGAGGACCTGGATGCTGCCCTATACTTAAAAGAAAGAAGAAAAACAAACAAGCAGGTTATAAAAACTTTTCTCCTTTCCATTTGAAAAGTGTTGTCAGATCACAGTGTTGTATTCATTCACTTGTGAAAAAAATAATCAGCTGTTTTTTTTCAGAGTTATTTACATGAGGAGGAAGAGAAAACTTTTTGGGACTTAAAATTTTTAGCCCTGTTTTTTTGAATAAACAACGTTATTATCTTTACTTTAAAAAGAGACAAATATGTAATCATTATTTATAAAATCTTAATTCTGAGCTCATACTCTCATTCATTTAAAAAATAATCAAAAACTGGGCAGAAATAGTCTTTTTTAATAGTTATCTCTTAAATCATAATCTCCTGAAACGAGGAAAGACAATGCAGTTAAACGACGCGGAACTTTCGAATCACTTAACAAACCTCTCCGGAAGACTTCCTGCACGGACCAATTTGTCCCTCTGATATTATCTTCCGACCTCTCTAAAATGAGCTGACAGATGTTATGAAATGACAGTGAGGCCACAGGTCAGGACATATGTTCTTTATTATCCTGTGGACTGGGTTTTTCGGTATGTCTTGGAGTGAAGCAGAGTAGAGTCACGATGCACTCGCAGATTTTATGTCGCGGCTCGGCGTCGGCCGTCGCTGCGAGGAGAGTGCGGAATATTCTGGGTGCAGTTCTGGGCTTTAAAAAGAGACAAATATGGCTGGATATGGAGAACACATGAGATCAAACTGCTCAACACATCCTCAGGTAAACACACATTTACCTTTTTATACTGCGCGATTTTAACCGAAGCGATGCAGTTCGACTGAAGCGGTCAGTTATTTGGTAACTCACAGCAACGGTCACATTCATAACTGTATGTATGCGGCAATAACGACCTGCTGGTTGCTAGGTTACAAACAATTAAGATATTGTAGACTAAGCATTATAATGACTTTACCGAATTAATATAATTGCACATTTTGGCTGAATTAGCATTTACTGTGTATTTAATACGCTGCAGGAACACAGAAACACTCCTTACTAGGTCAAAGGTCAGTCAGCCACGTACAACAACGTTACCGAAGTTAGTCTCAGGTTGGGTTTTAAACTTATCCAAACACATGAAGCCAGTATGTACTAAACGCTCTGTTCTTTCAGTATGAAACACAGTAAGATTCATACAGTTGAAACCAGAAGTTTATATACACTGTATAAAAAGGCACATAACCTTTTTTTTTCTCATCGTCTAACATTACATCAGAATAAACTTTTACTATTTTTGGTCAATAAAGTTTATCAAAATTATTTTTATTTGCTAAATGCCAGAATAATGAGAGAGAGAATTTTTTAGACAACTTCTTATTACTTTCTTGAGAGTCAAAAATTTATATACACTAAGTTGACTATACCTTTTATCAATTTGGGGAAAGTCCAGATGATGATATCGTGTCTTTGGAAGCCTCTGATAGATTTATTGACAACATTTGAGTTAATAAGAGGCACACTTGTGGATGTATTTTAGGGCACACCTGAAACACACTGCTTCTTTGTGTAACATCATGGGAAAAATCAAAAGAAATCTGCCAACATATCAGGAGAAGAACTGTGGACCTACACAAGTCTGTTTCCAGATGCCTGAAGGTGCCACTTTCGTCCGTTCAAACAAGTGTACGCAAGTATAGATGCTATGGGAATGTCCAGACATCATACCGCTCAGGGAGGAGATGGGTTCTGTGTCCCAGAGATGTGCTTTGGTCCGAAATGTGACTATCAATCCAAGAACAACAGCAAAAGCCCTTGTGAAGATGCTGGCTGAAGCTGGTAAGAGTGTGTCATTATCAACAGTGAAACAAGTCCTGTACCAACATGGGCTGAAAGGCCACTCTCCAGGAAGAAGCCATGACTTCAAAAGAAACCTAAAAAGCCAGATTATAGTTTACAAATGCACACAGAGACAAAGACCTTAATTTTTGAAGACAAGTCCTGTGGTCTGATGAAATGAATGACCATTGTTAAGCCTGAAAACACCATCCCAACTGTGAAATATGAGGGTGGCAGCATCATATTGTGGCGTTTTTTTGCAGCAGGAGGTACTGGTATGCTTCATAAATAGATGGCATCATGAGGAAAGAACACTATGTGGAAATACTGAAGCAACATCTCAAGCTTGGGCGCAAATGGGTTTTTCCAAATGGATAGTGATCCTAAGCATACTGCCAAACTGGTTACAAAGTGGCGTAAGGATAACAAAGTCAATGTTTTGGAGTGGCCATCACAAAGCCCTGATCTCAATCCTATTGAAAGTTTATGGGCAGAACTGATAGTGGCCTACAAACTTGGCTCAGGTACACCAGTTCTGTCAGGAGAAATGGTCCAAAATTCCTGCAAACTATTGTGAGAAGCTTGTGGAAGCATATCCAAAGCATTTGACCCAATCATACAATTAAAAGGCAGCTACCAAATACTAATGAAATGTATGTAAACTTTTGACTCTCGAGAAAATAATGAAAAATTGTCTAAAAAATTCTCTCTCTCATTATTTTGGCATTTAGTAAATACAAATAATTTTGGTAATCCTAATTGACCAAAAACAGGAAAAGTTTAATCTGATTTAATGTTAGACAGTGAGGAAAAAAAGGTTGTGTGCATTTTCATAGAGTGTAAACTTCTGGTTTCAACTGTATTTCTTCCTATTTATATATACGAAAAAAGCAAGACCATTTAAGATGATTCATTGGATTGATACTGACGGTTCTGATGTCCAAACTGGTTCGAGGGGATAGATCTCAGTCTTGCAGCTGAGGAAAAACCTCTATATTAATTCCTTAATGTTAAATGTTGACAAAAAATTGACATATTTAAAAGTTAAAATCGCAAGGATGAGATCTTTTGGTCAGCCTAAGCATGTGGAGGAAAAGATAAACAAAGACAGCTTCATCCACAGTAACTATAACAAACCAAAAGTTTCTCATTGGACCTTTAAAGTTAGTTGATTGAAGATTCAAAGTCGGGTCAGTCAGTAGATCATGTCAATTCAAAAGTAGATCAATATTACTTATAATTATTTTCAAAACAGAGCAAGTATACAGCCAATGCTGTTCCTGTTGGGTTAAAAAGCTGGTGCAATTTCAAAAGTTCCCCTCCAGGCTTTTTTTTACTGCTGACCTTTTGACTGTTAAAGAAGCAGGACATGCAAATGAAGTTCCTTTTCCTACCTAGTAGTTTGGCAGATTGGTAGACTCATAAACTTTTAAAGGAGTAGTTAGGTTGGTCAAATAACCTTAAGGGTTTTCCACATTTCCACTGAATAGAAAGAGTGGCTGTTAATCTCTGTGATTCTAAAGAAATGTCCCTAAAAAGCATAAACCACCAAGTACTGGTAATGCTCACTAATGTTTGTATTTACACAATAATGCTCTTTCAAAGGTTTTATCAACAGCTAAATCATCAGTGTATGTGACCTTCTCATGCACCTGATTGTTTTAGGTGACACAGTGAAGATTGGGGAGATTTCCTACAAACTCAAAACACCCAAGAACCCAGAGCTGGTTCCTGTCAAACACAGTAAGTCATTTTTTTGTGAACATGAAATATGATATGATAAGATGAAACAAAAGCAGCCGAATCCTGAATTTTCTTTGCTCTGTTAGTTTCAGACTCTCTGCCTCAGACCGTAGCTCAGCACCTGAGATGGATCATGCAGAAAGACCTTTTGGGACAGGACGTGTTCCTCATTGGTCCTCCAGGCCCCCTGAGACGATCTATAGCCATGCAGTACCTCGTGAGTGCACAGAAACACACAAAAACGTTCACATTTTTTTGCTTCTTCTACAAACGTTCCTCACATTTGCCGGTGTGTAAAGCTAAACTTTCCTCTTGTTGTTGAGCAGGAGTTGACCAAACGGGAGGTGGAGTACGTCGCTCTGTCCAGGGACACCACAGAGACCGACCTGAAACAGAGGAGAGAGATCCGCTCAGGGACGGCCTTCTACATTGACCAGGTACACTCACACACCTTCATGATTATAGTTGTCCTTGAGTTTATCATTCCTCTTACATGTGCGTTTTAAGAATTTCTCGCCTTTTCAGAACAGTTGTAGTTTTTAAGGACAGAGCGACAATCGGGTGCTTCAGCTGAGTTTTAGTGCTGCATGTGAAAGACATAAGAGGTCATTTCCAGATCCCACAAGCCCTTCAGGTGATACCAAACCTGTACGGATCAGAGTCAACATGAACTCTTCTCACATCATTAATCCTCTTACTCTCTATACCTCTTTTAGATTGATCAAGCTTCACGCAAACATACACCCCCACACTCTGTTGCATTTGTAAGTCACGTAACCATGGCGACCAGCAGTTCCTCATTACCGGGGCAGGAGTCTCTGAGGAGAACTTTCTGTTCTTCATTCATCTCCATTCATTTCTCTCTGGTACAGAAAACAATTACGGAAAAAAAAGAAACGGCATCAGAGCCATCATTAGACCCTGTCAGCGGGCTTCAAGGAGCTGCAGAGACGAGCGATGATGAGCCGAGTGATAATTAACATTTACTCACTCACGCCGTTATACACCGTTAATTAGCACAGGGCTTCATCTGTGTTAAAATAAATCAGTTACATAAGAGGTAAAAAAAAAAACAACTCCATGGATACAGGCTGAAGTTTGTCATGTTTTATTCTCAGAACGTTTTCCTCACAAAGATCGACTTCAGATTCAGCGAAACCCACAGATCATTAATTAGAAAGTAATGTGCTGAAATGTCAGTCTGGTTTTTATTTCTGTTGTGTGGTGATAACCGGAAAAAGGTTAAAATGAGTATTTATGTTTCAAGTCCAAAAATAGCTCAAAGGATGCATCACCGTTATAAAAAGTGCTCAATAAGAAAAAAAGTTGGATTTGTTTGGTAATTAGAAATAAAGTTAAAGAAGATCATTTATTTTAGTAAAAACTCTTCCTGTTTATGTTCATAATTCAATAATGGCGATAATTAAACTCTTGGTTTTGAAGTCTTAGAACATTTTTGGTGCAGGAAGGAGAGCTAACTCATGAAGTTTCTTTTTTCTCTCTTGGTAACTCAACAAACTTCAACTCATTCTCTAAAACAAACATGGACACTTAAAGCTCAAATTTAATTTTTCAAACATTTTCAATAAAAATTATTTACAAAAAAACTGCAATAGAAATAAAACTGGAAAATTAGAATAATGTGGAGTCCCAAATTGACCTCTGTCTGGTGCCAAATTTAGGAAAATTTTATGTTTGGTTTGGAAATTTCAGAGGTCCACTTCCCGGCACAAAAGGCAGCTTCAGCTTGTCTCTCTCCTGCTTCTTTACTGTCTGCTCGGCTGACACGCCCGCCAACATATTCAAGCACACACACGTACAGGAACGCCTTATACACCTTTTTAAAAATAATAGTATGACCAATAAATTCATTTGCATTGCACCTTCAAAAACAAAAGTTTACAAGGATCTGCGTCACAGCTCATATAGTGGTAAAATTTCTTCAATCTAACCTGGGGCAAGACCCAGATAAGCTTTAAAAGTGATCAGTAAAACCTGGAATTAATTATAAGACACACAAGAAGCCAGAGGAGGGAAGTGGAAAAAGGAGGGTTTAATGTTTGATACCAGAGAGGAGGAAGTTACAGTAGTCTAACTTGGAGAAAATGAGTCCATGAAAGACTTTTTCCAGGTTTGTTTCTCTGGACACTAGTTACCCTGCTGAAACCGGGTTTACAAAAAGTGCACAGGGCAACAACTAAGCTCTAATTTAGCTTTGATTTTGATATCAGAGGCTTGATATGAATTTTTGTCCTGAGAGACACTCGGTTATTAAGAGCACTTTCCACTTCCTGTTTTCTTCCCATCTTTCTCAAGCAAACGTCATAAAAAATCAGAACATCATTGAGCACTAATGTAGAAATAGTCCATCACAGACAAATTAAGTTTGTTAGAATAATGAAAGCAAGAAAAAAAAACACACAAAAGAATCCAAAAAGTTGATAAAAAAACGAAAACTGATACATCAAAGTGTGTGAGAGCAGGATTGGGAGAAAGTCATCTCCGGGGGCACTTAAAGACTTGAGCAGAAAAGTCCTGTATCAGACTTTTTCTTAATATATTCCTGTCTGTCCAGCTACGACACAAGGATGTCACTGCTCATCATGAACAAGGAGAAACTCCCACGATTAGAGTGTTTCCCATCATAACCATCATTATTGTCTCCAGAGTTTTAATATTTGATGGAAATGTCTTTTAATTGGACCGTGAAGTGATCGCACATTAGTTGTACAAAATTGATGAATAGATAAAACGTTGTTGTCAGCATCATCAGCATCAAGAGATTGCTCACTTTTCCACAAACTAAAAAAAAAAACACGGTGGACTTTTGTTCTGTCTGATGAGACGTGGGCAGAAAGTGTTCCTGTGTGATTTGGCGTGTGCTGCTGTATGAGTTGGTGTGTTGGATAAAACTAGTTCTTGGTTTTTCAGCGTATTTATACGTCCCCGTGGGTGTGATCAGTGTTTATAAGTACATGTCACAGTCCTTATCTGGCTCGTATTTTTGTGCGGGTTCGGGGATGTGTGGGCGCAGATTCACGAGCGTGTCTCTGTGAGAATAGTTTGCTTTCGTGGGAGGTGTGTGTGTGTGTGTTTGTGTCTTAACTAGAACATCCAAGTTCTCCTCAGGGCCCTGTGCTGATTCGCAGCCCTATATTCAGGCCCATCGTGTCAGTTTCTGTGCCCCTCCCTCCTCTTCAGTTTTACCCTCTCCTCGTTCGATCTGAGCTTCACCAAACAAATTCTAGGGAAAGATGGAGTCACATGGATGTAACAGCATGCTTATTTTGGCTTTGACGTCACCCCAGTCACCTCTCACTTATCATCAGCTCTTATGTAAATCAGCTAACCTGTTACCCACCCTGCAGAGTAGACTCAGTTATAGTAATACAAAGCATGAGACCTCCATTTAAGCTCAGCCTCGACTTTGTCAGCTTCTGCTGCTCTCAGGTCCCTATCTTTACTTGCCGCCTGAATTTCAACACATCTGACCTCGATGCCCTGTGAGGAAACACCTGGACAAGCCTCAGGGGTCAAAGATCAGCCAGGAAACGCTCCATATTCACCTGCCAGGTCCTTCTAGTTAAAGGAAAAGAGGAAGCAGAGTAAAGGGGGTTTATCATTCCATCTACTCCATTGTGCCGTGACAGATAATGATTTCTTGCTGTTCTTGAATTTATACATCTTTTGATTCTCTTTTTATATATATATTTTTTGGAATAAAGACAGAAATAGATGATTAAAAGTGAAAAAAAAAAAAACATCCATTGCAAATGCAAATCCGCAAAATCTGCAAAGAGCCAGAACTAATGGTGACCTTTCACACTTCGACCGAGGGCTGGGCAATAAACCAAAAATTGACTGATACCGAAATTTACGTAAAAATTTACGTCAAATTAACATAAGTCATTTTGCCCATGTCAGTATGTTCGGTGTCAAAAATATAAATCAATAAAAGTTTGTTTTGGATGTGTGTAAGTAGGCTATGGTCTCATGTCCATTTAAGACACTGTCTTAAGTCGTCTTACTCCACCCGTCCAGTCCATAACAAAGAGGGAAAGACAGGTGAGGAGATGGAGGACGGTTCAAAAGTTGTAGCGGCTGAAGTAGACGAAGTTAATGTGGGAGGGGTTGAGCAGCTTGTGGAGTAGTTATCGTCCATTATTTGTTATCGAGGTGAACTGCTCAATATATCATGATATTGATTTGAGGCCATATCGTCCAGCTCTAGTCTAAAGTAATCTAAAAAGAAAAAACTTTCAGCTTTGTATCTTAGTATTCTTACTTGTGTTCAGTTTAACGTTTTATGGTTCGAAACGTTCTTTAAAGCAGACAAATCCGTGTCCCACCCGCAAACAGTTCAGCCCAAACAAACTCCACTCCTGCAAACGTTGTCAGTTTGATTATGCAAGCAAATCCTAAAGCTGTGCATTAAGTAATGAGTCCATTTGCAGAAGCATTAAATTGGACGCACAGAGCGTGGGTAATGGGACAACAATGAAACATTTCATATAGGACAAAAAACAAGAAATGTTCAAATTAGATCACATGGTGGAGTCTCCTGTACATCCTTTTACACCTCTAACCATCCACATCATGCCTCCTCTTCTTTTCAGTGTCACACTCATTCCACCCTGTTAGCCTAATGTTTGCTAAAAGCTCCTGAGTGTCCACTCGGATGTTCTTTCTGAGGTCCGTCTGTGCGTCCCTGTCTCCCTCACCATCCTGCGTCACTTACATTTCTACCAATTATCTGATTACAGCGTTTGTGCCGAAAATGGATCCAGAGTTAAATATAGAGCATCTGGTCCTCACTATAGTTTTATGGCTCTGCTTCCCACACAGCCTGCCTCCTATTTACATGCTCACCTAATTATATGGCCACTTGCTCTGCGGTGCGACCAGACAGCTAAAGTTTCCTGCCTCTTGACGTCAGATGTGCTTTTTGAGTCCTGCAGAAATGCGCGTCCTGCATAAACACATGCTGTTCGGGCTAAACCCAGCGGAGCTAAGTTTTCTTCTTTTTTTTTTTTCCCCACATTTGATGGTAGAAAATAGGCCTTCTTAAAACAGCTGAGACTGTTTGAAGCCTGGTTTGGAAAGTTTGGAGGATCTTCTGACCACAATAAGCTGAGGACATCTTCAGGAAAGGCTTTACTGCGTGCGAGCTCATTTTCCACTAAAGCATGTGGGAGTAAGAGCTGATGCACAGGCTGATTGCTCTTTCTATAAATGCTTTTCACACTGTTTCCATTTACAAAGGGTCAAGGGTCATGTTAGATGATGGAGCTGCAGGTCTGAGCGGAGGTTGAAGTGATTGCTCTCACCAACACCTCCCTCTCGCATCCCTAATGAAGCTTTTAAGTGTTGATTGAATTCAGTCATCAGTCGTCCACCTTATCTGTGTTTGTCCTCAGTGCGCCGTACGCGCAGCAACGCAAGGTCGAGTCCTGGTCCTGGAGGGGCTGGAGAAGGCCGAGAGGAACGTCCTGCCTGTCCTCAACAACCTGCTGGAGAACAGGGAGATGCAGCTGGAGGACGGACGCTTCCTGATGTCGGCTGAGAGATACGATAAGCTGCTGCAGGTCAGAGCGGCACAGTCACTCACAACAGATGAAAACAAAACACAAAGTCATGCAGGCCTTGAAATTAAATCTTGTGTTCCCAACCTGGGTCGTATTTGTTTACCTTGATGCGTTGCAGGATCACACCAAAGAGGAGCTGGACGCCTGGAAGATCGTCCGTGTGAGTGAGGACTTTAGGGTCATCGCTCTCGGTCTTCCCGTTCCCAAATACAAAGGCAACCCGCTGGATCCTCCTCTGCGCTCTCGCTTCCAGGCCAGAGACATCTACTACCTGCCATTCAAGGTCAGTCCTGGAATAAACAGATTATCTACAGGGCAAAAAAGTAAAGTAAATTGTAAGGAGCGCACAAAGAACTTTAGGGGCACAATAAAAATTTATCAAATAGTGTGTGTCTTATTGGTCGACACTACTATTCGAAATCAATTCTAGGTCCTTTGGTCACATGACATGGAAGCTATTGAAGGAAAACAGCCTTTTTTTGAGAACATCAACAGGTAATTTATTAATGGACCCTTATTCAACACCCGACGTTGACAGTGAGGGTGCTGAGTAGATTTAACTGCTGTTGCTATTCCCGGTTATAGAGAGTGAGAAGACAGCGGTAGATCCGCAAATATCCAACCTAAAACTAACTTCATCACGGTATTTACATGGAAAAACATTTGTTGCCTCGGCTGATTTTTTTTTTATGCGCACGTGTCCCTAAATACATTTTACAATTCGCACACATCTAATTTTAGTTGCAAATGTGAGTGAAACGGTCGCACTGTCGAGCCGTGATCTAACACCTATCCTGCAACCAAAGTCACAGGAGGTGTGTTTTTTGCTTGTCACTAGGGGTAATGTGTGTGTGATTGGAGTTGTGTGTGTGTGTGGGTGGAGTTTTGTGTGTCACTGGGGCTGACTGATTGTCAAATGGATGTCACCTGTGCTTGCCTGTGAATTGTTTGCTTGGTTCAGAGAGGGTGGAGGCAGGGTGCTCCTATTTCTGTTGACCGCTCAAGCCTTTTTCCTTCAGATAATCAAAACCTACATCAAATGCATCGTTCAAAGTTTGATTGATTGAAAGTGAAAATAAATATCTTAGATCTGCAGTCAAATCTTCATGCTTCCTTTTTTTATTTCAGTGTGTCAAACAGATCCCTGTATTCCCCTCTCAGTGACTAATTTAGTTTTGACAGTCACATTATGATATTCTACCTGAGTCGAAGTGCAGCTACTGTAAGAAAAAGAGTTGGGAGCACTGAGTATTTACTTGATCCTGTTTCTGTTTTTTTCTCCAGGACCAGTTGGAGCTGTTGTACACAGCAGGACCAAACATCGCTGCAGAAAGGTGAATGTTAAGACTTTTCTCTTCTATATACATGCATACAAATGGAGTATATACTCCATGTGTGATACTCTGTTGGGTCCTTTATGTCAGGGTGTCCCAGCTGCTGTCCCTCGCCACCACTCTTTGCTCCCAGGAGTCGTCCAGCCTCGGTCTGCCCGACTTCCCTGTAGACAACCTGATCCCTGCCCTCCATGTGCTGGTGAGGCTCCAGTACAGCCCGGGTTTAAAATAAAAAACCTCTCCATGTGTTTTAGTATTTAATGTCGATCTTTATGTGTTGTTGCAGAACTCTTTCCCCATGCTGTCCTCCCAGCAGCTGGTCCAGAGACTTTACCCCTATAACAGCATCCTGGGAAAAGAGGGGCGCACCGCTGTGGAGGGTGTCCTCAGTGTAAGGAGTGGAAAAAAGGAACATAAGACGTGATAAATTATTCAGATATTTTCATTTTGTCCTGAATTTATTCTCCGTCTCTCTCTGTCAGAGATTTGAGCTTTTGGACGGCCGCCGTCAACCAGCGCCCAGCGCCATTTCGAACGTATCCAAGACATCAGACCTGGAGGGCCATGCAGATGTCACTTTACGTATCGCTGAGAAGGATGTCACCTTTCAGGTAAAAAGACACTGATAACACACCTAAAACTGGACTTATGCAGCACAGAAGGTGGTGTGTCCCAACAGTTTTTTGAAGTTTCTGATATCAGCTAGAGGGACGTGTCAGAGAGGCAGAAATGGATTCGAGGAAGCCAACACATCTCAACATGCTGGCTGATTTACTTTTACATACTCATGTTCACATTCTTTGTTTACCTGCTTTATCTGGTCAACGAATTCTGCAAGAAATGTCTAAATGTGACTCAAACTGTTTACTGGAGTGTTTTTGTAACTGCAAAACTGATAAAAAACAAGAAATTAAACCAGTTACAGAGAAGGGATTATAAAACCTGTGTGGTAAAATTGTTTTTATACATTATCAGACGTTTTCATTCATCTTTTTGTATAATCATGACCTCAAAATTTAATCAGTTCTGACCGGGAAATATGTTTCTAGAAAAACTGTGTAAGTAAGTCTCTAATTTCACAGCCATGTCTCATAAACGGCCTCATAGACTCACACACACACAGAGGCTTTTGCTGTATCATAAGCTCGGCCATCTTATCTCAGACTGATACTCTATGTTCGGTTCTGAGGAACAACTTAATCAGTCTGTAGTTCTTCACTTCGGGTGAAAAACTCGGAGTGTTTGTGAATGAGTCACTGTGTGGGGTTTGGAAGAACAGAGAGCTCCGTCTTCTAAGAATAGAGCCGCTGATTTTCAAGCCAAACAGATGATATCACTCCGATGAACTCCTCTGAAGTTGTGTTTTCTTTATGCGTGGTACTATTTCTCCTGGCTCTGAATAGTGAAAGCTAAATGACCCGGGGATACATCTTGATGGTCGTTCATCGTTTTCCTCTCTTGGTCAAACTCCAGGTTCCCGCAGGCACAAAGGAGCCGCGCCCGCCCAACAGCAGCCCGACCTTCATCAGCACCCCGAGTCACGCTCAGCTGCTGGCTGAGATGATGCAGTCACACATGGCTAAAGACATCTGTGTGATCGGAGCCAAGGTAGCCAACACCCAACGTTAACACGTACAGTACTACTGACTGATTTGAGCTGCTAATAAAAACGATGTCGTATTTTTCAGGGCTGTGGGAAGTCGGTGATCGCAAAAGAGTTTGCAGAGATGTTGGGTTACAGCATCGAGCCGGTCATGCTCTACCAGGTAAATTCAAAACACGCGTTTGTTTTCAGCTCCCAGTCTATAGCAATCTGTGTATCATTTGTTGATTCGTTTTTCAAAATAAAACTAAAAATGAGAAAACGAGAAAACATATTGTTTTCTAAATATTTGTCTCTGAAACAAAAATGATAAAACGGATAACACCTCATTTTCCGATATCCTTTTCTCAACTCAAATGAAAATGGGATAAATGGATGACAACAGTTTTATCTGATTTAGACTTTTTCATCTGTAAAATGTATCGTGACGTGGAAGTGAACCTTTGGTTTCATGGCTGGACCTGAGAATTAGTCAGAGCTCATACGGCACTTTTTTCAGGATGGCAGAACTCATGCAGAGATTTCCACTGTGCTGCAGGAGTGCCAAGGTGCTCTGAAATGTCCGTCAGAAAGTTCTGTGCCACAGACGAAAAAGTCTAAATCAGATAAAACTGTCATTATCCATCGGAGATCGGAAAATGAGCCGTCATTTTTTTTTTCCTTTTCATTTTAGAGACAAATATTTGGAAGAAATCGTTGTTTCATTTTTTGGTTTTATTTTGAAAATTGAATGAACGAATGATACACGGATTTAAAGCCATCTTCATATTTCAGTGAGGCAATGAGAAATCACACTCTGCAGGAGTTACAACAGCATGGCTCAGTAGTGGAAGAGTTCTGCTGTTAAACTGGCCTGTATGCAGTCCTGACTTGTCATCCATTGAAAACATTTGGAGCATCATGGCAACCAAAAAAGGACTAAGGAGACCCTGAACTGTTGAGCAATGAAATCCTCTATGGGACAACATTTCACTTTCCAAACTCCAGTAACTGATCGGCTGTAAATCGAACCTCATATTTTTTTTCGTCAATGAAGTTCCAACTCTTTGGAGTTTGAGTTATAAGATATTAAGTTGGATAAATTTGAGTGAGCTAATGTTGAACTATGACGGCCTTTGTTAGTCAAGTGTGAGTCCAGAAACTGACACTGAATAAAAACAACAAAAGGCTGCCACTATGTATTTGTGTAAATGTTAAGCTTTGTGTGTATTTGTGTGGGATTCTTCTGCACACAGTCTGTTGGGTGATGATGGTGCAGGAAACGGGTGTATTGATGCATCACCCTGCGGCTATTTTTAGCTCACAGAGGTCGGGGGGTGACTTGTGCTGCGGGAATTGCGGAATCCTTTTCCGAACAATTCATCTTGTCAGCTCTGAAAATCCCATTTTTGGAAAACAATGTGACATGTAAGGCTGGATTGGAATATAAATAAGTTATTTGTTGGCGTGTGTGTTCCTCCAGCTCAAACACTTGACCTCTTGAGCCCATAGAAATAAACAATAATCACCAAAAAAGGGCAGTTTTTTTTTTAGCATGGTTTTCTCTTTGCAGCTTTAACACCAGCGGCTTAAGAGGAAAAAATACATATATCACTACTTCTGTCAACTATAGTAAAAAGAACATTACACAATATTTATAAAGGAACAGAAATGAAAACAGAAAGGGCTATCAGTGTTTTTTCTGCCACATGCATAAAAAAGACGTATTTACTAGGGCTGTGATCAACCCAAGACAATCTTTGTCGACTAAAACGGGGTCAACTAACCTGAACCCTAACCCTGAAAACACCCCCATTAGCACTTGGTACATCCCTCCTGATTAAATTAACCATATACTGTAAATCAACACGGAAAATAATTGAGTCCTCTAATCAGAATTTTGGTCGACTCAGCACGTATCGACCAATAAGTCGACCAGTCGACTATTTTCAGGCGTAGTATTTTCATTAAGAGCCACAACTACCTGCATCCCCAAACTTGCACAGCCTAAGTTCATTGTAACGGATCTATTTGCAATGTTAAATATGGGGTATGTTGTTGAAATTGTGTACACCTATTGCATCAGTCTTAATCTTAATTTATTTAGCACCCTCTGTTTAGCCTGGGTTTAAAAAGTTCCTTTTAGATGTGTTTTAAGTTCTTATTCCCTCCAGCAGTTGCTGTTATTTTATTGCTCTTTATCAAGCTAGAGCTCACAGCTATGTAAAATCCTCAAACACTCATGTAAAGGGCATGCACAAAAAAAATGCAGCAAGAAGGTATTAGGCAGATAGTGTCATTTTCTTTGATGATAAATTGCACAACGTCCAACATCATCTGAACCACATCCTGAGCCACCTCTTCTTTCATCCATCCCTTCACCTCCACTGATTGCCTCGCTTCTTCTCTGTTTTCTCCCCAGGACATGACAGCGAGGGACCTCCTGCAGCAGAGATACACGCTCCCCAACGGGGACACAGCGTGGAGGCCGTCTCCACTAGTCACGGCCGCCATCGAGGGAAAGCTGCTGCTCCTTGACGGGATCCACAGAGTCAACCTGGGGACGCTGGCTGTGCTGTCAAGGTGATGTTTTAATATTCCACATGCAGTGTTGTAAATGACATAAACACCTTTAAGCTCATTCTGAGTTTTTTTTTTCCTTCTCAGGTTGCTTCATGACAGGGAGTTAGATCTGTACGACGGCACCAGGCTGCTGAGGTGGGACCGGTACCAGACACTAAAGGAGCAACTGCAGTTCACTGACGAGCAGCTGAAAGAAAGGTACACACGGGTCAGCACGCAGAGGTTTACTGGGAAAGATCAGAAGTGTTTCCGCAGAATTTCTGAGCAAAGGTTTGTGTCAAATGTGGAGACAGATGTGATGTTAGTCACAGCGTTAAAAAAACAATGATTTCGCGTGAGAGACACAAACAGGAAGAACACTCATTGCGCAAGAAAATAGAATTAAAATAGCCGAGACATGGGAAGAAAAGGACTTTTAAGACTTTCAATCTGGTGCATTTTAAGGCCTGAGTGCCTCACCCTTACAGAGGAGTGGGTGGTCGTGACTTCACAAAGTACTTTGATTAAAACAGAATACACGTTTGTTGCCATGTGCACAGGTACAGACAGTGCAGATGCACATTTGCAGTTTGTGTGAGTTTCACATGAAGTTAAATTTAAGAAATAAAAGATATCAGGTTTTCCTTTCCATCACTTTGGCATCTGAGATTCATTTAATGTTCTTTTGCTATGAATCAGGTCAGTAACACAGCTGTGCAGTTAAAGAAGATGGATAATAAAACAAAAAATGTTGTTTATCCATTACTGCAGATTAGATCATTACTGTTCTCGCTGCACTGTAAGGTGGTTATCTGACCTTCAGGAAGGTGAGCTGGTGTGTTTTGTCTCGGCCACTAATCTCACAGTCAGTGTTCATTAAAAGAGACGGATAGATGAGTAAACACGAGCTTGTGATGAAGAGGAGTATGATAAGTATTTAGTGTTTCTCTCTTCTGGGTCAATATTTATATCACCCCTCTTTTTTCTGAGCATGCTGTCAGTGAGGGAATGAAACCAGGTGTTCAGACTGAAAATAGCCCAGAGTTAGAGGAACGCTCGTGTCCGCAGACAGAGGGCGAGGATGGTTTGAAATGTTCTTAGAAGGTCACTTTCAGTCTGAAGGTTTTTTAGGCTGCTGAACAATGTGACGCAGCATTTTACATTGTTTTCCAGGATTTAATAAAGTCGGTGTGGAAGACCGATGTTGGTCTTGACCTTAACTGCTCCTGGAGTGTGTACGCCTCACATTCATGTGCCCGTGTCTTAAAATCCCACCTAAGCAGGCAGGAAGGATGTTTGTGGTGGGGCGTCTGGGCGGGAAAAAAACCCACTTCCTCTTCCTTCACTCCTGTGGCTCAGACAAGATGTGTGTTGTTGGTTTTGCGTGCGTGTGTGGATGTGTCTACGAGGACTTCAGTCAGCTGTACAGAACAGTTTAGACCTAAAAACATGTGATAACATTGTTGAATCACATAATAATGATAAGGAGTGTGATAAATTACTGCAACCCTATTCCTGAAAAAGTGGATAAAAAGGTTGCCAGGCAACATACACGTGCATGTGCAGTACATGATAGTATGTGTGTGGTGCCTCTTCGTCTTCTCCTTACTTGCTGTTTGTGTTTATTCAAGTTCTTAGTCGACAGGGGACTGTGTTTTGGGGATTTCTGACCCCCTTCCTGCAGATGCATCAACCAAATCCTGCAGGAGGAGGTCAAAGCGGCGCTCCCATCGCAAAGTCCCCCTCCTTTATCTAACAATTAAAAAAGAGACACACACACACAGCCTCATTTTCCTAAACCGTCTCAGATCGTGTCCCCATTTCCCTGATAGACGACGTTGTTTCCCATAGCAACAGATGGAAACCACATGCTAAGCTGCGGCGAAATGGTAACCATTTACCAATCACATTTGGAATTAGAGGAGGCAGTTGAGTTTAGTGTCACTGAAGTACAAACTGAATTTACGTGACTGACTAAGGAGACTGAAGAAAGCAAAGCAGGGAGAACAAGAGGAGCTTTGTTTTAAATGTTTCTGGTCGACGGTCTGGCTTTATAAGGCATGTTCTATCTCAATAATAGCAGCAGCCTTTAATGTCTTTGTAAATGAAGTGTCTTCCCACACACTCATGCAGTGATGATGATAATGATGGTTAGCGCCTGCTTCCACCCACATTAGAGTAAATTTATCCTGTTGCAGAGTGTGTGTGTGTCTCTGTGGGGTGATAGAAACGGACTCTGCTGTCCTCTTCATTTAGTGGATTACACAACCAGCTGTCAGAAGTCATGCTCCTGAAGCCGACATGGACTTGATCAGACACACACACGCACACATCCACGTCACCTGCACTCTGCAGCTCCTCTACGTCAGCTGGACGGATGTTGTATCTCTCTCTCTGTCAGTGTGTAACCTGTCTTGTGTGTTTGTGTGTTTCAGGTCAATCTTCCCCATCCACCCCTCGTTCAGAGTCCTGGCTCTGGCCGAGCCCCCCATCGTGGGTGCTGGTTCGAGCAGCGGCGGCAGTAAAGGCCAGCAGCAGTGGCTCGGCCCTGAGCTGCTGACCATGTTCTTGTACCACAACGTCAGCCCGCTCGCCAAGGCTGAGGAGATGGGCCTCATACAGGGACTGGTGAGTTAGAGATACATATGATACTTTGACAGCAAAACTACTAACCTGTTCAGATTTAAATGAAGTTTGCAAAGCTTCTATTTTTACTCCTTTGCAACTATGGCTGACAAAGACATGATAAATCTGCTTTTTCTTGTACAACATCAAGCATACAGATGACACAGATAACCAGTGGTAGATCATTTATGTGTAAACGAAACAGAAGAGGTCCTAATACCGACCCCTGTGGGACACCAACACAACAATCGGCAATCCTAAAAATCTTTGCAGCTCTAGATGTCGGTCATTCTGAATTTCAAGTCTGATTTTGGTTACTCCTAGCAACAAATCAATAGTTGAATAGAGCAGTCCTTTATGTCCTATATTTGTCGTCCACTTAACTCTTCATTCGTCCCTTTTTTTCTCATTTTTCTTTCACTTTTTAGACTCATAATGTTCCAACAGAAGCAGCAGAGCAGCTGTTACATCTCACACACACTCTCCGGAAAACAAATGACCCCACAGTAAGTGCACGTGTGTGTTTTAAAGTCAGCTCTTTGCTAGATTTCACACATTTATGACTGAACTTTTTCATTCTTGTATTTGTGAATCTCCAGGCACAGTCTCTGGCCTCATCTCTCTCCACCAGACAGCTGCTGAGGATCTGTCGCCGTCTCTCCCAGTACCCCGAGGAGAGCATTGCCCACGCCGTCAATAAAGCGTGTCTGTCCAGGTACTCAGACTCTGTGTTTCTGTGTTTATCTAAGCTGTGAATTGTCTTTTTTTTTACGCTGTATGATTGTGTGTTTGTGTGTATTTCAGGTTCCTGCCCAGCCTAGCTCGTGCCTCTCTTGAAAAAAGCCTGGCTAACTGCTCCATCCAGGACACTCTAGACCCCAGTGAACACACTCGAGACCTCAGCTGTAAGTCTGAGCCAACAAACCAAGATAAGATCTGTTCATCTACTCACAGCTTTTAAATACATTTCATCGTAGAGGCAGTTTTTCCTGGCTCAGACTGATGCGGTGATTATAGACGCACATTAGATCAGTATCAGAGGGGCAGAATGAAAACTGTGTTCAGATATAAGTCATAACATCTCTTACATTTGATGCGATCCAGCGTGCGTTACATAAATAAGGTTTGTATTTAGATTTAGGGATGACAGTGTTTTAAATATAAAGTATGCAACCCTGCTTCCATAAGAGTCAGTTGTCTGTTTTTATGAACAGATTTTGTGAGTCCCGTTTTAATATCTGGCATCCAACGTTTTTCAATTATCAGTGTATGTTTAAACGATGGGAAACCATCAAATTCTGGTTTACTCAGAGTTCACTCTTCTTTTACAGCTGTGATCGTAGGTTTAGATGTTAAAGAGTCGAGCCATTATCCAAATGTTTATAACATTCCATCAGATTCCCTGACCTCCTCTCTTTGTTTGTAGGTGCGATAAAGGATGGTGTGTTAACCATTGGTAAAGTGTCGGCTCCAGTCTACACCCCAAATGAGAAAATGAAAGTCCCGGACGTTCTCTTCTACGATAATCCTCAGGTAATGGCACCCTCGCTAACATCTGAATACACTCACCAAAGACGTGTCTTATCTTAGACTCTGTGTCTGTGAGTGTACGGCAGTGTTGTGGCACATCCCAAAAAGACATTTGCAGGACATGACCCAGATAAGATCACACAAGGGTACAAATCTGGATTAGAAACAATAAAGAATAATCCACTGTTTTTATTTATTTTCTCTTAATCTGAAGAAACACTCTTCTTATTCCTCAACAAACAATTTTTGGAGCGTAGTTCCTTCAAATGAGGCCAAAAAGCAACAATCTCATCCCGTTATTATTAATAATAGCTTTTTTTCCTCTCTCTCTCTGGTGTGCTCTGTTATTGTATTATGAGGGTTTCTGGTTCTAAGTACATTTACCAATATTGTTGCTAATCCTACGGGGACATTTTCAGAAATACAGGGATAAAATCAGTCCTGATGTGACCGGTATCTCTCTAACACACTGTATCCGAAAGCGGTTGTTGTTATTGATGTTTTTTATTGGATGAAAAATCAAAGTGTGTGCAGCAAGAAAACATAGATTCTTGATTGTATTGAATGATGGAGGTCAGTGCGTAGCTGTAATCTTTAAAACAAAGAGCAAAGGTCACGAGAGATCAGTACGGCCCATATCTTGAATATATACAGTAAATACAACCTGTTTGTGCAAAATGTTCATGATCAGATGTTGAAGGTTTGCAACCGTTGTAATTGAAAATAGTGCAAAGACAACATGTTTGTAAAAAGTAGTTTCAGGGTCATGTTTTACCATCGTGTTGCATCAGCTCTTCTTCTACCAACACTTAGTGAACCCAGGAGACAAGTTTCTGGAGTTTGACAGTGACATGTTTTCCCATTCTTGCCTGATGGAGGATCTAAGCTGCTCAAAAGTTCAGGGTCTCCAAATGTTTTCAATGGGCAACTAGTCAAGACTTTCCTAAAGACTGCCAAATTAAAACTGGTCAAGAAAACTTGTAGTCCTTTTTGGGATGTAACATGATGTTCAGTTTTTCCATGTGACACATTAAGATACCTGTTCCTGTTCCTGTTTCTGCCTGATCTCCATTTTAATGTCAACTGAACCCAAATGTAGCCAAAGACAGCGTGCTCAGGGAGGAACCAGTGAAGGAAAATGACACTGACATCCCCAGGCTGCTTTGATGATGCCATGTGACCCAGATTTATGTCTTTTCTCTCTCTGTCCTCATTCTGCTCTGCTCGAGTCAGAGACCGAAATGAAAGTGAAACAGGGTGAGATCGGATAAGAGCAAGGAGGGTGTCCTACTTTATGAATGACCTGTTTTTTGTTGTTAAAAAAATCCCTGAGAGCAGGGGAAAGAAGAAACCAAACCACTGTACTGTGGCAGTGGTTTGAGGATGAGTGTTCTGCAACTGATCGTGATTGTAATTACACTGCCCAGTAGACTCATGCAGGTCCTTAACACATCCATAAATCTTGAGATATCTGTTGGTTTCATGTTTTTCTGCTTGAATCTCTCCACAGCACATGATGGTGATGGAGGACATGTTGAAAGACTTTCTCCTCGGAGAGCACCTCCTCTTGGTTGGGAACCAGGTACGTGACATTAGTATTGGTACGTGTTTTGACATGAAAGAGACAAGGTGAAAAGAGCCAGTTTGAAACAAACCTGCACGGGTGAAGGTGAGATATTAGAGACTGTCAAAGAAGTCCTACGAGGAGAGACTCAGCGGCTGTACAGGAGAGGGGGGCTCTACAGGAGACCTAGAGAACAGCACCTAAAAGGGACATCTTTATGCAGCCAATACAGCTGATACCATTCAAGCTGGACTCGATTTTACCTACAATAGAGTCTCAAAAACTGCCTTTTGCAACTGTCCTAGTAGATGACTTGTAAAACAGGCTATAATGGCTGCAACAGATGGACTAAAAGTTCTTGCTCTTGCCAGAATGTTAATTTAAGAGTCTCACAGCCTGGATCCCCTGAGAAACAGATCTTTTTGATACTTATTTGAGGTCTAACTTATCTTTTCAAAACTGCGGAAAATGCTAATTTCACCATGAAGATGCCGCAATTAGTCGTTTTCTGTATGGTGTTGATCATGAAATTAGAAAGGTTCCTTGGCGTCTCCATCCATAACTTAGTTTTATAGCAGCTCGTTTGGTTCAATCTAAATCAGTCATGTAGTCAAACCTCAAAGTCACACACTAACACATACTCCTGTCTGTCATTATAGCAGGACTCTGGAGTAAAATGCTTCATCCAAGCTGTGAAAATGTTGTCAGAACCTTACAGAACAATAGCTGTTTTTAGAAACACATTTACGACATGAAGTCTGTCCTGTGGGATGAGGGGGTATGGCAGGTTTGAGCCTGACTGTGACGTCCGATAGGTGCCGCAGCAGCTGTGATGTTTCACAATCCTGTCCAAGATTAAACCCCCCCACCCCTGAGCTTTTTTAATGCTTGTGTCTCTTCACAGGGCGTAGGCAAGAATAAAATAGTGGACCGGTTCCTGCACCTTCTGAACAGGCCCAGAGAATACCTGCAGCTGCACAGGTGAGGAGGATAAAGAGTGCAAACCACGTCAACGCTTTTTCTGATAAATAAGAGGAGAAAAGTGTAGAAAACTCTCCTGCTGAAAGTTGTTTACATCAAACTTTTACTGAAAGTTTGTTTTCATAACTCAAAAGAGTATCAGTGTTTATCTGACGACAAAACCAAAGTATTTAAACAGATTCGAGTGTTTGCCTCTTTCTAATCAAGGGAAGAAAAACAACTAAAACATTCTCTATCTGTTGAGATCTTGATCACTGTAGCTGCTCTCGTACAAGATGAACTTTCGAACTCTGACCATCAGCTAAATTGGGTAAGAAGCTTCAGACAGAGCTGAAATGTCAAACTTTCTCTGAATGTCTTCTTCACAAAACTATAAAAGCTTCTTGTCGAATTAAATCTCAGCCAGGCCGCTCATGTGAACTTGACTTATTTTTATGGGAAAAGCTTACAGACCCTTCTTTTCAGTCCCCACAGTTCACAGTCGGGTTCAGCCCTGCGGCGTTTAAATGCTGCATCATGTTACTACTTTTTGTTGCTCCATAACGAGATGATTCGAATCATCTGTGGAGAAATCCCTCAAGTCAACAGCTGTTTATCTGCCACTTTTGTTTTTTAGCTGCCACCTGCTGCAGAGAGAAACTGTCCTTCACAGTGTTCATTATTCAAGGTTTCGGTCAGAAAATTGGTGATTGCTAAGGCGTTTAAAGCAATTTTGATCAAAATGCCTAAAAACACAGAAATATAGGAAACATTTCACATAAAAAAGGGGTGTTCTCAATGCTCATCTTCAGCACACAGGATGTCTTGAGGGGCTGCGAACTGAGCTGCAACCAATTTTTTTTAAGCCCTTCAGTGTTTTTTATCATGGGTCAGTTACCTTTTTACTAAAACAAACAAACAAAGAAACCTGGTAGTTATAGGAAGAAAACAAACATAGATCAGGTAAAGTGAAGTTCCTGTTGTCACACCTTTAATGACTTTGAAACAGTTATAACACTAAAAGGAAGCCCTGTTTGATGTAAATATAAATATGCTGTTCGTAACTATGTCTGTTAAAGTTTTCAATACTTTGATCCTTTTTGATTCCAAATGCTTTAAAATATTTCAGTCTGAGTTATTTTACATAAGATATTAATGAGATGTACCATAGCTCATGAAGAGGAAATCTAGCTAGCTAGCTAGCTAGCTAGCTAGCTAGCGAGCGAGAGAGAGAGAGAGAGAGAGAGAGAGAGAGAGAGAGAGAGAGAGAGAGAGAGAGAGAGAGAGAGAGAGAGAGAGAGAGAGAGAGAGAGAGAGAGAGAGAGAGAGAGAGGAGGGCAATCATCGCTGATTAAAATACAGCCGTAAATCAGCAGATAAGACCTTATTTATCAGTGTGTCAAATGTTGGTGTGTGTCCAATTACTTTTTCAAATCACTGTTTGCACTGAGATGAAAAAAAAAATCAAAGAAACCTGAGTAAGGTTTTCCAGGAGTTACACTTCTGTCGCTGTGTCATTAGAGAAGCCGTAGGTATCATTTGATTTTCATTAGTGTTGTGCTTAGAGATAAAAACCTGGTAGATGGCACCCTTTTGGTTTTAGGGGCTGAAGCTAGCTTTTTGGAAGGGAGGCTTTGGTTTCCTTAAATGTTCATTGTTCTCAAAATTTCTACAAGAAGTGAGTTATCCTCAGAGATTCTCTTCTTCCCTTTAAAAAAGCAAACTTGCTTATTTGGGGCAGACTGTAGATATTATTATACAACCTTATTTTTTAAGATTAGGAGTCTTTCAGTATGTTTGTCTGTTTTTCTTGTTTTTTTTGTTTTTGTTTGTTTGAATTCTTTACCTGGATTCAGTTATCCCCAATGTTGTCGACAGCCCTGTGATAGAGCTGGGCCATCTTCACGTACTTTCACGCAGACCCCTTCATAGATTTTAAACAGTCTTAACACTGAAAATCAAAACTATTTCATGCAAAGGGTAGTGGTGTCCCTTACGCCCCTCTCCTGCTGACAAAAGGATGTTTAGGGAGGCTGCAAACCTAAACTTTAATGTGAGTATTCCTCCCGTGTCTTGCCTCCTTTCTAAAATGAACCTTTTAATTATGGGTGGGATAAAACAGTGAATAAATGATCTTCATGTTCGTGATCTGTGTCGTGTTCAGCCCTCGATATCCCTTTCTAAATCAGTCCCCTTTATTGTGATTCAGATGCTTTTCAGGAGGAATGACCATCATTTCTCTTTAATTTTCTGGTAGCAGAAGCTGCTATTTTCTCCCGTTTGCCTTCCAGCTTTAGTGTCCCCGTCGAAGGTTGTCAGAGACTATTTCTGCTCTCAGTAAATCAGGCCATCCTACACAGAACAAGGTCTTCACGTGCTCGCGTTAAAGAGGAACCATTTGAAGAAGTCCTTGTTAGCTCCAGTTCAACGCTCCTATAAATACTCAGCCGATTACACCTCAGGAGAAATGAGGGCAGAGCAGCTCATACATAAATCAAAGTGCTGTGAAATCGGTCTGAGTGTTGGATGAATCTCCGATCAATCAGAGGAACTGACGAGTCTCCTATTGAGCTCAGCTCCATGAAAATGTCAGGAGGTCAAGGGTCAGTTGCTGTGACAGGAGAGCCAACAAACGGACATTATAGATAATTGCTTTTACAAACATTCACGTACATTTTTACTCTCCATCTGCGTCTGAGAGCAGGTTTTCAAAGTCTACCGAAAGTCAAAGCGGAGCAGAGCCCAACACGTGTCCCGGTTAGCTTCTGCAGCCGCTAATATTAGAGCTGGCCAGAAGAAAATCTGTGCGTATGGCTTTTGGGAGTGACTGAGAGCCTACAGAGATGTGGCTCAGAAAAGAAAAAGATGCAGCCGGCCAAGAAGGAAAGTGGGACAGCTCCTGGGTCACACTGAGATACTGAGGAGACGGGGATTAAGAGGAGATGTTCAGAGAAAGGAAGAAGGGGATATTTTGGACACCTTCTGGGGATCAATGTTTCTGTGGCGATGCTTGTACGTCATGTTTGCTGCTCACCTCCAGGCGGTTTCCACTGGCCTGCATTTATAGGATTGAACGGTGTTTGAGGAAAGATCCTGGCATGCATGGAAACCAGGAATGCAAATAGACATATAAGATCCTTTCAAAGGTCAAGGCAGAATGGTTTGGTGATTAAAGTCAAATTTATTTAAACGGCACTTTTAAAACAGCTGATTCTTTACATCCTTGACCTGACAACACTGTTTGATTGTTTTTGTCCAGATGTCTAACCCTGTTTTCTCCTCCTATAGGGACACTACGGTCCAGACTCTGACTCTGCAGCCTTCAGTCAGAGACGGCATCATCATGTACGAGGACTCACCTCTGGTTAGTAACCGACACAAACAGACATCCATCAATTTTACATCAATTTCAACTGAAATACAACTCATAAAGAAAGATCATCAACTTCGTAAAGAGCCACGTGGGAAAGTCACATGGGTTTGTGGGCCAGAAAGAAATACTTAGTAAACAAATTCCTACGAAGAGCTTTTACACAAACCCTCGGGTATTCACAGATCTGGATTATAATGAAGTAATTAATCATCCACGTTCCTGTCTTTTTCTAAAGTTACACTTTAATAAAAAAAGTCATGAGTTAGTGTTTGTCGTAGCTGGTTGAGTTGTTTCTGTGAAAGAAAGAAGGGTCACACAGCAGAGTGGAAGGCTGATTCCTCTGAGTCTTAGAAAATTTTAAACTCCTAGAGGTCCTTTGAGTCCAAATCCTTCATCGGAGACAGCTGCAAAGTTTATCACAGCAAAGTAAATCAAGTCTCGGAGAATCAAGTCGTGAAGTTTGACTTTCGCAGGTGACTTTATTTAAGCGAGAGAGTTACTTGAGAAGAGCTGGTTCACTCGTGCTAGCTTGGTTATCAAGGTCCCCTTTAATCCAACAGGACTGTGGTATTGCTTGCAAAATGCCTGCTTTTAGAAAAGAAGAGCACTCAGAGGAAAAACTGACAAATGGCACAAGCTGTAGTCTGCTCGCAGTTGTCATGGGATCACTATCCTGATAGGATTTCGTTCATCTCTCTCTCTCTCGAGCTAGCCTGTAAAATGAAGGCTAAAATCTCCAATACTGATAATGATGATGATGACGATACTACTTCTAATAATGATGATGAGAATAATGATGATGATAAGCATAATGATGATGATGATGAGAATGATAATAATGATGATGATAATAACAATAATAATAATGATGACGACAATGATACTACTAACAATGATGAGAATAATGATGATGATGATGACGGTGAGAATTATGAGAACAATGATGATGATGATGATGAGAATGTTATGATGATGAGAATAATGATGATGAGAACAATAATGATGAGAATGATGATGATGAGAATGATGATGATGATGAGTGATGATGATGATGAGAATGATGAGAAGAATGATGAGAATGATGAGTGATGATGAGTGATGAGTGATGATGATGATGATGATGAGAACAATAATGATGAGAATGAATGATGAATAATGATGGTGATGAGAATGATGAGTGATGAGTGATGATGATGATGAGAATGATGATGATGATGATGAGAATTGAGAACAATGACGATGATGATGATGAGAATGATGAGAATGAGAATGATTATGATGATGGTGAGAATGATGAGAATGTTTATGATGAGAATGATGATGATGATGAGAATAATGATGAGAATGATTATGATGATGATGAGAATGACGATGATGAGAATGATGATGATGATGATGAGAATTATGAGAACAATGATGATGATTATTATCATTATCATTATTATTGGTAGTGGTCGTAATAGTAGTAGTAGTAGTACTAGTATTTTTGGTTGAATAACGTTTGGAAAAAAAGAAAAGCCACAATCACCTTTCATCAAGCTTGTGTTTGTGTGTGTTTGTGTGCAGGTGAAGGCCGTGAAGATGGGTCACATTCTGGTGATTGATGAGGCTGACAAAGCTCCGACCAACGTCACCTGCATCCTCAAAACTCTGGTGGAGAGCGGGGAGATGATTCTGGCAGACGGGCGTAGAATCATCTCAGGTACACACACACAGACACACACTTGAACCTGTGAGGTTTAACACCTGTTCAGGAGCTGACGTCCTAGATAAAGAGAGCAGACTACAGTAGGACCTGTAAATGGAGGAGATGAGGGTCGGATGTCTTAGAGTAAAAACAGGAGTAGTAGGAGAAGCAGGCCACTAAAGGAGGATTGGGATAAAAGCATTTCTGGACAGGTACCAGCAGATTTTGGATCACTCTGCACTGTAAACCTGCAGATTTTCACGGTATTAACACCACTATCTGACAGTTTCTCCGTGCCTGTGTGGCTCCTCTTCTCACAGGAATGTAAACACATGCTGAGATTTCATAAACACAAACCTGAGACGGTTTCTGACACTTTTAGGAGCAGCAGAGGTGTCTGGAGAGACCCAAACACATCAAACATGGAGCGTTAAAAAGAGGACAGGCAGGGTTGCAGTCAGAAACTGAAACATGCTAACTGTGTTTGTTTCTCCTCCAAAGATCCACGTGAAGCCAAAAGGAGGCCCAACACCATAGTCATGCACCCCGACTTCAGGATGCTGGTCCTGGCAAACAGACCTGGTTTTCCGTTCCTGGGAAATGACTTTTTTGGTGCTCTAGGTACAAATACAAAACACTCCCGAAAAACTGAAGCAGAGAGACAAAGACCTTAAATTCTGCATATGTGTCATTCTTCTTGTTATTCAGTTTAAGAGGAAAAACTCTTGTAAAAGTAGTGACTATTTCTCATCCTCTCATCAGGTGACATCTTTAGCTGCCATGCCGTAGACAACCCGAAGCCACAGGCCGAGCTGGCGATGCTTAAACAGTACGGCCCCGATGTTCCTGACTCCACCCTGCAGAAACTGGTGGCTGCCTTCGGAGAGCTGCGGTCTATGGCTGATCAGGGCACCATCACCTACCCCTACTCCACCCGAGAGGTGGTCAACATTGTCAAACACTTACAGGTAAGACGACACGTAAACAAACACAACAGTAAGCTTGTTATTTTTTGAATGCCTCTATAGTTGTCACGGTTACGCTCTGATACAGAGAAGAAATCTACGAGTCCGTGCAAAGATGCAGCATTTTGTATACAGCTTACATTTTTTGCATTCAACTATGATGGTCAGCACATTCATCTGTCTCCTCCTGATTCTTAAAAGTGTGACTAACATGAAACCCAGAGAGGTGAGAAAAATACCGAGAGACCTGAAGACAAGAGCTTAGAGAAGAGAGGAATTAAGATTCCAGCTCTCTCTCCTGAAGATCAATCATTCACTGCGCAGGGACAAGCAAGCTCTTACGTCTGATTTCCCCGCTGACCACCCTGCTCTTTCATCAATCATCTCCATTATTGACGGGTGCTGAAGTGGAGCAGTGGAGGGCTCTTTTAAAGCCGGTGTAGGGCCTCATTACCATTTCATATGTGGTCTTAAACAACCTGTTTGGTAACGGGGAAACCGGATCAATTCAGATGAATCCACATTTTAGCTGCAAGGAAGAGGCTGATATTGATGGTGAAGGATATTTACAGGTCTAATTGGAAGGTCTTAAAGTGGAGTTATGGTCCTAATATTGAAGCAGGAGACAGCGCTGTTAAGTTGTTGCATGTATTGTGTCAATTTGATAGATGTGTTTAACACTCAGCTACAGATTTCACTTAAAATATTACCCATGTATCCACTGTGGATCTCTTTTACGCTTTAAATATTGTGTTTGCTTTCTATGCACCATAACAAAACAAGAATGTGAAAATTATACAATCTCAGTTCTCTAAAAACTGTATTATTTGTATAATGCTGAAAAACAACAAGTCCTGACTTGTCCTTGAAAACATTTGGAGCATTATGAGACACTAAAGGGACTGTTTTTAAAAGGTTTCTGGTTTCAAATGAGACTTTTTAATTGTTTATTTCTTGAATAAAAACTGTTAGAGTGTTAAATTCTGAATTAATAACACAAATCTCTGCTTCACTTTCAGGATGATTGTTTTTGCTCAACTGGTTTCTGTGCATTATAAGCTTTTCCTTTTAATACGATGTGGTTACTGAAGATCCCAATCAGTGAAAAACATGTATTTTTTTTAGAGTTTCATTATTTTCTCTCTGTTTAGAAATGAGATTAAATTCCCTCCGCTCTGTCAAACAGACTCAACCAGGCGACTGAATTATGTTACATTTTATTAACTCCTGTGTTACCTCGGCGTCTGCTGCAGCTTACACTGTGTCCTCTTGTCTGCCTTTATTGCCCATTCACAAACGTGTTACCGTGGTTACTGTACGATTAAAGATAATTTATTGAGGTAATTTATAACTTTTATCTCCCTGTAATATCAAAAATAGAAAATAGACTTCTCTTTGAACTCGTGTTTCAGAGTCTGGAGATGAGTTACCTTTAATATAACTCATCTTAACTCAGTTTGTTCCTGCTCTGACCTTTGGTTTAAAATTTCAATCAAATTAACTTTCTTTTTTTCTGCTCCTTCTCCAACCTTTCCCCTCCAACCCTCCTTTATCTTTTTTTCTTTTTCCTCTTCTTCTCTACTCTGCAGAAATTCCCAGAGGAGGGTTTGGCCAACGTGGTGCGAAACGTCTTCGACTTCGACTCCTACAACAAAGACATGCGGGAGGTTTTGATCGAGGCGCTGCACAAACACGGGATCCCCATCGGAGCCAAGCCCACTTCAGTCAACCTCGCCAAGGAGTAAGAACTCTGAAGAAGCAGGCACTGAGATGATACACACTAACACAGTATAAACACATTTCAGGAGCAATTACAGAGCAGTCAGAGAGGCATCGAGGTAGGGAGGAACACAACAGACATGGGCATTACTCTATCCTGTCATACATCTGTGAAGCAAAATTTTAAAACAACCACTCAGAACAGGCTGGTTTTTACCATTTTAGAGGCTACTGACAGTGACTAAAGCTACATCCACACTCCTGTATTTTCATTTCGAGCTTTTGCAGCCTTCATTTGTAGCACCCGGACTCTCTGCATCTGCAAAACTCAGTTCTGGGTTGCGTTAAAGAGACTCTAAAATCTTGATAAAGGCGCCTAAATTTGCTTTTCTACCAGAGGTGCACTCTCCTAATTTTGTCTGCCCTTCATGTGACACTCTTTTTATAGACAGGTTTCTGTGAAACGTCGTTGCAGGTGTGCCCGCGAAGCCTTGGGGCAGAAAGCAGGAAATTTCTTATTTGTTCACTTGTGGAGTCAACAGAGAAAGAAAATGACAAGGCGCTGTTGTGCTGTAAACTGCACGAATTGGCAAAACAAACAGTCCGCAAACATTATGACCCTGCTCCTGATATTAGAAACATCTAAAACAAAGTCACAACCTGGTAAATTGAGTGAAATTCACAGACATTTGTGTTTTTTCTGATTTTGAAAGAAAAAGCGATTTTTCAATGAAATTACATTTTATTGCAATTCTGTCTGGGAGAACTTGCAAACAATACGGCATCTTCATTGATATCAGTTCACTCGGAAGCAGGATTTTGCCCCCTGGTTGCGTGCGCACCTAGTATTGTTTGTGCACAAGAAACCCATCTATAAAGAAACAAACAATGTTAGCTCTATCAGGCAGCTTTTCACCGGCATGAATCAATCAGTGCATGTACTGCTGCTGGCCTCAGAGGCTATTGAATTTAGCATTTTGCTGCAAAATGCTTCAACTTAGTACATGTGCAAGAGACAAGCTTTTATTCAGTGATGCTAACAGAACTGCATGGACGATCATTTTAGCACCTAATGAAAATATGCCAGTGTGGATGTAAACAGCTGCTTTTCCTGCTGGAAATCTAACACGAGGATGATAGCTGTGTTAAATAACAGGAATCCACTTTAAAACACACACATCACCTTTTATTTATCACATCAAAAATTTAACATAGGCTGAGGTGAGATTTTTAGTGTCATTTAAACTATAGAAAGTTGAGATACCATATAAATAAAAATTGAGATCGTAACAAATCTTAAAAAACACAATCAGTATTTAAAAAAAACAATCAAATGTTTCTTATTTTTGATTCCTCTCCAACCGGTTCTTGATGTTTATCATGACTGTTCACCTCTGAGCAGCTCTCCTGCAGAAAGGGTTTCTAGAGAGGATGTTTTACTGAAATGATTTTAAAGTATCTCTAAGAAGTCAAATCCTGAATGCTTGAAGTCGGCTGGTTTTCCCCTCAGCCTCTTGACTGGTTTTCCGATTAAACTACATTTTGAGGCTTCCATGAAGTCTCCTCGTTACAAACTACAGTATTTAACTGCCTAGATCATCCTCATCATTACCTCACTTCTCCTTAAGAGAAAAAAAGGCTCGTATATCTTCTACATTGTCTCATAATGTACAGCTTTGTCTTTGAAATAAAGGAAAATATTTGTTTCTTCTGTCTCCTGTGCGTTTATTTAAACTTATTACATTCATAAATGAGTAAAATCATAAAAAGAGAGCAGAGCAGAAACAAGTATTTTCCTTTAGCTGATTATAAAGAGATTGTTGAAGTTTTGCATCGTTTGAGATCTTCGTTTCATCTTTGACAGTTTAAACCTCGACTAATCATGAACATAAAAGCTGCAGTTTTGGTCTCCGTTCCCAATTTTGACTGTGGAAAACAAGAAAACCACTTCTGTTTGGTATCTCTTTGATTTTCCATTATAGAAATATTTACAGTCCCCCAACCCATTTATCCACTTAGAGTCTGTGAGTTTGGTTGTTGTGAATATTTCTTCCCACCTGCAGCCAATAAGAGTGTGGCTACGGTCCAGCTCTGATTCATACTTCAGGCTGCCGGACGAGTAAACATCAGGCCAGACACAACAAGCCGAGCGAGCGTGGACTCACACAGAGAAACTACATCCAACAGACACTAGCTTGAGCTTCTCCACAAACACAGGGATGAAATAGAGCTCGGTTTAGAGTCCAAAGCGAAAGGCTGTCTGTGAAATCCGGTTATGACCAAAACGTACACTTACATCCCAGCATAGCCTAATTTCTCTTCATAGACACAAACATGTGCATCTAAGGTGGTTGTCATCATTTGACCTTTAACCTTCAGGTTGCCCCTGCCTGAGGTCAAGATGACCGGTTACTGGACGATAAACCATGGAGTGAACGCTCGCCGCAAACTTCTCTGTCCTACCGAGACGCACACCATTGACATCAAGGTAAAACGTTAAAGAAAATCCACCCAGAATAATGATGTTTGAGGTCAACTGGTACATATTAAAGGTTTAAAACATATTAAAATAAGGACACAGTCAGGTTGCATCAAAGTCGGCATTATCCAGCACATTAAAACAATGAACACTAAGATTCAGAGCTCATTAGAACGGCTCTTTTGAAGGGAATTTCTACATATTTAAATCTTTGCAACAGTATTTAAATATATTGCGTTATGTAACTGATGTGATTTTTAAACTACACATTTTTAAAGTTTGTACAAAAAAGCGGTTAACTTTTCTAGCATACATGGGGAAAAAAACATTTGTTTTCCAGTATTTGGATTGGAAAGTCTTATTATCCCCAAAGGGCAGTTTGGTTTACACACAGTAAACAAACATAAATACAAACACAGAAATGAGATACATAACTGCAGTGTATGCAGTTAAATTTAAAGTCCAACAGAATCTGTTTGAATGGATCACAGTTTCATAACCCGGTACAGATCTCCTGATTTGCTGGTTTTTCTATGGTGGTCGCTAAAAGGTCAAAATACGAAAACCCTTTTTTTTTTAACCAAAACCCAAGACATTCAACTGAAAGTGAAAAACATTTCACAAAATATTTCCAAAAAGAGTTCTTTATCAAAATGTTTTTCTTTTATTTTTTTTTATCAATTTTTTATTGATAGATTTTTAAATTTAATAAACATTTTTTGTGTTTTTTTTTTCTTTTTTTTTTTTGGTTTGGCTTTGTATTCCCACCATCTTTTTTGCATTTTGCTGAATTTATTTTAAGTCTGGAATAATGTTTTTGCATTCTATTAACTGATTTTTGGTTTTATTTATTTATTTTGTATTCATTTTAAATTTTTAACACAAATTTAGCATTTTGCGATGTGTTTACTAGATTCTACAAAAACTGTAATACAAATGAGAGGATTTGACTTCACCTCCTGTGACAGACATACACTGAACTTTATCAAAATAAGAGCACATGCTGATTACTGCTCACTTAACAAGACGGTTATGTGTGTGACGGTTATGTGTGTTGTGTCTGCAGGGCCCAGTGTTTCTGCGTGTGCAGAGTTATCCCTGTAACAGACAGGAGAGCCGTGCTCTGAGCTTCAGTGAGGAGAAAGCACACTGGCAGATCCCCATGAATGAAGTCAACATCATCTGCGACGTCACCACCAAAGATGGTACACACACACACACACACACAAACACTCATACCTTCAGAAATAACAGAATAATTGAAATGTCCTTGTTCTGTTTTGCAGACACGCTGCTCGTAGCCACCTGTAACCCGGTGTCCCTGTTCTCCATGAAGGAGCGCGGGGACACGATCCGCTGCATGGAGCTCTATGATGTCTTCCCCAGGACCATCAGTGGAGTCTGGCAGCCGTTTGTCACTGTGGCTCCTCTTGGGAGTCCTTTGGAGGGACAGGTGGTGCTGCACGAAGAGCAGGTTAGCGGGCACACACGCACAGACAGACAACTGATGGTACATACAATATGATTGTATGCAAGACAGAAATACGATGCCATTCAAAATGAAATATACTGTAGTATTTACTATAATATGTTACGTTACATAGGATAGGATAGGATAAAATAGAATGGGATACACAAAGGTCAACTCCTTAAAAATATTACAAAGACAGAAATAAGCCACGTAAAGGAGAGCAATTTTAATGGCATGTTTGACTCGTCTGTTTGAACAGACGTGTGAATATGAGTTTCCAGAAGTTTCTTATTCATTCCAGTACTAAGGCTGGTTTTTATAGAGGAAAATCTCAGTTTATAAAGCTAATCTGCAACTAAACCTGCAGATAAAAGCTCGAGGAGAGCTCAGTCTGATTGTAAATGAACTTTTAGATTCTTTCTCTCTTTGACTTTCCTGCTGGCTCGACTTCAGCCGAAAAAAAACAACTTCCTGCAGGGTTTCGAATTAGATTTACCAAATCTTACAGAGCTCTGTTTATAAACTGACCATCAGAACATCACATTTGTTCTGTCTCAAATGTTTGTTTGGTAGAAAATGTTACAACATCACTTATCTGGAAATTGTGAGCGCACTCACACAGACTGACGGTCTGTTCACAGAGGAATCTTCTCTTCTGGTCCCATGTCCTTATTTGCTTAAACGTAACATGACACTTATGCAACAGTGGTATTTAAACTTTCTTTCAGAAGACGACCACAGATTCCTCACTGATTGAAAATAGCTGCTCACAGGCCCGTTATAGATCCTGTAAACGGCTGGTGGTTAGCGGTTGTTTGCTGTTGAACCTCACTCACCCCACAAGACCCTGATCTGTGACGACAGAGATCCAGACAGGAACAATGCATGTAAGTCTTTTCTCCGGCTGGCCAGAGCTCGCTACAGCTGGAGCGCATTAGACAAGAGGAGGCCTTTCTAAAAATACCTCCGTGATGGATCGTGTTACTTCTGTCTAAAAATGAAGAGGTCCAGACAACATGGAGTTCGTCCACAGGTCGGCGGCCTCTTCAGGGGGGGAGTCAGGGAAACCGTGGTGAGCGCAAAAATGCGCGCAAAGATTTACTGGTGCAAAGTTCACGGACAAGAAAAATAACTTCAAAAACTGAACAGATCGAGAATACATTTCCACAAACATTACCTGACCTGTCGACGTCTTGTCAGGTGTCAAATCCACAAAGAGGACATTCAGATTTGTTCACATTCAGTTCAAAAGTAGTAAATGTAAAGGATCAGGAAACCAGGCGTCATGAGGAAGACACCGGTGAGGAAGAGGGCACAAGCATCATAGCCAGAGGAGACTGACCAGTGCACCAGGAGAGGTGGAGGGGGTCATAGAAGGACACCAACCTGGCAGTAGGACTACAATCTACTCCTTTATGAGAGGAGGAGTGGGAGACATCCTCAGGCATGATGGGTTTGGAAGACGGTCAATGATGGTCTTCAGAGGCATATCCTTGGAGGGCCCATCAGACCTCCATGTGCCAGTGGAAGGTACCCTCAGACTTGTTGTCAGACCATACGCTGGTCCAGTGGGCCCTGAGTTCCTTCTGGTGCATGGCAGTGCCCAGCCTCATGTGGCCAAACTGTGTCATTACATCCTGGATGATGAAGGCAGTGATGTTATTGGCCGGCTTGTCCGTTTCCCGGACCTGAATCAAATCCAGCACCTCTGGGACATCATGTGACGTCGCACCACAGACTGTCCAGAAGCTGCCTGATATTCTGATCCCAGTCTGGGAGAAGATCCCCCAGGAGACCATCTGTCATCTCATCAGGAGCATTCCCAGACGTTGTAGAAAGAGTATACAGGCATGTGGAGGCTATACACACTACAGAGCCACATTATGAGTGGTTTTTGATGAACTTCAGAGTTTGGATAAGACTGTGATCTCTTTTTTTTTTTCATTTTTGTTTTGGGAATGGTTCTGAATCCAGTCCTCAAAGGGTTAATAATACTGGTTTCCATCGAGCGTCCTTATGTTATTTGTTCTCAGCAAATTACACAGTGTTACGATCAAGATTTTTAACTGGAATAGTTTGTTAAAAAGATCGGGGATGTGTGATTTAAGTGTTCCCTTTATTTTTGAGTAGTGTATCTGGTCTGTAGGACATGAAGGTTATAATCTCTGTATGTAATATTTTGGTGGAAGGAATCAGTTTTCAGAAAAGAGAGCGTTGTTTTGAGTTAGATTTTACTTGGAGAAGAGCGCCCTCTGCTGGCAATCATGGAGAAAGAAGTTATTAAGAAATTACCTACTCCGTGCAGGTTTCATTTTTTTCACTATAACAAAATTTAACTTCAACTCAAACACAGATTTGATTCACAGAACAACAATCAGCTTATTTTCCTGCTTCCTTTAGGTGGCAGCCTGTGAAATTAGATATTATTATCTAATTTCTCCTCTTTGATTTGTGTTTCTGTCAGAGTAACACAGTCCTCCATCTGGACATGGAAACAGGCGCCGTGCGGAGGCTCTTGCTGTCCCCGGAGAGCGACCCTCCCTCTGCCCGAGCGTCAAACTGGTGGAGCAGCAAAGAACAGCAGGTCAGAGGTTTCTCCGCCTCCACAGTCTGAGGTCATCCGGCCTCTGGCTCCTCAATGCTCAGAAGTCGTTTCCAGTATTATTTAAGACATGTTCATTTTCCCCAGAGTGCAGAGTTTACATTAGGAACATGTTCAATGATTAATACTCTGTTTGTGTCCATAAATAAGGGGACATTATTCTCTCTTAAATGCTGGTCTCTCAATTACAGATTAAAGTTTGAGAAGAAAAGCCTCATTTAAAAGTGTGAAATTAATCTTTTGACTTCTTTTGGTTGTTGTTTGCAGGGCGGTCACAAAATGTGTCGGGACTTTGCTCATAAAAACTGGCTGCTCTTCTATAAGGAGAATGGGTGAGCCTCTTTGTCTCAAAATGACTGATAAAAAACAATCTACCACAGCAAGAGCTATAAGAAACAATGAGCTGTGTTTGTCTTCTTAATGCAGAAACCAGTTAGAGGTGCTGGATGTGCTGGAGGGCCGAGTTCACTCCATCTCTCTGCCCATCAACCTGAAGTCTGTTCACCTGGTGGCTGAGGATCGCTGGCTGCTGCTGGAGAGTAACACCAACAAGTGAGTGAAGGACAAGGGTTTCAGATCTCTCTTAAAGGATTAATGCTTCACTTTTAAACCACAGACTTTTTAACTCATAGTTGTAGTCTCTGTGATCTCGCCAAAAGGCAGAAACAGACTTTTTTGTTAGAGAGTACGGTCAATTTTTCGATCCAGAAACAGTCGTCTTTGTGCTCTCTTCAAACCCACCAAACCCCATTCACCAAATCTCTAATTCTTCTTTTCAGAAAACAAGAGTCACTGGTCTGCTGCTGTTTGTTTCTTACAAAGTGTTATGTCTAAAACTATCAGTATAAAACATCAAAATCACACAATAGTACAGAAAAGAAAAAGGCTTTTTTTATCAGTGGAGTCTTGTGGGCTTTCCAAAACCATTGTTATAGCTGTGTCTGATTCCTGGAAAAGATCGTACTTTAACAAAAAACTTGTAGAAATTTGGATCCCAAAACATCATAAAATTACTGTCAGAGTTAAGACATTAGAATTCCTCCTTAATATTTTAGGAATGAATTATCTCCTGTTGTCCTGTGTTTATCGTTAAACAGGAAGTTCCTGCTCACTAAGCCCATGCACATGGCAGCCGAGGACTCTGGAGTGTGTCAGCTCCACAGCATCAGTGAGGACCCGGTCAGCTCAGGACATGGAGTCGGCTCAGGTACAGATCAACTCATTTAAGATCCCACCGCTCTGACAGCGTTATTCAAACTGCTCTAAAGCACTTATTTAAGACTTAACCTCAGAGCGATCAAAGGACCCCGAGAGATAAACTGTCAGATGATAGACCAGTGAAGACCTCTATGTGTGGGTATCAAATTAAATGTGCTGTAAGTCGTGTGTAGTTCAATAAATAACCTTTATGTCACAGTGGGTGAGAACATCTATGAGGAATATCCACCAATCAGGACCGAATGAGTCCATGAAAGTCAGAGGTCACTGTGCTTACTTGGGGACACCGAGCTTCACTGTAAATCAAAGAGGAAATCTGTGCAATGACCTCATTTAGAGAGGCGATAATGTAACTGCATCCCGCTCATAGATAAGGACAGACATAGAAATAAACCATGTTTACTCTATAACTTAACTGAACAAGTTTTCACTCTGCAGACCTATATTTCTTTCTGATTTCTATCCTCTGCTTTGTTTGACCTCCTCTCTCATTTCTCAGTTGAGGCGTCTGTACCTCAGATGTTATCATGTGAACAGCTACCCAACGAGAACCTGAGTGCCGCTCTGGACCAGAAGATCGTTTCACCAAATCGAGTCCTGGCTGACACTGGCTCCTACGCACAAATCATCGTGGGCTTCCCAGACCTTGTGGTGAGAATCTAAGATGGCGTTGTGCAAAATAAGTGGACGTTATTTTCTTCACATATCAAATTTTAATTTAATGCACTGTACAATGTTTAACCGTCAAGTTATGCCTATAAACAGCAGAGCAAGGAGGTGTTTAGTGCCTTACTGGAATCCTGAGCTACGAGTGATCCACAGGGGGCGCCAAAAATGACAGAAACTGGACATTCCTCATAAAAGCAAACATTTACCATCTCTCAGTCTTTATTACCATCTGTGTGCTCGATGTGTTAACGCTGATATTTCCCTTTTCATCCAGTCTCCTAACGAGGTGTACGGCTTTAAGCGACGCGTCGATCTCTCCGAGATGAAAAGCGGCGACAGCGGCGCTAACACCTTCTTCAGAGGAAGCCTTCGCTCAGCCTCCGCCAAACGGGAGAACTGCGTCAGTCTGCTCTCAGCCAATCAGGTGGTCAGAGCTCTTCCACCCAACAAGGTCCCCCTAAAGGAGGTCTACCCCAAAGGTCAGGGTTCAAATGAATCAAATGTGGAAAATAAACACAACTAGAGGAGGATTTCGGGGTTTAAAAAAACATGTTTTCTTCTTCACACTCAGATATTACTCCTCCGATGACAGCAGCGTACCTGGAGGTGACCGATCTGAGCTCCAAAAAAGTCAAATATATTCCTGTCCCACGGTAAGGAACACACCGGTCTTATGACAGAGTTGTGTCGAGTATTTTTCTACAACTTAGAGGACCAAAGGTAACCCTTTCTTTTACGGTACACTTATTACCAGGTAATTAATAGGTAATTACCTAGTAACAACATGGTAACAAATTATCTGGTAATTACATGATAACTACTAAGTCAATACTGTCTAGCTACCAGGTAGGTAACCTTCCATCATCATACAAATTTGAAGCTGAATTGCTCTGGTATTTCCAGGATTTTCTCCGCTTCCTGGAACCACCACTTGCGCAGTAACATTGTACGCATTCTGCGGGTGAGTCGCTGTGATAATGCTCGGCTCAAACAGCATATCGCTATGCAATCCTCACACACCCATAGGCTGTATCAAGTGTCAATCACAGAAAATAAGAACCCCAAATAGCTTTTGAAAATGTAGCTGCACAGAAAAAAGAAAAAAAGAAAATTAGACAGAATTGACTTAGTTGTTATCATGTAATTACCAGATAATTTCATGTTTTTAGTAGGTAATTATCTGTTAATTACCTGGTAATAAGTGTACCTTAAAAGAAAGGGTTACCGGACCAAAAGAGAAGAAAATATGCTTGATTTAAATGCAAAGAAAGCTCATATCAGCCTGCTGTAACACAACCACTGCGTCTGTTCTTTAAATTTTATTGTGCAGCACTTTGGTAAACTTGAATGTTTTTTAAAATGTGCTATATAAATAAAGCAGATTAGAACCATAGTGCAGGACTTCAGGGTGACACCTGGGGTAGCCAATCAGAGGACACACCCTCGTTTGCAAGAGAAGCAGCAGGATGTAGAATAATGACATTTGATTGTCGATATATGGCTTTTCTCTTACAAACATCATAGTGTATTACCTTGTGAAGCAGTTCAGTCCTTCTTTCAATGACAGAGATTTCTGCGTCTTTGTGTCTGTCAGGTCCATGTCAGTATCGCCGTACACCAGCTGGTTGTCAAAGGTGTCAGAGTCTGATGTGCTCATCGCCGCTCTGGGTACCGGCGGCGTGGTCACTGTGGATATGGGCGGGTACGTCCGGTTGTGGGAAACAGGATTGGACACTCTGCAGAGATCACTGATGGAGTGGAGGAATATGATTGGATCAGAGGACGGCAGACCTGTACAGGTAATCCCACAGCTTTGTTTGACTGCTTTATACCGCTCACAGTGGATCTCTAAAAGAAATGGCTGTAGGCTGCAGTTTCTCTTCTCACCACAGAGGGGCAGTGCAGCTTCATGAATAACTTAAAAGTGATTTTGGGACAGCTTGTGTACTTGCCTTCCTCTGGCAGAATACTCATGCTGCAGAAATAGACTTGATCTCATGTTAACCAGAATGTTTCCAGGCCTGAAGTTTATGACCCGCTGTACCCGGGGTGGGTGTGTATGAATGAACGGGCTTTGTGTTGATGATGCAACAGGTCTGACCCTGTGGGTATGGCTCAAAATGTTCAGACCAGCTCACTGAGGAAGCCTTGTTTATGTGCCCACGCACAAAACAGAGACACGAATTCTTCAGATAACCCAGCCTGTACGTGCAGACTGTTCTCTATCTGAGCATCTGTGTCTGTGCACAAGGCAGGAAAGGAGAGCAGGGACCTTAAAAAAGAGACTGATGATGAAGTCGAGTCCCTTATAGAGTGGAATCTTTAATGTTAGGGATATTTTAAGAAAGTCCTGAAAGGATTGTTTCGACTGCGGCCTTTATCTCGTCTGTACTGTTGAGTCTCGTGTCTCCAATCCTCCTCTTAAAAATACTCCACAGGTTCAGTCCAGTCAAGCACAGTAAGACCACAGTCAGAAAACCAGTTTCTTGTAGTTTTGGCGCTGTGGGCAGGTGTCAGGTCCTGCTGGGAAAGGAAATCTGTATCTCCATAAATCTTCTTTGCAGGTGTTTAGAGTTTATCAGCTGATTGAAGTTCTTTTTCAGGAGTGAAATAACTGAAAAGGAACTGGACTTTTCCAGAATATTCTTATGTTTTCAGGTAGTTGATTTTTGTTTTTGACTCCTGTACAGTCTTGTCTATCACCAACATTTTCAACTTTTGCACTTTCTCTTTTTTGGCACTCACTGTAAAGTTGCTGTTCCTTCAAGAGCCCTTTAATACCTAAAAAACTGTCTGACACCCAGCCATGCTGAGGTTTCCACCTGCAGACCTGCTCTGCACACACTGACCCTCTCCCGGTCCAGATTCCTCAGTGGTCAGGTCGTCTTTGATGGGGCACCTTCAGCTCTCTGTAGGTCAGACTCTCACAGACGCTCCCTGTGCTCCATGTTTGCTCACTGAAAATAACAGTAACTCTACTGTATTTAAACCTGCTGCTGTAAAAGGCTCTCTGTAGGTCTGCTCAGAGGTACACTTCACTGTTTGCACACCTCAGTCCAATACGAGCTGTTTGCACAAAGCACATATGCATCAGTTGTTAAATACGATGTTTCTCACACTCTTAAAAGAGGCTTTTACCTTCTAACGAAAGAGGAAATGTCCCATTTTGATCTGTCTTTTTTCAGGCATGAGGAAATGTTATTATATATCCTATCCCCTATATCCATGGATACTTGTATGTCTAAACAATCAAACATCAGACCGTGTGTGTGAGTGTGAATCCAGGTGTGCATGACTGCATGGCTTTTAATCTGAACGGTCCCGCTCATCTGTCTGTACACCTAGCCTGTTCCATTACAGCACTGTTGACATCATGGATACACACACACACACACACACACACACCAGTCATCACCTGTCTGCACACACACACACACTCTCCTTTTGTTTGACTGGTGTTTCCAAAGCCAGGTGTTTACAGGTAAACAGTGTGAATAAAAGGATCATGGGACTTTTACTCTTTCAGTCAGTCAACCTGACGCTTGATTCTTCAGTAGAGGTGATTTTTACATTTATATTAGTGTTTTTTTCCCCCTTATTTAACATAGTGCTAGTTCAGGCAGGCCACAGAGTCGCAGCACATCAGCTGATTTGAACCCCAGCCTTTATCAGCTGGTTACTTTCTATGAGTCTGATTGGCAAATATCGAAATGGTTAGTCTACTTTGATGCTCGCCTCCTCTCATCTCATGTCATGTGGATAGTACCCCAGTGGTCTTTGCTGATGTTCTCCCTGCCACATGAAACAATAGGGCAGCGTGCTCTCCACGCTTTAGGTCTTGGCATTCAACGAAAAATGGACAAAGAAGGGCAGGCAGCTCTGTAGCGGGTCTTTGCTGCTGCTCCCCCTGCCTTTGCTATACATGTCTCTTAAATCTGCAAAAAGTCTGTTTGAAAATGCTACAACACCTGGTTCCTGTTTTACATATTTTGGCGTCTGAATCACAAATTGGTACATGAAGTTTAGGAATTTCTCTAGAGGTCTGCAGGGATGAGATACTCTCTAACAGCTGCAACATGTCTCTTCAGGCCACTCAAACTATGCACACTAAATGTGTTTGATTTCAAATTGAAGGGCTCAGATGTTTGTCTTCGAACTCCAAAAAAACGTTCACAAATACGTTTAAAAACCAGCAACACACATATGCACTTGAGTTCACATTGGGGCACACATTCACTTCCATAAGAAACACTCAAAATGGGCTTAAAACCACACAGATACACACACGAGCAGATGCCTCTTCTACTAAATCACGCTGTCTTTGGGCGTCTAAAGGGAGAATCGGAAATTTACGAGGCTATTAATCCTGCATGACGAGGCGTGGACCTTCAATGAGAGAGGCAGTGAGAGAGTGAAAGAAAGAGGGTTGGATGGAGCTCAATGAGCGAGGAGGGAGGGGCAGAGACATCGATTCCCACAGTCATAAAAATGAAGTTTTCTCCACTTCAGGGCCTGCCAAGCACCACTTTTCCCTCCGCTGAGGGGCTATGATGCAAGCGCAGGCTCGCTGCTGACCGCCAAAGCTGCAGAGGACCAGAGCATCTGAGGTGGAAACCCTGAAGAAACAGAACACAGAGTCCACAACTTTACAAAAAAAAAGTGAAAAATTTCATGGTTTGTTTCTTCCTCCACGAAAACAAACTGAAGATGTTCGGGTTGAGTTTATCTCGGGCTTCAGGAAACATCAATTTCGTCATATCTATACACATTTAGAGAACTTGTTAACCATTGAGTAATCAAGCTCGAAACATAATCCCCGCCTCAGTCAGATAGTGCTCATGTTGTTGGTAAACCTGATGTCACTGCTGTCAGAATCCCTGCTGGGACTGTAACATGAAACACACAGAGTCATTAATGACTCAGGCCTCTGTCACAGTCTGAGGAGGATCCTGAGCTCAGTCTTTCTAAAGTAAAAGATCCCTAAAATGGCCTGGTGTTGTAAGACATCACTCGTCATTTTTCCTAAATGCGGAGTTCAGACCATTCGTCACCACTTTACTGATCATGGCTGAGTCCATTAGCGGCATGAAGACACATGCTGGAGGTCTGTCGTCACCATGGGAGAGTTTAATCTTAATTTAGTGTGATGACAGAGAGGATTACTGGAACTAGAATGTACTGCTGAAGGATTCCTCTGTAAAGGGTGGATATCTGAGATACTTAAAATCCAGCGTCAGCCCTAATGGATGCAGGCGTGTGAATGTAAAGTGGATTGAATTGTGATTGTGTCAGGGTTTCTTGAGTGACTGAACTTTGGGTGTGAGGGGTTAGCCCACGCTCTGAACAGTAGGGCAGGGATGATAGCTGAGGGTAACTGTACTGATAAGGAGGCTTAGTTTGGCCAGTGTTAATCCATATTTATACATAAATGAAGTACAGATTGCTCTATAGCTGTGAAGTCCTAGTCGACTGCTCGACTTATTCGTTGACCAGTCAATTGGGTCGACCAAAATTCCGATTGGTTGACTCGATTTTTTTCGTGTCAATTTACAGTCCATTGTTAATTTAATCAGGAGGAATGTACCAAGTGCTAACGGGGGTGTTTTCAGAACACCCCCATTTCACAGGTAACAGCCTGTCTCAGAACAACCCCCTTGATTTCACCATTTTGGATTCACCCAACCCACTGGAGACCGGCTGGAGACAGGAGGTTTGAAGAGAGTCCAGAAGGGTTTGCTGTCAGAGTGAGATCCACCCATCTCCCACCCCATTAGTCGATTTTTGGTCGAAAATTTCAAGGTTTTAGTCGACCAAGAATTTCTATGGTTGATTACAGCCCTAGTTAACCCTGACTCATCAGAGCGTCTTTTAGACCAGTGGTTCTCAACTGGTCTCACTCTGGGACCCACATTTTCCCATGGTCCTGAAGTCACAACAACCCAATTATAAAATTCTAACCAAGCAAATTTATTTCGTATGAAAAAAAAAAAACCTCTGAAGACTGAAATCTTTGACATAAATACACCTATTTTATTGAGTAAAGTGCATTTCAGAGCACATGAACTGAGGATGACAACTGCTAAAGTTGCTTATGTAGAAAATATCAAATTGCACACGGAGACCAGCAAAATGAAAAAATTGACATATTAAGAAGACCCTGAGGCGGATCGTGCAACAGCATGGACAAAAGTGAATGAATATCAAATTGCACAAAATAAAGACCATAAAAAAACATGTAATTTTACTGCATTCAGGACACATTAATAAGAAACCAAAGAGGACCACAACATAATGCGTGCTTTTCAAAATAAGCTATTTTTCAAAATAAAAGACATTATCTTTTCTTTATTATCTTTACTTTTTTGACCAGCTGTTCGCGACCCACATTTGGGTCAGGACCCACCAGTTGAATATGAGACACGTTTCAGGTTCCTGTAACAGTAATGTGTTGATCTCACTCAGCATGGTTAAATCGAGCCATCGTCCTCACTTTACAGACCTACAGGAAAGCACCGCCTCTTTGATCCAGCGTTTTGTTGGCAGGAGAAAGAGAGTGTGGTGTTTATAGACGGATCACACTCATAAACACTCTGTACTTCTCACTCAGACAGCTCAGCTCCTCCATGAAGCTCCATTTCTCCACATCAGGTGCTTCGCAACATGGGACCGGCATGTGTGCAATTCAGCTCATGTCCTGGCAGTGTGACGCACCCACACACACACACACACACACACACTCATGCATCAGTGTGTAACCAGAGAGCGGTCACATGGTGGAGGTGAGCTCCTGGAGGTGAGCTATGGTGACACCAGTGACTCAAACCTCTGACCCTTTACCTCAGCACACAGCTATGGAGGTGCGACACGCAGGTCTATCTGGTTACTGATGACACACACATCTACACAAACACACAAACTCCAATACACACACTTCCTGTTGATCCTGACCAACACTCATCTATTGATACACAGATGCTCTGTTAGTCTGCAGCTGCATTTCAAACCCTCTGAGTCTGAGATCCTGCTGGTCCCTGAACAGACTCCACCCCCCGTCCTCACACTCTTATTGTCATTCAGAAAAGGTTCAGTGGTGATTTTTCTCATGCAGATTTTTAATTCAAACAGCCAACACAGCTGCAAGTCAGATAATATATGACCCTCATGGTCCTTTGAGTCTGAGCGAGAGTGTTTTTGGGAAGCTGAAGTGTCATCACCTCAGACTGTATTTGTAGAGGAAGCCTATTTATACTGTTTTCTTTTTCACCAAGTATATCTAATTTAGGTTCATTCTTGGATTATGATTATGCAATAGTTATAAGAGCAGGCAGGGGAACTTTGAGAGGTTTGTGCCCAATGAAAAACATCAAGACTCTCAGTTTTTGTTTTGCTCTGAGTGAAATTTCAGATGGAAGCTCTTCCTTGGGAGTTAAGATATTCAGTCTTGCTGGAAAACTGCGTGTGGGGAAAAAGGAAATTAACAAGGGGCTCCGACTTTCTGCACCTCATTTACAGGCAACATCTGCTCCAGGTGTGAGGACAGAGATGGAAAACAGCTGAAACCCTGTGTGTGGATGGTCTCTGTTTTAATTTCCATGTGAATTTGGATGATAATTGAAGATGATTGTTTTGGTTGATCAAGTGTTATTATCTTGTCTTTATAATCTGACCTGGTTTAAATCAAAGTGACCTTCCTAATCTGCTCTAAATACAGAGCTCTGCTGATACAGCAGCCTCACGGCGGCGGTGTGAGAGTAAAGCCTCAGATCTGAGCTCCTCCGTGAGTCAGTTTAACAGTTATAGGTGTGGACAGAGACGCTGCAGCAGGAGAGGAGGACTCCCTCTCTGATGGACATCTGCTCTTGGTAGATAAATAACTGCACAGACACATTAAAAACAGATAAGACACAGAGCAGCATGTATGAGTTCAGCTTTCCTGCAGCGAAACACTCAGTCTCCGTGTTCCTCTTTCACCCGGTCATGCATGCCGGACTCCAGAGTTAACATGCTGATTTTGTGCAGAGGAAGCCTTTGAGATTGACCCTGAGCTTTATCCTCCTGCAGAGAGACACAGAGTCTGTCTGTCTGTCTATGCTGCAGGAATCTCTCACCTTAGAGATACAGAGTCTTTTATTTTGAAATGCCTGCTGTATGGTGGGCAGCTTGCCTGCTGTTTGGGCTTTTTGTGGATTTCTTTGTAAATCAATTCTGCTCACCGGGAGCTAAAAGAAAAGTGTTTTTCAGGAAAGATATGTAATGGTTTTTCTCCAACTTTGACCTAATTTTTGTCAGTATTTATGTCTAAAACCTGCAGATTTCCCAATGAGTATTTATCATAGACTGTATAAAGAATTATTATTATTATTATTATTATTATTATTAATTATTAAGGTTATTGTAAGACTGGTTTGTGCCCAAGTCCTTTTTTTCTGTACAGCTCCGTTTTTAAAAGTTATTAGGGTGTTCATGTTTTCTATGATTGACACCTGGTACAGCCTATGGGCGTTCAGGGATTGCGTAGCTCACCCGGGGTTGAGCCGAGCGTCATCACAGCGACTCTCGGCGACTGCGCGGCCGAATGCGCGCATTCGCTACTGCGCAGCTCTGGTTTCCAGGAAGTGGAGAAAAACCCGGAATTACCGAGAGCTTTTTGGCTTCGAATCCTTATACAGGGGGAACCAGGTTGTCCATAGTATATACAGTCTATGGTATTTATCCACTATGTATAAGAGTTATTTTCTCACTCTATTCCTGCACATGCTGGTTGTATGAGTGTCCTGTTAAAGGCTGCAACAAACAGCTTTTTTTTCTGAACCACATGTAAAAATAACACTTAGGCTTATCGACATTAATGTTCAGTGTTATGCGATTGTACAGTGCAGTTTTCTGATTTATTAATAGTCAGAGCTTCATCAGGTGATTGTCTTCCACACCTGGTCTGTGTATAACGTGAGTAGCTGAAATTATTCCTGGAAATCCACAGGCCGTAAAAGAGACCACCAGTGATGAGCAGAAAACGTGTCGTCCTCTGTGAGTTGTAGCCGAAGCGACCCCTTAACCCTCATAAACCTCCACGGCTTCAGATGGCCTCAGCTCACTTCAGGCTCTTTTAGCACCTGCACAGATATTTGTGACTCTGCTCTTATGTTTATGAAAAAGGACCCGGATGACATTTCTTCCGTTTCTCCCCTCAGATCACCATCCAGAGAGACAGCGGTCTGGACGTCAGCGGCCCCAAACATGGCAAGATTGATGCCAACAATGCCCCTCATGTCGGGGGAAACCAGTGGGCAGGAGGCACAGGTAACTAGAGTTGATTTCAGGATCTGAATCAGGAACTTTTTTGTCCGTTTTTACACCAAAAACACTCAGAAAAAATTTTGATATTTTACACTTATTTAAGTATGAAAGGTGGCATATAACTCCCCTCACTTAAAACAGCATGGTTCCCTCTGAGGAGGGTAATAAATCTTCTTCTGCCCAAGTCCTAAAGGGCTTACAGGAGAAGTTTTTCTCATTCCAGGCATCTGAAAGAATGAGAATACCGTTAAAAATATTATTTTTTCTTTGTAATTTTATTCCAAAGACAAGTTTTTATACCTAAAACAAAGTAGAAATCAGAAATCCTGTATCTCAAATAGTCAAAGTAACACAGTTGAAAGTAAAGAGGATGCTGCAGTGGAAGTGGTGTGTGTGTGTGTGTGTGTGTGTGTGTGTGTTTGTTGTGTTTATGAGTTGATCTGTCTCTCTGTAACTCTCCCACAGACTCTAGTATTTATGGACTGGAATCATCTTTCCGCTGTTTTTACGCACTTTTTGAAGTTCAATAATCTGACTGAACGTTTGTCTGCAGGCGGCAGAGACACAGCAGGACTGGGAGGCAAAGGAGGTCCTTACCGGCTGGATGCAGGACACAAAGTCTACCAGATCTCTCAGGCTGAGAAGGATGCAGTCCCCGAGGAGGTCCGCAAAGCTGCAAGAGAGATGGGCGAGAAGGCGTTCAAAGAGAGGTAGGTCGTTTTAAACCAAGAAAATACTCTGATTACATGCAGCCGTGATCCTACAGGCGGGAAACTGTGAGGCGCTTTTACACATGCTGTGGACTTAAACTACCCAGGACAGAAGTGTGTGATGTGTGTAATGAGGAACATGTGTGTGTGTGTGTTTTCATTTGGGACATCTGCAGTCAGCCATCCCAGGTATGTTGCTCCATCCTGGGCAAACATCCACAGCCTGCAGAGCCTCAGCTGGATGCATGAATGCAGCGGTAGATCCCACCAGGCCGTATATATGTGTGTGCGCGTGTGTGTGTGTGTTAATGTCTAAGGACTCGCACACACTGGCTTCAGAGCTCAGGGTTTAGAGGGCACCCCTTTCAGCAGCTCCACCATGAAGGGTGTCTCTGTTCACTTTGCTTCAAACAGCCTCTGAACTGTCCTCCCCTCCTCCCCCTCATGGTCCTCCTCACACACTGGCTGCTTTCACACCAAGAGGACAACCTCTCCCCCTCTCCTCTCCTCTCCTCTCCTCGCTCCTCTGTCTCTTCTTATTTGTAGTCTCTTCACTCCTTTTCTTCATCTCCTCCCTCCTCCTCCTCCTCCTGTCTATCAGTGTCCCACTAGGCTCAGTGAAACTCTTGTCGCTACACGTTGACGCCCGCTATCCTCTTCCGCGCCGCTGTATCTGACTGTATTTACACAGCAGGTGATCTCATAAACCACAGACATACCTGCAGAACAGAACAGATTGATTTGTTTTCGTATCACAGTCAGCTCTGTCAGCCTTTACTGTGAGCATAATCCTCTGTTTATTTAGCCAGAGGATCAGCATCAATCAAACCGCAATCCCTCCATAAACCACCTGAAGTACCTAACACACACACACACACACACTTACGAAACACACAAGAAAAAACAGGCTCAGGTATGCCAAAAAAAGAAACACCCACGTGAGCTAAAGCACATTCTGACTAACTTCTCTGGAAATGTCTCCTTCTCTGTTCCCACCCTATTTTTTTAAAAGGGATGATATGATAGTAAACAATTTATTAAAGTGAAATCTAAATTACGTCAACTCATTTGAACATGTTTTTGTGAAGCTTTGAAACCCAAAACTTCCACCAGAGTTTCTGCGCCATCCGGCTAAATGTCAGCATCTGACAGGCTGCAGCTTTAATAAAACAAACACAGATTTAATCCCCCCTTTCCATTTATTCATCCCTGTTCTAGAGGGAGGTTTGCATTAGCCATATTGTAAGCATAAAAAATATCAAAATTGTTTAAATCAGCGTTAAAGTGTCTGACTGTAAGCTTACTCCCAGTCCAGAGCTTAGTGATTAGATGTGATTTTCTCCGGTCTCGTTGTCTTTTTAAGTGGAAATATTTAGAATATTAAAGATCTTGATAAAAGAATGTAAAAGTAAACTCAATTTGAAACATATACAGCATTTTCCAAACCCAAATACCATGTTTTTACTGTCTTCTTTGCGAATAATTATACTACTTTTTTAATGAGCATGGTCTAGACCTGCTCTTTTTTGTTTGGAAAGTGTCTTGAGATAACGACTGTTGTTATTCGGGGTTATATAAATAAAATTTGATTGATTGATTTGACTCTTGGCTACTTTTCAAGAAACAAATTTTTTTGGCCAGTTTTTCTCCAACAATCCACCACCGTCAAAAGACAATGTAAATTAGTCTTATATTTGCATAAAAAAATGCATTTAGGGTGCTGGAAGTATACACCATACTCCCTTTTAGAGTCTCCGATATGTTTCAAATCGTTACCAGAAATCTGCAAGTCAGGAGTCGAGATCACTTTTTTTGTACAGCCAGCAGCAACACGGTAACAGAAAACACCACATTCAATGCAAAACTATGAAAACATCTGTTCTTCATTTTAGACGTCAACAGCAACAGTCACAGATGAATTTTTAACTCTATTTGATCTACATCTAGACATGACTGGGTATAAAAACGACATTCAACGAGACTAATAGTGTGAGGTAAGTGTTCAACAGTTAAAGAATAATGTTCCTGAGTGAAGGCACCATTAATGCTGAACAATACATACAGGTTTTGGAGTAACATTATATGCTGCCATCTAGACAATGACTTTTTTTAAGGGAAGACAAAGAGTTCCTGTTTCCATGAGGTGTAAATAAGCTTATTATTGCTGGATCTGATAAATGAAATACAAATTAGTAAACAGAAAACACTGGAAGAGTTGTTCAGCTGTCAATCCAGAAGCTTCATAAAAGTATCTGTGCACCCAAAAGCAATAAAACAACAACCACAACAGGCGGTACGATTGACATCCAGAGGGTGTAATTGACAGATGATTGAAATAAGTAAAAGTTAGGAGTATTCTGGTTTCACAATCCTGTTTCTCCAATTAAATGCATCATAACTTCTAAAATAAACCAAAGAAAGGTTTTCTGTTTGGTCTCTGTCGCTGAAATGTCCTTTTTTTCCTGCCACTCTGAGCCAAATCCAACTCTTTCACTCTGTTACACTTAAAGTTCAGGAATTTGAAGGAAATGGCCGAACCACTGGCAGGAGTGTCTGTTCACCACATGCATAAACACACACACATACATACACAGACCAACACACACATGTATGTATGCACACCTTGGAATGTGCGCAGGAAGTCACCGTCATTTCGAGGGCTGACATGATGTGGTGTGGACGCAGAAAAACAGACAGGACTGAAATAACTCACTGTAATGTGAAGGCTGAGTGACTGTAATTTTAATCAAACGGGCTGCAAAAACAACATGTTTAATTTTCTTCAAAGGAAGTTCAACATGTTATTTTCAGCTACTGTACCAGCTTTATTGTGGACACACTTGTGTACCTCTCATCCCTGCTTCTTTAGCCTGTGTGTAGTGTACTTTTTAGCATGCACTTTGTATTTTTATGCCAGTTTGTTTCCCTGTATTTGAGATTTTTTAACTTCTTCATCCTTTGCCTATTTTTAAAGGGATATTCGCAGCTCAAGGAAGAACATTTATGATCATTTCTTTATAGAATTGCAATCAGACAGAGACGCTAAGGCAGAAGAACTACCGCGTCTACTGTGCAAAATGATTAATATGGTGATTATTACTTCAAGGAAATGATAAAGAAATGATCAAGTAATGATAAAGTAATTGTGTCTTTAACTGGCCAGAATATCCCTTTAAGGTTAAGAATTAGGAACCCAAACTTAACAGAGTATATCTCTGCAACAGTGGGGTGAATATAAACCAAAGCAAATCTGGAGCGATACATATCTGGATAGTGACACACCTTAAAGGAATATTACAGTTTTTTGTTTTTTTTTAAGCAAGGTTTTATGAGTTGTGTGTCATTAGTAAGTAATTTAGCTACAATGGATGTCTGTAAGCTCGACCCCTTTACTCAGAAACTCCTGAGAGAACCTACAGGCAAGCTAGGCTACAGATTTCTGCACATACGGTTGACTCTGCCGTGTTATTAAGCCAACTGCTGAACCAAACCCCTTTCAGATATAGAGTCATTTTTGTACATTTCTTCTGATCATGCTGAATTTACTTGGAATCAGGCTGATGACAAAGATGCAATCTTATTCCCCTTTCTCATTCTTTTATCCCCTGATGCAATCTAATTTTTCTACCTAAAAAGTTTATATTTCTCTGGTGCACAAACTTTCTCTCACTATAATAAAATTGATCTGATATGCAATACATAATTCACCACGCAAAATAGAAGTTCAGTATATGTGTGTGTGATTAGGGACAAAATAAAGTTAACCAGATATAATGCATTAAAATTTCAGATTTGTGTCAGTTATGATGCTGCACGTGAGAAGATGTCACCTGGCTGAGTGGATGCAGGTGTGTTTAGGTGCATATTTGTTTTTTTCTCTATTTGATTGCATGGTTGATGCAAGCGCAGTCTACACAGTGCACCCATCTGGCTCTGCATGCACACACACACACCTGCACACACTGGTTTGTGGCGAGCTGTGACACATAAAGTCAGAACTTCATATCTCTGTGGTGTTACGGTCTGACTGTCACCAAAAGAGTCAAACACCTGGCAGAGATTACCCTCATCACACACACACACACACACACACACACATCAGTGTAAGTCTGCGGGCAGATGGTGCAGACCCTCACCACACTAAAGGAGGCTGGTGTCTGTGGGTGTCATTGTAACCAAATTACCTGCATGGTGGGATTAGAGGGATAAACTTGGCCTGTAGGTCACACCTGTCCCTTCATGTCCACAGGTGTGCTCTAGAGAGATCACACACATGCACACTCACAGGCACACATATTTGATAACATTGACCCCCTTTCAAACAGATGATGAAATTCAAGTTTTTTAGTGTACGTGGTGGTGTGTGAGGATGAGGACATCCTGAAAAAGTTCTGAGGTGGACAAGATTGAAGCATACTTATCATGTCATCCTTTAACCATCTGTGTTTTTTCTCCTCTTTTCTATTCTTCTCAGGCTAAAGGAGATCGATATGAGCGAGTATGACGCCTCTACATACGAACGGTTCTCCAGCGCCGTCAGAAGACAAGTTCAGTCTCTGAGGATCATCCTGGACAGTTTACAGGTCAGGTTCACTCAAACACACTCAACCCTTTATTTTACTTTAATATATTTGACAGGGACCATTTCATCTACATCATACATCCTGAGTGTGAGTCTAAGATGATTCCTAATTCCTTGACATTGTTAATACTGTCAATGAACTCATTTATTTTGACCATAAATGTCCTTTTTCTCTTCTTTTTCAAATGAGAAAACAAAAGCCATGGTGATACAGAGTGCAATCTTTGCTTTTCTCACAGTAGTAAAGATAACTGTATCATCTGCATACATACAGTACAGCTAAGTGCAGGACAACTCTCAGGCAGGTTGTTAATTTTCAGAGTAAATATCAGGGGGCTTAGTACCGACCCCTGGGGAATTCCCATGCTGTTAGTATTGAGGCTGGACTTTACCTCATTAACTCTGACACACTGAACTCTTCAACAAAGGTGTGTTTTAAACTGCTGAAAAGAGAGAACTGGAGTTTAGATAAGATAAGTTATACCTTTATTAGTGCCATGGGGGGAAATTCCAAAATTACAGCAGCATAAATACAGATACAAAAAGAGAAAGTAAAGGATAAAGAACCGTAGAGTTACTTAAGATGGTTATCCAAACCAAAACACAACCCCCTTAAAACTTCTTGTATTTTTCATTTCAGTAGCATTAGATAGCAAATTGTCAAGGTTGGCATGTACCTACACCCTATCACTGTCGAATTGGGTTACCGTACTTGAATCATGTAGCCAGACATCAGCTTTAAAGAGAAAGTAGTTGAAATAAAGTGTTTCAGACAGAGGCTGAGATGGGGGATTTTCAAGCCAACAATCTGAGATGACTCAAGAGTTTTTACAGCGGGAAGTCATGACCAAACTCTGGCCGAGGTTCACAAGAAGTTTCCTGTACACTCAGACAGTCCAGCTGACCCCAGCCAGTCAGGAGAACAGAATCGGAGGAGATGTGAAATAGATGACAATAAGCTGACCCAACACAACCCCACTATGACACAGTGTTGAGACAGGAAGGAGGGGGCGCTGTCCCGAAGGAGCTTCCTGATTGGCCGAGTGAAAATCAAGAGTTCAGGTTGCGGCGGCTGAAAATGAGGATGTTTCATGTTATCTGTTACAGTGTTTGAGTTTCAACTTTCCGCCTTTTGTTTGAGCTTCTGAGGGGAAATCTGTGGATGCATTCAGGCCGGACGCTCTGTGTGACGTGTGTGTGTGTGTATGTGTATGTGTGTGTTTGTTGTGTGTAATGAGAGGAAAATCAGGCAGCATGTGAGAATGATTACAGAGCAGAGACGCCGGGCCGTGCTCTCCTGTCCAGGTGTGAAGCTCTGTTTGGAAATGCTGTGGTGGGTGGGTGTTTGTGTGTTTTCATCCAGGTGTTTGCAGACGTACCTGAGCGTTGGTTATTGTTTGTATGCGTCCTTGTCGCCCGGGGCTTTTTACAGATGATGGAGATTATACCAATTTCCAGCCGGCGTGCCACTGTGAAGTCATGTTATTTCTATCATACCTGAGGAGTGATTTAAGGAATCACACACACCCACACACACTCCTGACAGTCGCTGGAAAGCTTTCAATAAAGTGATACTGTATTGTTTTCCACCCGCCAGAGTGTCCCTGAGGAAAACCCCTCTATTCATCTCTCAACAATAGACCGACATGCCAGATTTTAACACCTGGGCCTGTTTTATCAAGAGGCTCAGAGTTTAAAAAATCAGCCCCAACTCGCCAAAATATTCTCGAGGTCACATGTTTTATTTTTATTCAGGGCTTTACGAAATACAAATATTTCTTTAAACCTTATTAACCCAAAAAATTACTCACATCCTTGACAGAGCAATTCTTAGGAAATTTGTCGAGCACAAACATCATACAAGTGATGATTCAATGAAAACAAAATGCTTCTCCGCACAGATGCAAGAGGCAAGAGCAAGACTATTACTGCATTCGAGTTACCTCAGAAGTCAGAAGTCCGAGCTGAAAATGATGTCACACCCGAGTTCCCAGCATTTCAGTGAGCAAGTCAGGAAAAAGCAAAATTGAAGGTGGAAACAAGATGGCTACATCTACGAAAGTTATTTTTAGCCTTGTCCGAATGTTAGCCAAGCGCTAAAATAACTTTAGTAGATGTAGCCATCTTGTTTCAGGCCTCAGATTTTCCTTTTTTTTGACTTGGTAACTGAAACACTGGGAACCTGGGTGTGACGTCATTTTCATCTCGGACTTCTGACTTCCGAGGTAACGCGAACGCAGCATAAGACCACTGCACACTGTACTTTTACTGCACACCTCCTTACATAAAAGCGCAACTCAAACAATCTGGATCTTTTTTTCTTTCTTTTGCACTCCCTTCGTTCCTTTAAATGTTATAGCAATGGAAAAATTTATCCAGTGTAGCTTTGGTTGCACAAACACTTGTTTCTGTCTTTGGTACAATCTGTGCTCTACATCTAAAGCTCTGTGAACACCAGAGTGCACTTGTACCCGCATATTAATCAACAAACAAGTGACAAGTATTGTTACTGATGTCAGCGCTTACCAAAGACACGCAGTCATGAGACTGTGGTCACAAGTTATGTGTTATTTTAAAAAAGAAAAAAATCTTCGTACACACTTGACACTTAATATCAACACTGTAGATCTTTGTAAAAGACTGGACCAGACTGGGTGTGTCTGAGCAGATCCTGTTCCTTCTTTTGTGAGCCTCCTTTTCTTTAGAGCGGCTCTCCTTCCTCGGGGAGATCTGAGGACAGGAGAAAGTCATGTTGCTTTTCTCTGTCTTCTTTCAGCTGCACAGCAAAAAAAAAGGGAAAGTCAGGCGACATCTTAAAAAACAAGGCTAGAGTTTCAAGCCTTGGAGGAAAGACAAGTCAGGACTGCAGACAGGCCAGTTTAGCAGCAGGACTCTTCTACTACAGAGCCACGCTGCTGTAACCCCTGTAGAATGTAGTTTGTCATTGTCCTGCTGAAATATGAAGGTCTTCTTGAAAAACTCATTGTCTGGATGGCAGCATATGTTGCTCCTAAACCTGTAGCTTTTGATTGGCATTAATGGAGCCTTCATAGATGTGGAAGATACCCATGTCATGGTTACTTATGATCCCCATACCATCAGGGATGCTGGCTTTAAACTGGAAACCTGGAGCTTACACTGGGTGGTCGCTTTACTTATTAGAGAAGAGACTGCAGCATCCGTGATTTTCAAGAGAATGTCAAATTGGGATTCATCAGACCTCAGGACAGTTTTCCTCTTTCCTTCAGTCCATCTTAAATGGGATCAGGATCAGAGAAGTCTTTGGTAATTCTGAATCATGCAGTTTTCTTTTTGCATGGTTCAGTTTTAATCTGCATTTGATGAACTTGGTTCACAGACAATAGTTTCTGAAGTGGTTTAGAACCCATGCAGTGATTTCCCCCACAGAGTCTTGTCTGTTTTTCATGCAGTATTGTACATCAGGACCATCCAGCCTTGGTTTTGGTCCTTGTCCTTTTTGTAGGAACATTATTATAGAATTGTCTCTCACAGGGCAGTGAACCTCTTCCCATCTTTTCCTCTTAGAGTTTCAGCCTCTCTGAATGTCCGTTTTTAAATCCAGTCATAATACTCACCTGTTTGCAAACCATGAAATTTTGTTTTTAATCTACATTTTGCACACCTTTTTTGAAATAAGGCTTGTATTTCTGTATTTATTTGTTCTTTTCTTGTTTTGTATATAACCATTTGTTAAAGACCAATATAAACATTTATTAACTCTACATTCTTGGCGTCTTTAAGACTGAATTCTGCTATGTGCAGAGTTTGTCTCATTTCACAATCCGTCGTCTGAGAGCCACACCAAATTTACATCAGTCCTCCCCAGACAGATTTTGAAATGAGTTGCATGATTTGGTTCTTAATTAAATTGCACAACTTGATGTGTCTTTGTTTGTGTTTTTCAGGCCAAAGGTAAGGAGCGTCAGTGGCTGAAGAACCAGGCTCTTGGAGAGCTGGATGATGCTAAAATCATCGACGGTCTGACCGGAGAGAAGGCTATATATAAACGCAGAGGAGAGCTGGACCCTGAGGTGTGTTTCTGTGTGTTTAACTTCGTTTTTACTCCTCCCTGAGCCCCACCTTTAAACACACACACACTCCCAGACTCACACACATAATTTTGACCTCTATCTGTTAGACGATACATTCCAGCGGTGTGTGTGAGATTATTTTTACACCCTGTGTTTCTGCTCACACACGGTTTTCAGATGTTTTCCCTCCTGTCATGTATCCGTGTGCGGGTCTACACACACTGAGACACAGCAGAGAGATAGTTCCCACACTTTTCACGCAAACACACACTCACCATAATGTGCATGCCGTGTTTTTCTACCTCCTTTAGCACCCAGTGTTGCATATTTTTGGTCTGGCTGAAGGTTCACGTTGATTGCAGCCAGTTTTTTAAAGTCTTGGCCTTGTGTTGACTGTTATTTTGAGAGAGTTGATTTAAATTCCGTAAAAACACTTCCCAAAGTAGGTGTCGTCTGAGAATGCACGCTTTTAAACGTTGCGTCTGGTTGTGTAACTGTGTGTGTTTTTCAGCTGGGCAGCCCTCAGCAGAAACCGAAGCGTCTGCGGGTGTTAGCCGACGTCTCGGGCAGCATGTACCGCTTTAACGGCGTGGACGGGCGGCTGGAGCGCTCCATGGAGGCCGTGTGCATGGTCATGGAGGCTCTGGAGAACTACGAGCACAAGTTCAAGGTGAGAAGGTCTCAAGAGCCGCAACTGAGCTGTTTGTGCTCACTACTTCTCTGATGACTCGGTTGTAAACAGAGGCTTTATTTGAGTCTCAGCTATGACTTAGCTTGGAGCTTTTCATGAAGCTCAGAGCCACAAACATTGGGTTTGTTCATGGGTTATAATGCTGTGTAAAAAGTAACACCCCCAAGCTATGCAAACATACTCAATGAGTGTCTCACTCTGACAAAATAAAAGAGTATAGGTGGAATCAGTTTCCTTAAAACTGAAACAAGACAGTAAGAATCAAGGGTGGGAGAAAAAATTGATTCACGTAAGTACTGTAATTTTTTTTTTTTTTTACAATTTTTAAATCAATTTTTAAGTTAAAAAAATCAATTTTATTTTTTTTCTAATTTTTTTTCTAATATATGTTGAATTTATTTAATCTATTTTTCTTTTTTTTCAAAATTCATGTGACGTATATTTTTGGGGGAAATATGGTTCCTGGAATAGTCAGTAGATGATCATGATCATTCAACTGTTTCACTGGTGTTAAAAATGCAGACTAAAAATTGAAAAAAATCGACAATATCCTAGAATCACAATTTAAATCGAACCGGCATCCAAAAGATTGTAGAAGAATCAAATTGGGAGAAAAGCATATCGTCCCAGCCCTAGTAAGAAAATCCTGCAGCCTCCTGCCAAAGATCTGTTCTAATAGAAGTCATATGTTTCTCAAGTTTCACAACCAGCCAGAAGCTCCTCACCGAGGCTTTAAGGTCACATCAGATTTGGGAACCACTTATCAGATTTACCACCCAGAGTACTGAGGATCAGTATCAGTAACCAAAATAATGACCAAGAAAAACCATCCGTGCTTTTCTTTCACAGATTTGATCCTGTTCACACAACTTTGTAAGTTGACCACAATCTTAAAATTTCTCAGGTCAACAAACTCGGCCCACCGTGGTTATTACTCTGAACCTCCACCTGTGGGGTCTGGAGAATATAAACACAAAAAGGTCACAGCAATAACTACAGCAGTGATGTCGAGAGGAAAAGCTTTTCTGGAGGTAGATAACTAAACTTGTGGACTCTCTGTCCACAGCTGTAGGTGCAAAAACGAGAACATTATTATTAGTCGGTTGTATTTAAAGATCTAAGAGTCAGTTTTGGACTGGAGAGCAGGATGATGCAAGAGATGGAGGACATGAGACAGAGAGACGCAGAGAGGGAGTGAGAGTGGACGGAGACAGACTTCTTGGCCCCTCACACAAGCCAACCCGATACCGATCACATATCAGTGTCTCACACATAAACATATACAGTCACACACAAACACGCAAAAGTATACAGATGCTGCCGAACATGTCGTGTTCGTCATGTCAGTGTTTGCATAACTGCTGTTACATAAAAGTGAATCTGATAACGCAGAGGACATGTGTGCCTAAACCTGCAGGATCACACTGAGTGTGTCATGCATGAATGGTCAAAGGTCAAACATGAATCTGTTTAGGAATTTCTCTTCATGTAAAAAAAAGAGTAATGAAATTTAAAAGCTAATTTAGTTTCCTGCCCTAATTATCTATTCAACCCATATATTTTTATTCAAGCCAAAAACAGATCTGAAACCTGAATAAAGTAAGTAGATTGTATTTTTAACATGTCTTCTAAGGAGTTTTTATTATCTTTGAAACTAAATTTGAGACTCTCCATGTTCATGAGGGCTGAATAACCAAAATAGGTTCCAATCAGAGACATGAACCCGGTATGAAAACATCTGTTTCACCCAGCAACAGCGGTAAGTACAGCTGAGACTCCGAGTCGCATACCTCTGACCGCCACAGCCACAGCTGCCCTCATCAGAAATAGCTTATAAACATAATACCTGAGTCCTGAAATAAACCCAGCAGAGCCCCCTTACAGAGCCGGGCCTGATCTTATGTAAGCCAGCTGTGATGGACAGTCTATAGGAGGAGTGCTGACGTGACGGGTTCACATGTTAGAGCTGGTGCAGGTATATGTTACAATATGACATTACTGCATCGTCACAACCTCGGTCTTCATGGTTCAGGGGTTGAAAACGTATAATTACAGTGATTTAGTTTGATAAAGTGTCATATTGTTTATCTGTTTTCTCTGTGCAGTACGACATAATGGGACACTCTGGTGACGGCTACGACATCGAGCTGGTCCGAGCGGATAAAGTCCCCAAAAACAACAAAGAGAGACTCAAAGTCCTAAAGGTACAAACTCATCATCAGTCTGTCATCAGTCATATTATCTAAAGACCCACTCTGATGAAAATCGTTTTTCTTGTTGTCTACATGTTCATATGGCATTTTTCTGATACTAGAGGAAATATCATGAGAAAACTAAGTGCGAAATTGCATTTCTGAGTATTTCTGCATTCAAATTACTGTGAACCTCTGGCAGACCCAAACAGCAGGTTCAGAAACAGTGAGAAGTAGGCCAGGCTCGGAGAAATAGAGAGGACGATCGCGGAACAAGCGTCTGCGTTAGTGGATTGAAATGCTCGTAAGAAAGCTAATAATGAAATTAGCTTTTATCATACCCCTAAAAACGATAGTGTCTGAGAGCTGAATAGCTCCTATGTTACCTGTTTCGTCTACTACAATGGCAATGTGCTGCAAGCTAACTCGAGGAGAAGTGTACAGAGCAGCGCTGTCTCCGCCCACGACTCAGAGGCAAATTTGTTATGAGCTACTTGAGTTCTGCGGCAGAAAAGCCCTTGAAAATGACACAGGTAACATGATTTTGGCTAAAAACTTTATAATCACAATTTAAAGACCACTGAGAACAAATTGAGTAGTTAAAAAAAAACAATCGGAGTGGGACTCAAACTGTACACTGATTAGACCATGCCCACCTGCAGATATACCTGTAAAATTATAGAGAACTCACTATTTTTGTACACAGTGAGGTCAAGGGTGTCTTAGTTTCTTTGACATTTTGCCTCTTGGTCTTCTTTCCCCCTCCTCCGCCCTGCAGACCATGCACGCACACGCTCAGTTCTGCATGAGTGGCGACTACACCTTAGAGGGCACCGACGTCAGCATCAAGGAGCTGGCACGAGAAGAAGCCGACGAGCACTTTGTGGTGGTGCTCAGCGACGCCAACCTGGAACGGTACGGCATCCGACCGGAGCGCTTCGCCCAAGTCCTGACCTCTGACCCTCAGGTCAACGCCTTCGCCATCTTCATCGGATCTCTTGGCGATCAGGCTGAAAGGTGAGGAGGTGAAGCAAATAAGACGGGAACAAAGACTTTAAAGCGACTGCTTTCAGAACATCAACAGCACATAGAACTAAAGGAAACATCCAACCAAATTTAAGACGTACAAAATTTTAAATTAGACTTTTGTTGTTTCTCTAAAATCATTGAGGAGCTTTAAGGTCGACTTCTTGGCTAACATGTTACTGAATGTTGTTTATGAACAAACTTTCCAAACCAGCAGAGTCTAACAGTCATACAGACAAAGTGACGTATTGACAGAATTGTTGATAAGAACTTTGTGTTGTTGGATATAATCGTCAGTGGAGGTTTGGTGGCTCTAAAACAGACAAGCTGGTCAGACTTCACATCAACAAGGTCCTAACAGTCTGGATCTTTAAGTGTGATCATTGCAACTTCCAAGAGTCACCTGTGACCCATGTTGTCCAGCACCCCATCTGTTATTCACAACATGCAGAGGCACTGATCATGCATTATAGGTTACAGGTTACAGGTTACCTTTATATCAGGGTGTACACTGAAATCCAGGGCAGGTCATTCTGTTCATGCAGTCAGAGACGCCGGAGCATGAAAATCAGACGGACTGAAGGTACATCTGTTTTTCTCCTCTTAAAGATGTTAAACACTAGACTTCATCACATTTGTAACTGAGCAGTGTTGAAAAAATCATGGCGATAAATAGGGATTGAATACGATTTTTAATATTAGATATTGGTGCAATACCAGCAAAAAAACTAATATCGGATTATAACGGCCCTCATCTAAAATCTCAGATATTAGCACTCTGATACAAGCAGTCCATTCCAGAAACACTAGACTCCATCACATTTGTTACTGAGCAGTGTTGAAAAAAATCATGGCGATTAAAAGGGATGTCCCGTTACGATTTTTAATATCAGATATCGGTCCAATATCAGCAAAACAATGAATATCGGATTATACCATCCTGCATCTAAAATCTCCGATATCAGCGCTCCGATACAAGCAGTCCATTCCAGAATCCGCTCCAGTTTCCCTATCTAGCAGCTCCCAGATCCAGCATGCAGAGCCCACAAAATCACAACAACAGTGTGTACTAAGGTACAAACAAAACTACCAAGGAGTAACAATGATGTCGGTCATGTGGCAGTGTTTTTTTAATCCGTAAAAGACGTTGCAACTGAGTGCAAAACTTATATGTAAACTAATATTGGATCAATATCGGTATCGGCCAGTACTGCAGGCTACAACATCATATTGGAAGTAAACCCTTACATTCTGAACACTTATCTTTTTTAAAGATACTCAAATTCACCTTAAACGGCAGGTTCAAATGTCAGATGATAATGAATTCAAGGTTAAATGTGAGCACACAAGCAATGAAAATGAAGTTATCTGAGGTCGTGCACAGTTGTAATGTAATGTTTGGACTCTTTGTAAAGACGGTTCACGCTCTTGGAGACGCACTGCCAACTGTTAAAGAGGAATGTCTGAGCTAATTTAGGAATGAAGGGACAAAGAAAGAGAGTGTCATCAGAGGAAGTGAAGAGCGGCTGTGTTATCCTCCACCAGCTGAATGACAGCCCTTTCATTCGCTCACCAGGGGAAACCTCTCGCATTCATTCACACTCCAAACAGGCGCTCGTCTGTCTTTTTTTTTAAATTTTGGGCAGTGTTTCTGTTGCTGAAGTTTAATCCGCTCTCTTTAACCCCAAACTTTTATCTGCTTTTCTTCTTTTGTTTCAGACTCCAGAAGACGCTTCCAGCTGGCAGATCTTTCGTGGCCATGGACACCAAACAGATCCCCCAAATCCTGCAGCAGATCTTCACCTCTACCATGCTGTCCAGTGCCTAGTACACACAGACACACACACATAACACTAAAACACACTCTCAAAAACCTGGAGATGTGTTCTACTGGTGCTGGGACTTGCCTCTAACCCACTTTCTGTGTCAGATTGTGTCATTTAATTTGGAGTGAACTCACCCCTGAAGAAGAGAGGGTTATATTTATGATTTTACTGCCGGTGTAACGTGACGGTGCCGTGTTAGCGTGACAGAGGTAAATGATGATTAGCTGCTCTGTCGTGTCCCTCGGGGTGTAGTTACAGCACAGTGTGGCCTCAGAGAAGTCTGTGATCTTGTACAGCGTGACTGTTCTCCGCTGTGAAATGACACACCGCTCATCTCTCACTAAGAACTGGAGCCCGTCTCAGACCCCGTGTGGGGATCAAACACACACCCTGACCTGTTGTTGTTTGCCGTTTCTGGCCGCTGACGCACACTCGCAGACGTCTTCGTCCTGTTTTGGGCTGTAAGGAACTCGTCTCAGATGGGAGGGTCATGAACTTGGACCAGCCTCACTTATTTGGACTTCCGCCTCATTAATCGTGTGTCAAAGATGGAAAAAAAACGCTAACACACACTCTCTCACACACACATGCAAAAGGAAGGGCGACACCAACGCGCCACCTGAGCGACACTTGGACGTGGCGAGGAGCTCCTGAGGAATGCTGGGACTGTGCCCGGGAATTTCCCACCTGACTGCACTCGCTCTTTAAAGGCAGCCGCCGTTGCGCAACCCCCCGCAGCTCAAGTTTGTGTGTGTGTGTGTAAATGTGAGTGTGTGACTGTGTGTGTCCTCTTTCAGCATCTATGTCAACATGCACAAGCCCTTTCCTTCCTGGCTGCTGCAGGACCTTCTGACGCCCCGTCTTCATCTCAGTCCCGTCAGGAATCTGGGATCTCCTTTCATTGCTGGACCTCCCATTTCTCTTTCTCAATTACACACACACACACACACACACACACACACAACTTTCTGTGTCAACGTGTGCTTAGTTTTGCCTAGTAGGAGACTTGATCTGAAAAACTAATAAATAGTAGAGGGCAGATTTTTTGAACCATCAGTCATTTCGACCCTAAAATATCCAATTAACTCTAACTTCATCGAAGCAGACAGGTCTTTGCGAGCACGCCATCATGATCTCCGCTCGATGACCTCCTGCTGTGCTTTCAGATTAAACTCTCTCTTTCTGTGCCAGCTGACAGCCACGTGCACTCGATATCATGTCCCCGTTTTGCCTCTGGTTGTCACACTTCCTACACACGCCTCACTCTGATTGGCTGACAGGATCAATAGATCAAGCCGGTGAAACAATCAGCCTCTATTGATCCTCTGACAGAGGGATGTCCCTGATTTTACTAACCCATATCTGCCTGTTTATCTCTATCTTTGCTGAAGTTTAAATGACTCGTACGGTACGTTCGCCTGTTGATATTTCACATTTGAATGTGTGTAGTAGGATGTTAAATCAAAAACATGAGTCTCTTCCGTCTTATTTAATTGAAAATTGTTTTAAATAACTTAAAAATGTAAAAGAAATGGACACATTTTAATAAAACGATGTTAACAATCCACAAAGTTTGTATTCATGTCTGCACTGTCACTGCTGGTGGAGATTAGCTCATCGTTATAACTCTTGTACAGTCGTGGATGAAGGAATCGTGGCGTCCGATTAGCCTGGGCGGGCCATCCTGTTGCGTGAATCACTTGACGTTCCTTCCAGCAACAGTCTGGACTTCGGCCCACAGAGAGCGTGTATTCCCGATCAGAAAATAACCGGGCCAATCAGAGACCGTGTTTTCACTGCATGGACCAATCAGGGGCTGCCTTTCCCTGTTGTCCGGGTAACAGTGAAAACACGGTCTCTGATTGGCCCGGTTATTTTCTGATCGGGAATACATGCTCTCTATGGGCCGAAGTCCAGACTGTTGTGGGAAGGAACGTCAAGTGATTCACGCAACAGGATGGCCCGGCCAGGCTAGCGTCCGATTGCCTCTTCATAGAGAGGGAATGTTTTTCAACTTTGCACTAAGTTCCTGAGCAGGTGAAAGGTCAGCCCCCTCATCTATTTGCATGTTTATTTCCATCTCTAAAGCCAGCAGAGTTACTGTAGCCGAGCCCTTCTCCTTCCTCTCTTAAGTTTATTAAATCTGGTATTTCATGTTTTTATGTGTATATATGAGACCCATGATCGATTATCTAACAGTGTCCCTTTGTGTGTGTGTGTGTGTGTGTGTGTGTGTTTGTTCTCAGTCTGTGAAAAGGGGTGTGATGTTAATCACGAGTTCTGCAGAAATACAGAAAGAGAGAAAAATACATCTTCGAGATATTATTTGATCTGATTTTGTTTGTTTTGATTTGATTTTGTGTCCTTACAATCCAAAACAGCTTACAAAACACAGTTATTCAACAAAAGAAGAGAAACCACAGACACATGTGACCACATAACTTGTGAAACTTCTGGTCTATTTTTTAGTCAACATTTTCTTTTCCTGATTTCTCCTTTCACAATCGTCTATTTTGACACCTATTTGTCACTTTGAAACTAATTCTTTCTCCACCCAGGGTTTAGTCTTCATAAGAACTGATTTTGTGCTACAATGAATGCCTGGATCCTTAACGGCCCTTTAGTTTATCATGTAAAACACATTCAGGAGTGTTCAGTTGAATAGGTGTAAAAAAAAACACTCTCTAGTTGAGCATTGTTTTGAATGTTTTTGTGTTGTAAATACTTGTGAAGTGGACCTGGAGCTCTGAATTCCTAGAAGACTCCGTGCTTCTAAGAATCTCTGACCGCTCGGCTCCCCCTCATTTCCTCCGTGGTCACTTTTTCCATCAGTAGTAATGATAGGTTTAGAAACCACAATCACCCAGCCCGTCCTTAATGTTTTCACAGAGGCAAATACAACTACACTCATATAATACACCTCTTTTTTTCAACACACTTCACTTAATGCTGTATATATGTAATATGATAAAGCATGGAATCACATTCCTGAATCTAATCATCTACATTACATGATATCATTAAAAGATTAAAGATCCTCAGGCCCACACTAAGCACTGCATTAAAAACCGACAGGACTCTGTAGTGGAAATCATGTCATATTTCATTGTTTTTTTAAGTGAGGTTGCGTGAGTTGTATATCACTAGCAAGTATTACATCTGTAAAAGGTGCAATACAAAGGTTTTATGTTGGCAGAGCAAGAAGCCGGCTGGCAGAAGATCCCTACGCTGGCTTCAAATAGGATTCACCATGTTGGATTGATAGTGAGTAGCGGCAGTTAATGCCAGCTCTGCTAGCTAGCACTGTCTGCAGGTAGTTATTTATTTAACACATGCCACGATAAAAGGCAAAAATTACCTGTTCAACAAAAACTCTGCTGTCTCTGCGTCTGTTTTCAGGCCCAAACTCTGGCAGAGATTTCTCCACCACTCGAAGGATGACCCGATGTTTATTCAAGTTAGATTTCTTGGTCACATTTCCTCTCCTTTCTTCTGTCTGCTCGTGTTTTCTTCCCTCTTTTTTGCGGTGGGGCAAGCAGAAGTGGTTTTTTTTTCCGTCCTTCTCCATCACCGCTCCAATCGCTAAGCTGCTACGCTACTTTTAGCCGCTCAGAGCTCCAAGGAGGGCCAGGAGAGCTGGAGGGAACGAGTCGGAATTAGAGGAGAGGGGTGTGTCGACTACAGCAAGGTGATTGGATGGAGAGACGGAGCAGGAGATTGACCAATAGGAGCTGTCCGGGATGGATGGCTCCTATTGGTCAATGTTTATTGCAGCCCTGCACCTTCTGGGGGGAACAGATTTTTCCATTCTTTTTTCTCTTCACTTTGTGGAGATCGCACTATGGGACCATGATCGCCATATATACAAGATTCATTATAATTAACAATCTCTTCATTCGTCAACCATGCCTTCAAACTGAGATGAGTGTTTGGGTCAGAGTCTCTAAGTTAGTAAGTCATGTGGCAGAGTTGCCCCGTCTGCAGAAAACTGTAGCCTAGCTTGTATGCAGGTTCTCACAGCAGTTTCACATTAAACGGGGCCAAGCTGAGGGCGTCTACCGTGGCGAATACACCTATAAGCAACATCTAACTCATACAACCCCACTTCAGAAATACTGAAATATCACCTGAAAGATAGAGTAATATCTTCCATGTTTATCTTTGATTAGGTTAATTCAGAGAACCTTTGGAGCGTGACATTTTTTTGATTAAATATTTTTTCTTTGATTTCACATCTTCACATTTGTTTCTCGAAGAAAGACTGGGCTGATGATTTTAATATCATTGACGCTGTGCTCTGACAGGCCGTATTAGTAGTATTTCAGGGTATAAAGCAGCTCATTCAAAAGGATTTAATTACACACTGTTGAATATTATGTAACATACGAGCTCTGTTGTATTATTCGCCCTAAAATCCCCACCCTGGCCTTGTCCTGACAGATGAATTTGGTAATTACACACTGTTGTCTGTTCCACTTTCCTCTTCTGCTTCCTGTATTGACACACAATTCATCACCCTGGATTTACAATGACAAACTGAGCACACAGACACGCACACACACCTGGCCTCGCTCTTTCTGCCTAAAAAGCCCCTTATGATTACCACAGAGAGATAAAACGTCTAGACTAACAGGGTGCTACACATATTAGTCAGTGTGTTGGTTTGTGTTTGTTTTGTGTTCCCACCTCTGATGTCCTCAGTTACTGTGTGAGTCAGACTCATTTTCTTAAATCTGCAGAAAATCCAGCTGGTGATTCATGACCTAAAGGTTATATTTAGGCTCTGTAGGCTTATGTCACCACATTTCTGTCTGTGACGAAGGAGGAAAAAAAACGCAACTACAACTTAAAAAAAAGCACAAAAAAACTACAACCACTATAAAATCCAGGACCCAACAGGCGCAAATTATGGAAACACCAGCATGATTCAACCAACTAAAAGACAACAAAAGAAAAGAGAAGCTGGAGAAAAAACCCTAAAAACCAATAAAGAGCCAACTACATCTACAACAGCAACCATGAAAAACAACCAACTAGAACCACAGGTAAAAGCATCCACAATCAATCAAAAATGAGTCAAACTTATCAACTTCAACAGAAAAATGCAACAATTTACAACCGCTGAAAAACAACAATAAAAAACAGCCACATATAACATCTGATTGATAACAACCAACAGAAAAACTACGAGAAACTTCCAACGACTATTTCAAGTACTTGAGCAGCTGTAACAAAGGTAAAAGCCCCTCATGGCGCTGATTACCTTCAACGACAGGAACTTTGTCATTAGAAGTTATTGGAAAACTTCAGACATATAGCAAAATCCAGACAGATTTTATATAAAAGACCCACTTGTAAAGTTTTGTGGTATCACCGTCACATTACAGCCTGTTAAATTCAGTGTGTAATGAGTAGTAGCTCGGTGTGTTGACTGAAGGCTAAACTGCAGAGTGATTGATCCACACACACAGGGACACCAAGCTGACCTATCAATGTGATTGATTGCTGCTCTGGTGGCAGCTCAGCAATCACTGAGGACAGAGGAGACGTCCTCCTGTTTGTCAGGGTGACTGATGTCTGCCTATCAGGTAGTTACAGGTCTGACTGTGAGAAGTGTGTTTTCACAGTGCAGGAATGTTGCTGTTTTGTAATGTGTTCATTGTCTGTTTATTCTCCCAAAAATACAGAAATTGAGCTTTAAATGTGTGTGAGAAACTACTGTTCAGGAATGTTGCAAATTAAAGCTAATTTTATGATGTGGTCAGCAAGATGTGCAATTTCTCGTAAACATGTGCAAAGCATGTGTGGTTTTATGAGTTACCCTGCCTTCATATGTGCATAATGTTCATGCGTGTGTGAAATTGTGTGCGGCCATGTGGATTTTCAGCTGTAGAACAAAGCAAAAACAGGAGCACAGGAAACTCTGAAATAAGGAGGGACGCTACCATGCCACCCTTATAAAATACATTTAGAGGCCCTACGGAAATAAAGGGAGGCAGCACTGTATTTTATTGTTGTCGTAATCAGATCCCAAATCAAAAACAGATCAGCATAAGCTTTTAATTTTTGTATCGTGAATGTGATGTCACAGTACCCACCCCTGTCTGTGTGACAAAAGGTACGCTTTTTACTTGTTGCGGGTGTTGAATAAAAACACTCATGAACTAGTTAGCCAGTAATACTGGACAAGCGGACAGCTGCTGCGTATAAGCAGCAGCCTCTGGTCTTGAGGAATGAAGCAGATATGGGAGTGCTGAAAATGGTGTTCTCTTCAGGCTGTCTGCAGAAGTGCCAGAAACCATGAACACAGTAATTAATAAAAACCTGTTTTTAGAGCAAAAAAAAAAAAAAAAACACCTTTACAGCCTGGTTCATAACATCTAAGGGCTCTCTCAGCGTTGTAATTTTTCGTAACTCGTTCATTCTGAAGATATTAAAGGGGCCGTGGCATGAAACACTGACTTTGTTAACTGGAGGGGGGTGCATATCAGGGATAGAAAACCGCTACAACCCCCCCCAAGTTCGAAAAAATTCCATCCAGTCGTTTTTTAGTTATCTCCGTATTTAGGAA